TCATTTTCCTAAAATGCTTTTATCGATACCGAGTCGTTTCGTAACTTTCCGTGGCGCTACCGGAGCTGCCGCGTCTCGTCGTTGGTTTTCGTGTTTGGACAGTGAAGCATGTCTCTGATATGACTATAATACACTGGTTTGCGCCTCGGCTCTCCGTTCTCCGAGGGATTATACCGATGGAAAGATCGTCGCCGGCCGATCGCCCGTACGAAAAGAAACAATGCATCGGAATCACCCTGGTATACGCTATGGCGCTATACGATGACGGTACGGTAACCCACAAAAGAAGATAAATATCCCTGACGTTAAACATAAGAATGCGTCATTGAACTTCACAACTGATGTTAAGTTTCTGGGAATATTTCTAGATGATAAGTCAAATTTCAGAGTACATTGCGATTACCTAGTTTCGCAAATTAAATCTATCTCATATTTGCTTAAAAACTGAAGCTTGGTTCTCTCTGTAATTCAGCTGGTCGGGATATTATACTACGGTCTTGTGGAGTCCAGACTCACATATGGTATTTGTTTTTGGGGCTTCTCTGCTGCGTCACATGTTTTTATTGCTCAAAAGCGAAATGTTCGATCAATGGCACGCGTAACACACAATTGTAAAGAAATTTTTAAGAAATATAAAATCTTAACGGTACCTGCTCTGGCGATTCACGAATTGGCGTTATACGTATTCCGAAATAAGACCAAATTTACTCTCAACAAAGAAATACACACAGTTGCCACGAGGCAGAGTAATATACACCCCAGTTTTTCTATGTTTAAAGTAGGAAATAAATTGCCAAATCCTTAACATCCTTGCAAATGATATACAAGGAATAACAAATCAAAATCACTTTAAGTATTGTTTGAAAGGTTTTTTAATACATAAATGTTTGTATAATGTCTGCGAGATTATCAGTGTATACATGTTGTTTATTATCTTGTTTTATTATAATTGCAGATCTACTGTCACCAGATTTTTGCATGGGGTCCTCAAGGATCTCTACTTGGACCATCGTTATTCTTGCTATACATCAATGTCATACAAAACTGTCTCAGTAACGGTACTAGTAGCAAACTATTCCTGTATGCCAATGACACTACTCTTCTTTCAACTCACAGCACCTTAGAAAACCTAGACAACGATCCATCAGCATGCAAAACTAGTTTGTTATTAATGGGCTAACATTAAATGAAGACAATACTCACACAATGAATATTCCTGTACGGAATTTTGACATAAATGATAACAACACAAGATCAGTAAAGTTTCTCTGGGTGAACATTAGTTCTTTGTTGACTTGGGACAAGCATGTAAATCATGCCACAAAATCTTTGACAAAAGCTATCTATCTGTTACTGTGTACTTCCACAGTAGATGATTTGAGGTATTGCCTTGTGTATATATCTATGCTTGCCTCATGCATGTTAAAACTCACTCTCACAATTATGCAACTCATAATTACAACACCAGAAACAAAGAACATTTGTGTCCAAATCGTCTTGGCCTTTCCAAAACTGGAAATGGTGTTGACTACCACGGGTTAAAATTCTAGAACCTATTGCCAAATCAAATAAAATCTCTAGATGTTGAACAGGTTGGGAAAACTATTAAATGCTTTCTACTATCTAAAGCTTTTTTTGATGTAGAAGACTTCCTTAATTACAATTTTTTCATCTTAGCGTAATTTTTATTGTAATTAGTCTCTTTTATAATTTTTTAACCAACTCTATTATTTATTATTATTCTAAATTTTAATTATTATATTAGTGGACAGGAAGTAAAAATGGCATCAAGTAGGTTATCTGTGTACTTCCCAGACAACTATATCATCCATTGGAATATATTCAATCTATTTCCAGATCTAAAACCATATGAACTCTGATTTAAAAGTAAGTGATCAAAACAAATGTGAGATATTCAGCCCACCTACTTGACACAACATTTATGTGATGCAGCCTCCATTAATATTATTCTAGAACGCAAAAGGTACGTTAAATTTACTTGGTACAAAACAATGGCGTCAAGTAGGTGTACTCTGAACGTCCCATGTATATGCTGGCATCAGTTCATAAAGAATTATGTAAAGCACGAATTAGCCCCTCTGATAAAAAAGTTGGCTACAAACATCTCAATCTTCTTGCTAAGAATGAACTCGATTTTTCACGAAGAATCTGGCAACGCTGCACGGCGGCCACCCATAGCATCAGGCAGTCTGTGAGATATGTCTAATAGACGCGTAGAATTACTGGGGTTGGAAACGTATAAATATACAACCGAAAATCTAACCCCTACAATTTTTTACAAAAATGATCGGGAACCTCTGGAATGTCAAAAAAAGAAGTTTGAGCTATTTTTATTTTTTTCGTCTTCTGCCTATAGCTCCGCCGCCACTGTACCAATATTCAAAAATTACAAACCTTTCACGTTCTTGGTATAGTAGTAACTTGTGCGAAACATTCATCAAAATCCGACCAGTACTTTCCACATTATAGATATAGACAGACCAAGGATTGGCGCACAGACCAACCCACAAACAAACAGACCGACGGAAATGAGTGACATGGTTTTCTGTGATGTACATATCATATAACATCCAAAAAACATAGCATGTACCTCATTTTGAAACTTTTCGTGATTACAATACCTACTTACTCGCCAAAAGGCCTGGGAAGTATAAGCAAAAGCAATGAATCAATTATTCCTAACGCCATCGCTGGAATTTTCGCCAACCCGTGGTAAAATATACGCCGCACGCATATGGACTGCACTGAAAGAGTTTGACAATGAAAAGGCATATTAAAGTGTACCATTTTTTTAAATACTAAATAATGCATCAATCAACATCCATGAACACCATCAAGTGAAACCCCCCATAGGTTACTAAGCTATCAATGTTTAGTAGCATCCTTTAGGTGAATGTCCATAGTGCAGGGCAGCCCTGTAGAACATTTTTTTAAACTTGTGGCATTATTTTTTTGTGTTCTATATGCATATATAAGAGATTAAGATTATATCACATAATATAGTATAATAAAATGTTAGGTGACTGGAAAAAAAGTAATTTGACACTTGAAACTAAGTATTTGCACTCATATATACATCCAAAAATGTTTATGCCTATATTCTATATTTACAAAATAGTAGTAATCATCGGAAATTAATGATTTTATCAACTTGACCCTAATTTTTAATGCAGTAACTGTATCTCTCCATTACTATGGATATTGTAATACATTACATGATGCAAATGACAAAAATAGCAATGAAATCCTGAAGTGTTTATCAAGACCTGATATTCAAAGAATTACATCATCATATTAGGTATATCGCTAAAAATAGATGTTTTATTAATCTAAAATTCAACATAATAACCTTTCTTTTAGTTATTAATGTGAGCTGCTAACTATTTTTAATAATCAATTAGTAACAATTATAAAGCTCAATATTAAATAATATAGATAAGAAGATAGAACTGGTAATTATTTATTATAATTTGTAATTTAGTAAAAAAAATGAATTGCATAAAATTCCGAAACTTTGAGATTTAATGTGAAAATTTTATACCAAATTATAGTCAAAGCAATTGGGATCAAGCAGACTGCCTCAATCGTTCAAATCTAGATAAAATATTCTGACACACTCTAAAGTTTATAGGCATACATATAATCTATGCCTAGGTGATCCCAAATGAGGAAAGCATCAATCAATCAAATCAAAGCAACTACTTTCAAATATACAATGAAATGATAAAACACAATAAACCAAGACAATTAATGCACCTTACAACTGCAGACACACCTGGATTATTTTCTTTATTTCTCTGAGACCAGAAAATTATAGAACAACTTTGAATTATCTGCTAAACAAGTTGCACCACCAGCAACAGCACTTTACATTAAAAACTATAGTCAATTATGATTGTGATTATAATTGTATTCTCTAGATTAGGGTTGAAAAAATTGTTTTGGATATAAAAAACTAAAATCCATCCAAATCATCCTATAAAGTATGTCTTTGAAAGTTGTGTGTTGTATATATAGCCTAATCCAATCTCACCATGGAGTTATTAAAAGAAAAATCATGTTTTATCCTTAATCAGTCCCCACAGTGGTACAGTTCTGTATTTTGGTGTACCATCAGTCACACATTTTATCTTTCAATGTATATCTACAGTTCAAGGGGGCGTTGGATTTTGTTCTAATTTGGTTTCAATTTTGTCAGCATAAGTGGAACATTAAAAAAAATCGGTATTAGTTCACTCAGCATTTATATCATAAACACTAGAAATTACAAGACACTTCCACATTTCAAAAATTTTATACTTGTGTAAAATTCATGGAAATCAGATGACCTAAATTATACTTACCAAAATAAGATAAAACATACGAGTCTCCAGTATTTAATTTGTATAATATTACACAATACCATGCCAACATTCACAAAAAGAACAATTTTTTGGTTTCTCTATACAGTACGACTTATTATTCTTGTTATATTTATTTATATTTATGACTACACTGCTTCACTCACTTGGCCAGCAGGGTGGGAGAGAATTGACAAAAGACGATCGATACTTACAGTATCGGATATACGGGTGTGAAGAATATTTTGAATTTTTTATAAAATTCGGCTTTATTAGAAAATATTTTGATCCTTAAAGCTTAAACTCGTCTTAGTAAAAAAACTCACAAGTATCGATATTTTCAGAGAGATATTCAATTTTGTATCGCATACGAATAGCTCAACATCCCTAATTGTCATTGTGACGTCTGCCACTTTTCTAGGGAAAGTTTCCACTAGGATAATTTGACACTTTGACGTTGACATCTCCATAAAGACGTAAAATGTCCTGTGACTGAACTCGCGTTACATTATTGGATAACGCGGCACGCGGTTCAAGATGTCTAATCAAGATGGTGGCCTCGTAGCCAACCATAAAGCTATTTTCTGGACACGTGATCTGGTTAGTTACGAAATGTCAACATTACATTCGTCGAGAGTCGAGACTACCCTTTATCTATACGATGCTAGATGGTACGGTGTTTGTAACCTAAGCTCTTCTCTTTTTGTTTGTTTTTTAAACTGGAAACTTCAATGAAAAACGTGTGAAAACTATAAACGGTGGAAAACCATGGCTGAAAACGTTAAAAAATAGGAACAGTCTGACAAAAGCATCCGGTTGACGAACATACTATAATTGTTGAATGTTGTTTTGTAAATATGACAAAGTTAGTTTTAGTAATAGTGATAATTTCAATCTATAAAGCACCAACAATAGTATCAAGTGCATTCAATGGCGAAAACTTGACAATTTCAGACAATTATGGTAAGTAACACATCCTTGTAAGGTGCATATGCACATGAAATGCACATAGGAAATTAGTTCATCAGGAGGAAGTAGCACACCCCTTTCTGGGTTATGCACATTCTAATTTGTATGGTTGTATAAACGCGAAATAGTCAATTTAATTTCATTTCGGTTCTTAAACAGGTGTGGTTTTAGACTTTACAATAGCATTAGACATTGATGATTCATGAAAATTCACTCTGATTCAATTAATGGATGTTGAAGGTGTTGAAGAAACTAAGTCTTATATTAATTTATTTCATGCCTATTGTATTACTGTAGGGAACAGAAGGTACCTTTGCATATGAAAATCCCTTAGTAAAGTTCAGGTGCTATGTAGTTATAGGATTATAACATTGATCAATGTATTCTACCTGGTAGAATACACTAATCAATGAGATCATTCAGCCTATGTAAAGTGATCCAGCAGTGCAGCACCTTTATGCTGAATAGCAGTAGCCATGGGATAGCTTTGTCAAATTGACAGCAGTTTTCCTTTCCTTGGCTGTTAGTTTGATTGTATGTTGCTTAATGTAGCCAACTGTGAAAGGTATTCCATAGCCAGTGTTATTCGTCATAAAGTGCTGCATTACAGGCTGATCTGGGCTGCGTTTGTAAATTGTTACAGAGTGTACTTTGTACTACTCTGTAACAATTTTAGCATTTGTAATTGTTTGACGTATGTGTTAGTGGCATTTGGAAATAGAACAAAGTAATCCTTCTGGAATGTTTCTTCCTGAGCTCAAAACATTGGGAATAAGAGTTGTCATGCTCATGGTTCATTGTTTGTTTATTTTATTTGGTTATCAAGAACTGCTCAAAAATGGCAGAATGTATATTTTTCATGATAAATGCTACCTTGTATCCCAGGGTCTCTTATAATAATTACAATGGTTGAAAAAAACATTGTTAGAAATTAGTCTGCTATTATCAAGTATCATTACATGACTCTGTAATAATTTAGGGCTTCAAAAAATAAAGTTCCACAGTATTCCAGAGTAAAATTTCATCTGTCAACCTACATTCCATTACTATGTACAGTATTACAGTACCATGGGATTTACAATCGTACCCCTGTGATGATCATTCAAACAATGTGAATGACAGTTAAAGGTGGGAGTTGTAAGGCTCAAGTAATACCCTCAGATCATATAATTAGTGATATGTCCCTCCACAGGTTTGGACATATAATAGTAAAAAATGTTTTAATTAACCTCCTTTATTATTTTTTGTTTTCATGGTTATGTTCAGCTGCTAAAAGTTAGTACTGCATAAAATATAGCTTAGTTTATATTTCCTTAAACAGTTTTTGGGATGCCTCAGTAAAGAATTACTTTGACACATCCATCCCTCTCATGACATGTTATCTAATTTTGGGTTTATCCAGTGACATTTTTGTGTTAGTCTGCAAGATTGGCAATAGTGAATTATAATCTAGTAAATTTTGTTTGTGGCGTTTTGTTTTTCATATGCAAATGAACTTTTTTAAATAAAAGAGCTGTTAGCAAGTACAAAATGAATCTTTAGCATACAAAAAACAAATGCAAAATATGTTTCTGTCTGCCTGGTGTTGCGCAGCTGGCAGAATTATGTGTCCTGTGTCGATATGGGGAATTTTCAAGTATTACTAGATAACCAGCTGTCATTCAACCATGATGGATACTCGTGAAATAGGCTATACATTTTTTTAGTTTTGTCGCACCACTTCTAATATTTTAGCTTTGTCCAAACAGACCATTGAACTAGTTCTGAAGTGAACAGGGCTTGTGCAGATCAAAATGACCCATACCAAATTGGTTCTAACAGTTTTGGTTCTGAGAGGGAACTAAATGTTCGAATTTGATAGTGTATGCATGTTTACAGAATAAATGGTGTTGCTGACCTGTTCATTGTTGGGAAGCCGGATTTTGTGGCTGCCATTTTAAGCTTTTTCTAACTTTTCCATCCGCACATACATCAAATCTATTTAAGTGAGGGTCAATTTCTTAAGCTGATTATAGGAGATCCAAGAACTAGAAATGAATGTCTTTAAAACTACTAAACCACTAAGATCCCTACTTGGCCACACAAAAAACTACTAATGGAAATATGACCACCAAAAATTCAATAAACAAAATAGACTGTGACTACAGGTGATGCTGAAATATTGAGACCTGTTAAATGTAGAATTAAAGAACATATTTATAATATGGGTTTTTAGTGTCAACTAAGAAGCTTATTTTCTTTTCATATACAGGGTGTTTGAGAACTTTGGGATCAAACTTGTAGGGGTTATTCAGTGTAACAGTAGAAAACATTTGAGTATAGGGACCCATATCTGGAAAAGTGTCACTACGGCCCTAAGACTCGTTAAAATTTAGAAAGATGATGAATTGCCTAAATAGGATTTAATGCATTTAATTTTTGCCTTTTGTACATGATATCATCACAACAATTGTTCAAAATGTCTTCCTCCTACCTGAATACACCGATTTAAACGTCGCACATGATTTCTGCGGACTTGTCTAAAAATTTGATACTCGTTGTGAATGATTTCAAATGCTGCTGTTATTCGTCCAATTAAGTCTTGCTCTGTTTCTACTGGAGTTTCGTAAACCAAAAACTTTACATGTCCCCACAGGAACAGTGTATTCAGGTTGGAGGAAGACATTTTGAACCATTGTTGTGATAATATCATGTACAAAAGGCAAAAATGAAATGCATTAGATCCTATTTAGCGCCGTAGTGCCATAGTGAGACTTTTCCTGATATGGGTACCTATACTCAAATGTTTTCTACTGTTACACAGAATAACCCCCACAAGTTTGATACCATAGTTCTGAAACACCCTGTATATTAGGTCACAAGCCTATATGATATGTGATAGATATTTGACAGGGTCAGATAATATTTTCATTTTGACAGCTTTTTTAGGTACCATGGGAATACGTGTGGCCAGGGGGTGACATTTTAACTATGAAAAATAGTACCGAAATTGTGATATAAATACCATTAGCTAAATAAATTGAATATAAATATTTATTAAAAGTAACGAGTTTTATCAGCCTTCAATCATATACTTCGAAGTTGATTCATTTATTTTAACAGTGAGTAGATCTGATCAAAAGAAATGTTTTTTTCCTTTAACATTTTTGTGGTAAAATTTAAAGTAACAAAGTTATAGCCCTTTAGAAGTTTGAGTACCGCCCTGTCTCAATAATAATATGTGCTCGTGTTTGGCAACAACGGATATAATCGGAAACAAAAAAGCGAAAGAATTTGAAACGCTTATCACGATGTTTTATTCATTTATTTTATTCAGTTGTATTCATTCGATGTGTCAGTCGGTAACGCGTGAGTGGTGTTTCTGCGTGGCTCAAACGAAATAAAAAATGGCACATGTTTACGAAAATGCTGAACTTGTGGACATGATTCTTATTTTACAAAATGCTGCTATAGCAACACGGATTTATGTGGATCGGTTTCCCAATCGAGTGCAACCAACCCCTAGTGCCTTTGTTAATGTAGTACAAAGGGCTCGTGAATCAGGTGACTTAAGTCCTCACACGGGAGGGTATGTGCTCCAAGACCGCACGATCAAATACAGGTCCGCACTGAAATACTTGTCGGGAGGATATTTTATAAAACAAGGTAACATTTTTTTTTAATTTTTACACATATTTTGGTTTATCTTCCTTCTACAATCATTATCTGAAAATTAATGACTCAACTTCAAAGTCACCCTGTATATTGAGAGCTCACAGACCCTCACGGTAATGGATGTGTTTGTCAGCTAGAAATTTTTTTTAAATAGCAGGCTTCAGTTGTTGCTTTTTTTGTTTAAAATATTTTCAAGATCAAAAATACAACTAATCCTGATCAGTCCAAAATAAATATTCATAATTTAAACTTAAGAAAACACAGTTTACAACAATAACAGATTATAGCTTATATTACCTGCATGAATCAATAATATAAAAAAAATTATCAACGAATACATAAATGGTTTTATAATATGTATAGTGAACAAAAATGAGATATAGGATCAATTCCTCGAGATCGCTTTTGTTTATTATTACAATGTTATTCTGATGTTTACAGTACAGAGGTTTAAATCTGAACAATACAGTAAACTCTAGGTCTTCTAGGAAGTGTGGCATGGTCAGCATTATTCCTAGCATATTAGCAGGAATGGCTGATATGACTAACGTTACTCAGGCTAACCTATAAAAAACATAAACACATAACATGAGTTTAGGAAGTCAATTGTAACACAGGAAACTAATTTAGCTTCTGTTTCGGTTCCCAAGCGACTTCAAAGTATGTATCAAACCAAATGTCAAAAACACTCTTTCGACACATGCTGAAGATGATATATAGCAGTTATTTAATGATGGGCAGTATATTTTGTATAGCATCGACAATCTGTTCCATCAATTTGAAGTTCTAAGAATTTCATCATCAAACATTATGTCAGCAAAAGGATCTGATTTTGAATTGAATTATTAGTAGGTAAAACCCACTGGGAAGCAGTTCTTTTGCAGGTTTCAAAGCACAACTCTTTTCGTTGTCTGCTAACAGATGTGGTTTTGTCGGATCAAGAAGATATTATGCTAACAGATGATATGTAGTTCATATCAGTGTCTAATTTTTTTTATTTGACTTAAAGTTAAATATTAAATGCTAATTCAAGATTTTTGAGTTCTTGTACATCAGAAACGATTGCAACAGTTCTTGGGTGCCTATCAATTGCAAAAGAAATAGGGTTCAGAATTGCTAAATATTCATGTAGATATTTGAAACTTTTTGTCACTACAGCATCAATTTAATTTTTAAGCTACTCACTATTTTCACAAGTTTGGACCACGATTCAATGAATGCTTCTAACCAGTCAGCAAGCTATTCCACCTCACATCATTAGGTAGAACACATTTTTCCTCCTTCTTATGTGTATGTCGTAGAGCCAAAGTGATTATTTTGGAAATATTTTACGACAAACACAACATGCTCCTTGATATCCTGAACATCTAAATCTTCACAAAGTAAATTGAAAATACGAGCTGTGCAACCATATGCAATAACGTTCATTTTAGCGGATTTATGCATTTTATTTCTCAATTCATATTGGCTGCATTATTGATAACAGTGCTACTCACTACACAGTTATGGTCCCTCTTCAGTGATTTTATCAAATTTATGAGAACTGTCAAACACACAGATGTATGAGGCTTCTAGACGTGTCCATTGTGTCTGTCAAAAAAGACTTTCCATTTTCTGTAGTTATTGTAGTACAGATTATTGGTCCGTTGTGCACATTTGACCAACCATCCAATGACAAACAAACTGAACCACCTGATAAGGACTTAAAATATTTACTGTATTTCTTCATATATATATATACTTCAATAAGTAGTTAGTTGGACACATCACGTCGAGAAGGAGGTACATACATATCCAGGGCGTATAAGCGCAATTGATTTTTCAACTTCTGGTTGTTCAGATACATGTGAAACTACTGTTTGTAGTATATAGAGCTCTAGCTTTTTATTTATTTCTTCTTTATCGATATTGCTTGCCCATGTAACAATAGAAGATAAAGGTCAAGCAGTCGAGATAGATGTTTCTTGCCTTTTTTTTTACTGACTAATAATAGCGATTGCGGGTATTTTGCAACAACTTAAGATGTGAGGTAGAACTGCTACTCATCTTGTACCTGCAATAACATATAATATAGTTCCCAGTCAATATGAAAACTTTATAGATGTATTTGAATAAAATATGTTTGTTCTTAAAACGCTTTTAATTAGCTACTTATCGCATTTAAAAAGTATTAAAACTAGAAAATTAAATGCTCGCTCATTTAGATAACCTGCATATGAGCCCGCGGGACGCCCAGGGTCGCAGGACATAAATTTGTCTTAGTCCAACATATTTATCTGAAATTGAATTGCTTATAGAAACTAAACATCACGCTCATGACAAGATGATAAGTCCAATAATACTGGCAAACTGTACTTACATTTAAATCTAGTTCTGAACGAGTACTAGCAGTACTGGTACTAGCAATTACACTATTGTCTGTATCTAATATACCTGCTTGAACTGCTTTCGTTTTCTGGCATACCTCCTAGGGTCTTTTCATCTGTTAACTGCCGTGCTTCCCGTTTTTCCGTCTGATTTATTCGATTGTTGAATAAAATATTGACAAACAGGATACATTTTGCTACCACCACTTCGGGATATATCAGCTATCTTTTAAAACATCCTAAGATTTAAACAAGGAAGTATAGGAAATAGGAACACGCAATTTACCTATGAACGAAGGGGCCGACTATAAGTTAAGAAATGATCCGTCTCGCGCCGACCGCTTATAAAGACGAACGAATTTTCTTGTTCTGACAGTAAACCCACGGCACCCACACGACAACAACACAACTTTTTGAATTACGCCGAGGAGATTTCATTACTTTAAATCTGGACAACAAATATTTTTGGGCGAATAGAGAAAATAATGAAAACTTAGTTATTTCAAAGCTCATCATTTCGATATTTAAGAAACAAATTAGTACAAATTTGTAAAAATAAAACAACCTAGGATTTAATCGAAGAAATCAGATTTTATGATTTTAAAAAAAAAATCGTGATGAAAGAAATGATAAAAAAGAAGTTTAGAAAAAACAATTGGTATAAAAACCGCCAGCTAAATGTCGCCAGTGTAGTGACAAAAACGTACATGACCTCGAAAAAGAAAAAAATAAGACGTTTTTCTATTATTGTATGTGATTCATTACTCTTGTATTCAAGAATCGTTGTCTTCACATATTTAAACTGATGTACTATTGAAATTCACAAAGATGTACTTACCAGGGTAAATACTGTAAGCTTTGACTCAGGGTATCTGATAACACTACGTGAACAACCAATGCGTTCCTGGTTTTAGTAGACCAAATCGCGCTAGTTTCAAACTCCGTTGGTATGCTACGTATAGATGATCAAGGTCAAATCGCGACATTGTCATATTTACACGAAAATATGCAATTTGAATTGCGCTAGGTGAATTTTCAGGAACCACTAAAACCGTGTTTTTATGCGTTTATACAAATTTTGAGTGCCTCTTTTCATGAAAAGTTATAAGTTATAATGTGTATCTAGCAATACAAATAGTATTCGTATATTGTTATACCAGTTACATATACAGAAATTTGTTGATATTTTAGTGAAAATCGGTAATGGAGCACGCCAGGGAAGTGCTTTTTCAGTTTTCAAGCATATTGTGTCTAAATCTCAATGGTTACCTTAATTTCATTATATGTTCCAAATAAAGCATGATACTTTACAATGTCCTGATGGTTTATTTCCACAGTTTGTCGTTTCGCTTGAGGTTTATGTGGCAGGACATTGAAATCCCAAACAGGACACAAGGACAAATGAAAGGAAGTATCAGTATTGCACAGAGAAGATAACAATTACAGAAGAGAGGCAAATTCATCAGCATGAATAAAATTAAACAACAATTATCTTTCTAGTTCCTCTGTGGACTGTAACCCAATTTGTTTGAGTTTCCTTGAAGGAAGAATTTAAATGATATTTCAAAACCGACTAATGGACCATTCGTTTTTTACTACTATTTTTTTCTCATGGTTTGTTACTGGATCTCAAATGCGCAGATGCTTTACTTTGTCGTCTCAAGTTCTTACATTATTTGCTCGCAAGACAATTATTTTTATTATTTTGACAATAGTTCTATATGAGTTTTTACGCGTTCTTGGAGGACCCCTACTGAGCGGGGCTGTGGCAAATGCTTGTTTGTATCCAGTATACAACTTCTTCCCGTTCAAGTGATTGTACACGCGTTAAGGTATACCTCAGTATCGATTGCCGGTTGGCGGTACAAGTCCGCTAACGAGTCACTTTAGGTCTATGTAATATCATTAACACGCAAAAAGGTGGTAGACAAGGACCAGTCGACCGAGGAGGTACCACCCGCTAGCTTTTCCCATGGTGTCTTATAAATGTCTGCATGTTTCCACACCTAAGCTATGCAGTCGGTTATCTTCCAAAACAAAGAAATTATGGATCCCTCGAACACTAAGAATTCCGGACGTAAACTCACTCCACTCTCGGAATGTCCGGGTGGAGGTTGGGCTCGAAGAAACAACATCGAAGATAAAATTTATTTTACTAACATCTGCGGGATTAACACCAACATTGATGCTGTTCATCACTACCTGTAATCAAATCGTCCCGCCATGCTTTTCTTGGCGTAGGCAAAAATCTGAGAGTCGATGAGCCATCTTAGCTTCCCAAATTACGAGGTGCACTCCAATCTGAGAAAGAAGGTGAAGTTGTGGCTTTTGTCCGCAGCAGCCTTTCTTGCTCCCGTTTCTTTGGAATCAGGCCGGAAGGACATTCTAAGGCTTCACCTCAACTCCAAAACATCATAAAAAATTATTTGCTGCCTGTGTCGCTCTCCCTCGGACCATAACTGGGATGACCTACTTGAATACCTCGCCGTCAATATCGACTTCCTGAACATCAATCACCCCGTTTCAGAGGTAGTTCTCAGTGATTTCAATGTCCATAATGGGCTTTGGTTGGGCTCAAACAAGACTGATTCAGCAGGTCGTGCAGTCGAAGCGTTCGCTCTTACTCAAGGGCTGACCCAGCTGGTGAGGAGCCATACTTATTTCCCCGCGTCTCGTCACATGCCAGTAGCCTGCTGGATCTGTTTCTGATCTCGCATCCTGTCCCTTACAGCACTGCTGTCCTGTCCCCCCTGGGTAACTCAGACGACGGTGTTGTAGAGGTTGGGTTTCGGTCAGAACCCGCTGTGGCAGCAAAACTTGGCATTAGGGACATGCCGACTGGAAGGAGCTCAGAGACTTCTTCTCTACCTTTCCTTGGAGAGATTTATGTTTCACTGACGCGGATGCGTTGGCTGTCTGTTCTTCGATAACCGAAATTATTAGTCACGGTAATGTCGCAGCGCAATGGCTGTTTCCTGTTTCCTTCTGGACGCTGGCCCAAAAGATTCAAAAGAACTTCTCACACAGTAGCCTTTCACCACTTACATGTTAGGATGGAACGATTGTATCCTACTCAAAGGCCAAGGCGGAAGTGCTTGCCAAGATCTTTGCTGCCAACTCCACCATGGACGTTTCCCACAACGCCCAAGTGCCGTCAATTCAAAGGGTTCCCAACACTATACGGGAGGTAACATTCAGGCATAAGACCGTAAGACGAAAGCTGTTGTCGCTCGACATCAACAAAACTTCTAGTCCGGACTTGATTCGTGCCATTCTACTGAAAAGGTGTGCAGCGGAGCTTGCTCCAGTTCATTCGCTTCTCTTCCAGATATCTTATGAATCCGGCACCTTCCCAGAAAACTGGAAATTTGCTCATGCCCAACCCATCTCAAAAAAAGGATCTAAGACCGACCCTTACAACTACAGGCCTATAGCTCTGCTTTCTGTTATAAGTAAGGTGATGGAGAAATGCATAAATCGCGAGCTTCTGGACTACCTCGAACGTCACAGCTTGATTAGCGACAGGCAGTATGGTTTCCGGCATCAGCGATCCACAGGGGACCTCCTAGCACGCAATTGTGGAGTAAACTCATCCAGTCTTATGGTGAGGCTCATGTTGTTGCTCTTGACATCACGAAAGCGTTCAATCAGCTGTGGCACGCTGCCCTCTTAAGCAAACTTCCATCCTATGTCCTCCCAGAAAAGCTTTGCAGATGGGTGGCTGACTTTATCTCTGGCCGAAAGATATCCGTCGTAATTGACGGGTTCTCCTCTTCATCCCACAACATCAACGCGGGTGTTGCCCAGTGATCGGTCTAGGCTCCGATACTGTGCCTTTTACATATCAACGACCTCCTTCCTCTACACTCTACATGCAGGAATTCAGAGTGACAAGCCGATCTCTGCCGCTGAGCTGGAAAAAAGAAGACTAGCGACGACTTCCTCTCTGACGCGAGACCTGGAGGTTATCATTTCTTGAGGACGCAACAGTCTAGTACAGTTTAATGCTTCCAAAAAACAGTACTGTACTTTGACGAACAAAAAGCGTCCTAGCGCTCATCCGGTTTCGATGGACGGCCGAGTTCTGCCAAAGAGCCATTCATTTCGGCTGGTCGTAGTCCAGATCACCTAGGACGTGATCTGGCACGAACACATCTGGTCAATAGCGGCAGCTGCTGGGAAAAAGCTAGGCTATTTGTTTAGGTCTAAGATGTACTTTTCTCCGCCTGACATTCTCACTTTATACGTACAAGGCCCAGGTCAGGCCTAGCCTCGAGTATTGCTCACACGTTTGGGGTGCTGCCGCCTACATTATTCATGCTCGATGCTGTCCAGAGGAGGGCGGTCCGACTGATCGATGACTCTTCTCTAACAGACAGTCTCGTGGCCCTTTCCCACCGACGGGCCGTTGGCAATCTAGCTCTTTTCTACCGCTGCATCAACGGGCTTTGCTCTTCAGAGCTCTCTTCCATGATGCCGCCGCGCGATGTGCCTGCCAGACAGACCAGCCTGACTTTGGTGTCCCATCCTAACCGTGTCGAACTTCGTACATACAGAACTGGCCGATACGACCGCTCCTTTGTCCCGAGGGTGTCGACATTGTGGAACAATCTACAAGAGGAAGCTTTTCCCGGTTCTACTAACCTTAGGCAGTTCAAAAATCGTATTAACAAAATTTCTTTAGGATCATCATAGCAGCCACGGTGTCCCGGCATTTAAGCTTCTGCCTGCGGGGCTGCTTCGGTATAAAAAAAACTGTAGTATTTTCGGGATGATGGGCGAGAGTGACGTATCTGGTACATTAAAAAAACGATAGAAAATCTCATACTCGCTTGTGGCTTTTTGCTGGATGTGCTTTGGGAACGAGAATGCCTATCCCCAGGCGATCCTTGGGTTTTTGGGCTTACGCGGTGCCATCTTGAAGTTGTAATGAAGGCTTTGGCATGCTACAGCACACTTCAATCTACTGTCGCAACATACTGCATAGAAATGAAGAAAAGAAAAAATAAATGAACTGTCACCTGGAAGACATACAAGTAAAGATATACTGTCGTTAATTGTCATCGTACTTGAAAATGGTCACTGTGGTGGCCGAAATATCGAACAATAAACAGAAATTAAAACATGTATGTGGTTTAATTTGGTCACGCAATTGAGTTATATGAGCATTGACGATTGAACTGCCAAAAATGGTGAAAAAAGCTAGTCTCTAAATATTACTTGTTATCACATGGCAACTACCGCAGCTCAGCATAACTTGTTTCACCTGCTGACTTCTATCAATCAAAATGAAGATTTTCGAATTTTCATTCAGATCTAGCAGACTAGGTTAAGCCATACTGTATACAGCCCTAACTCTTAGCAGCTGAGCACAATTGAATGTAATGATTGTTAGGCTTATAGCAATTTTATATCTAATCAAATTTGGTCTCATTGAAAAAACAAATTCGTTATTGTTTTCACACTTAATCAGTATTTAGCTTCCTCAAAGCATTCTCAGCTTCCAGATTATTCTACCCTTTTTATGAGAATTGATACTACTGATTATTCATTATTTCACTTTGTTGTATGTTGGTTTCATTTCTAATCTATTTGTTAAAGGCTATTACAGGTGTCCATATGGATACTTGGTTTTGAATAAACCTTTCCTTTTTTAGGCGAAAAACATCCAGTACCAGATTTTGGTGCACATAGTGTAGTAAGGCCTAAGATATATCATGGCAGAGAAAAACGGAAAATTTCTACTACAATCGTTGAGGTAATATAATAATTTATTTTCAAATAGAAACTTATTTCATTATTGAAATGAAATTGAAGTTTATTAGTAGTTACTGTTCCAACAAGGAATCTAAACTTTTGATATTAAGTTACAATTTGTATTGATTATAAGGGAAGCGTTTGGAAGGTATCTGCTTAGTCCTTGATTGGACATCTGTATTGTATGACTATCAAAAAGAACTGTCACCATATTTTCCTAGTTTGAGGGTTTGAGATATATGAAACTACAGTTTAATAAAGTCTCATCTTCCCCGTCAAAACAAACATTAGCGCACAACGGTTAAATTCGCGCACTGCTATTGGCCAGAGGGCCATAAGTTCTTGAACAGGGAGCAACAATCGATTAGAAATGGGCTTCAAGTGCTCATATTTGTTTTGACACTTGTTGTTTTTTCATTTTCAGAATGGCGGCCATCTGGATTACCTTCATATAAAAGTGAACGTGGATGGAGAAAACATGGTATTAGATTTAACATTGAATAAACAACTCATCCCCAAAGGATACTTCCATAATCATCAAGCTAATGGGGATTACGTGATTCACAGACCACAGACTACTAAGGTATACATTACTATTCCCATTTACTTTCACCTTATGGTATTCATATCATATATAATTATATATATATATATATATATATATATATATATATATAAAGAGTAAATTTTCCTATTTTTGTTATATATATATATATACAGGGTGTTCCATAATTATTGCGACAAAATGATAGGGGTTGTAGAGGGCATCAAAATGAACAATTTTGCCTTATAAACCCCTGTTCGGAAATATGCCGTTTGGGCTGCAGCAAAAAAAAAGATCAGTTTCTTGAAACAGCTTACCTACAGTAATTGCTCAAAGTATCCTCCACCTTGCTCAATACACAGCTGTGCACGATTGTTCAATGATCGGCGAACTCTGTGGCATACCCCCGGTATGTCCTGAACATGTGCGGACGCGACCATCACTCTTCCCAGTAGGTCTTGTTGGTTGGGAACAGGAGTTTCGTACACTAAAGCTTTCAGATGGCCCCAGAGAAAATAATCCAGTGGGGTCAGGTCGGGTGACCGCGCAGGCCAAGGCACAGGGCCACCTCGGCCTATCCACCTATTTGTCGTCCAAATACTGCCGCACTTGTAAAGAACAGTGGGCTGGAGCGCCATCGTGTTGAAACCACGTGTTGGCTCTTATGTTCAGTGGCACATTTTCTAATAGTTCCGGTAGCACATGCTGTAAGAATCGACCATAAGCATGCCCATCCAAACGTGGTGGAAGCAAATATGGCCCGATGATATGCTCGTCCACAATGCCGCACCAGATGTTAATTGAAAACTATGTTGGTCTCTATGGATGGCTATGGCATGAGGGTTTTCTTCATCCCAAATGTGACTGTTACGGCTATTAAAATAACCGTCCTTTGTGAAACAGGACTCGTCAGTGAACAAAACGTAGCGACCAAAGTTTGGTTGCCTCAACTCCTGCTGCAGCCACCAACGACAAAAACGTCGACGCGGCAGATAGTTTTCTGGACCCATGGCTTGGACTTTTAAAAGGTGGTATGGGTGTAGTTGCTGGTCATGGAGAACCCGCCAAGCAGTGGTTTGAGACGCTCCCATTTCATGTGCAATAGCACGCACGCTTGTACGCGGATTGGCCTCTACATGATGCAGAATCGCTGACACGAAGACGTCCATGAATCCTTGCAAAAATGGCGTGATGCGGATGAGGACGTTCTGGAAACCGTTGGGCGTAGATTCACGAGGCTCGTCTTCCGTTACCACCAGCTTCTCCGTAAATTAAATGCATATCCGCAAGTTCCGCATACGAATAACGCTGCATTTTAACACTAAGGTACTGTTATTTACTATCTAGTTTGACGCACCACTCAGATAAATTAAATGAATCGGTGTGGAGAATTTACGATAACAAAAATGTAAACACAGCAGGCTTTTTTTTACAAATCGGCGAGACCATGAAATGTGCTAGACGAACATTTTGCAGCTGTTGAATTTTTTGTTTCTCCTATGAGCTCTTAAGGTAAAATTAGCGGTAGTGCTCAAACGGCATATTTACGAACAGGGGTTTATAAGGCAAAATTGCATATTTTTATGCCCTCTACAACCCCTATCATTTTGTCGCAATAATTATGGAACACCCTGTATATATAACAAAAAATAGGAAGATAATGGGCAAAATCCGCAAAAAGGGAAAGTGGATTCGAGCAGAAAATAGGATAGGTAACCCGAGCAATACGTATTTCTGCTTGTTGGCTTCATCAGACCCGAAATGAAGCCACATATGCAACCACAAAAGTAGATACACATGCCCATACATCCGGATACGGGTGTAACCTGAGGAAACGAATATGGAGAGGGGAAAAAATGATACACGAAGTCCCCAACAAGAGCCAACCTACACATTGTAGTATAAAATGGCTAGAAGACCTCGAATTTCCAAGGCTACATCTAGCCACAACCTGGCGGCCGGTTATAGCCACTTACTGTGGTACTTCAAGCCCAAAGGATCTACAAAGAGAAAACGATCATGCGGAGAAAGGTATATCACAAAAAATAGGAAAATAATGGGCAAAATCCGCAAAAAAGGAAAGTGGATTCGAGCATAAAATAGAATAGGTAACCCGAGCAAGACGTATTTCTGCTTGTTGGCTTCATCAGGCCCGAAATTTCTTTATATATATATATATATATGTGACAAGACAACAGTGCAATTATAGGATCATAAAAATACTATGTGTTATGTGTTGCTAGTGTAGAACACCACATCCGGATGAAAAAACTTGTAAGGAGATTATTATATTAAGCATTCCAAGGTGGTAAAAAAAACAGACGATAGGCAACGAAGCATGTTGCCAAGTATTCGGAAAAATCGTGACAAGTCCAGTGAAAGGAAAATGAATATACGACAGGCAAACTTGAAGAAAAACAGTAAATGAGAAGATTAGTAAATCGCACAACAACAGCTACCTTCACGTTCAAGTCGACAGTCAAGTTGAAGAAAGGGCAAACACGCACATAAGTTTACTATTAGAAATAAATTAGCTACCGATCTGGCGAAGAACAAAGAGCTGAGTAGCGCTATAATGTCATTAAACTGCAAGATAGAGAAACTTAGACAAGAGCCGAAGTACAAAGATAATACTATAGAACAACTTGAAGGAATTACAAATAATGTAAAATGTAAGGCAGTCGTTACTGGTGGGTACGTGCAGACGGACCCAACCAATAAAAACTATATCCATGTACAGGCTCAAGCGGTCACAGCAAATAGCATACAAACTCAGACACAACTAACACCGCTTAAAAGCCAACCAAAAAGGGATATAAATCACCTTAACTGTATCAAAGCAAATACTGTTGAAGACAAGTGGTGTAAGCTCTTAATCCTAGCAGAAGAGCAAGGGCGAAATCTGATACATATGCTTCGAAAAGTTCTTCCTTTGGGTCAGTTTGTGGTTACATCGACGTTACATCCCAATTCCCAATTGAATAATATAATCATAGATGCACGAAAGCTAACAACTGATTTCACGAAGTCCGACTATGTACTCATTATAGGTGGTTCTAATGATGTGCTGATAAAAGGTTTCATTCAATGTGAACCTCTCAGAGAAACTTTAAAGGCGCTGAAAACTACCAATGTAATAATAGCTGCAGTACCGCAATGGAGATGTCATAGGCCCGTTTTGAATAACATTATAAGATATATAAATGACCAGTTGCACCGAATTTGTTAACAAAACGGAGTACAACTTCTTAATCTAAACCCAAATCTACATCACTACTACAGGGAGAGGTCCAATGTACTGAATAATAAGGGTAAACGTATCATCTACAATAACATAAAATTGTTGGTAAACACAAAGAGACCAAGTGAATCTTCCATAGAAAATGAAATGCAAAACGAAACAAAAACACATAGGGTAGAAAGTATGCACCATCCGAATATCTGTTATCAACATATAAGTGCACCCAAATAATCTTGACCAAAGTTGAGTTTAAACCAAAATACCGAGCAAAACTTCTAAGGAATCTGCTAAGGAATGTAGCTTACCATCCACATCGCAACAAAAAGAGCCACTTTTGAATGAACAGCAGTCAAATGTTCGATCAGAAATCCGCCAAGGAGTCATGACGTAAAAATAGTGCATTTAAATGTTTGCGGCATCCAGAATAAATATGATGCCCTAGAACTGTATGTAGATGAAGCATCACCGGATATTCTTTGTATCACCGAACCATGGCTAACAACGTGTGCTGCAGCTGTCGCTAACATTCAGAACTACATATTTGTAAGCAGCTTCTGCAGAAATCGATATAAACATGGTGGATGTGCCATACTTGTTCGTCACGGTGCAGAGGCTCAGGATATCTTATTCCCAGATGAATTTTCACAAGAAAAGTACACCGAATAGTTTTCGACCTTTTAACGAAACACTCGTAGTGCTATGTGTCTATCGACCTCCCTCAGGAGGCATAACAATTTTCCTAGAGAACTTGACTTTGCTCTTAAGTCGAATGGTTATCACAAATAATAACATAGTGCTTTGTGGAGATCTTAATATTGATTACAGTAAACCATCAATAAATAGTCTACTACTCAATGATATCCTACAGTCCTTTGGTTTATCACACTACTGTTACGGACCAACCCGCATAGCATCAAACAAGGTCACTGGTATGTCAAAAACTTCAATCGATCTTAAGTCCCATCATATACTGTGAGGAAAACTGATAATAGTAATATCGAAGAACTGCGATTAAGTCTTTCTCAAGAATCTTGGAATATTGAAGAGACCGATATAGATGATGCTTTCGTAATATTCCTTAACACATTTCTATGGCATTTCGAGACGACATTTCCACAAAAACGGTGGAGAGATGGGTCAGATTAATGTGCCTGATGCTTTTGTGAAGCATTTTTCAAGCATAGTGGCAAGTAAAGTCCAACAACGCTTCGAAGGAGTCCCCCCTCTATCAGCAGCAGCAGCTAAAACTCAAGTAGCGTATTCAATGTTCTACATTGAGGTCACCAATGAAGAAGTGAAGTCAATCATATCCAACCTTCCACACAAACAATCGTGTGGTAGTAACCGTGTAACTACTCATGTTATTAAAAGTGTTTTAAATGAAATTGCAGGTCCTCTCACTACTTTAATCAACATATCTGTCTATCAAGGCAAATTTCCGAAATAATAATAGATAGCGTTTATTTGCAGTTAAAAAAATACATAGGATACAAAATAGGGAAAACAACAGGTTACACTTACTGCAAAATGGATCAGCAAACAGTCTAGGTCTGATCAAAGTACTGGCCCAGTGACAAAACAAAACAGATAGCACATTTTTATAGCCGTCTACGGATAATACAATCCTAACCAATTCATTCCAAAATGACAAAAAAGAGAAAAAAAATTAAGGAACAATATGTTTCTGTAATCAAACTTTAACTTAAAACTCATACCCAGATGAGAAGGATAACACAGGAGATACTCAATTATTGTTGCTCCAAAAGAAATTTCTTAAAAGTTCTTTTGGAAGCTGACACTGGCATGGACTTAAAGTCTGTGTGAACGTGGTTGTACGAGTGTGAAAATGATCTACTGAACGTTGCTGTACGATGTGGTGGTTGAGAAATGAGACCTCTGAACCAGACATTGACGTTGTGCACATCACTACGGAATGTAATTTTATTGTATAAGTAAAACGGAGTTCTATATAAAATAATCTTATGAAAAATTACTGCAGAGTGCAGGTTTCTCCTTGCCTGCATGTTTAACCAGCCTACCTCAGATAACTTGTAAGAAACAGGTTCAATTTTTCTAACTCCAAAGATAAACCTGAGACAAGATTTTTGAACACGCTGTATCGGGTCAATCATTTTTTGTTACACAAGGACCATACACTGAGTTATAGTAATTGCACAAAGACAAAACAAGCGTATCACAAAGTAAAATCTTTAGGCCATTGGAAAAAATATGACGGAATGGAAACAGGATTTTAAGCCGACCATAAGCTTGACCAATGCACCTATCAACATGATTTGTAAATATCAAATCGTTATCTATGACTAAGGTTAAATTCCTTGTAGCAGATGTGTGTGGGATAATACTATTATTGACTATAATAATGAAAGATCCTGCAAGACTGATCTCGTGATTCCCGCTTGCCAGTCCTTTTGAATTTACGAAACGCTTTGTCACTTAATGACATCAGAAATCTGACATTGGCTGTTACCCATGGAGGCCTAAAACGTTTATGTTTTATCTCAGTTAACGGAGCCAGCATGTCAAAAATAATATAATGATATTATTAAAGTAAAGCACTTTCACATTTATATCTTCTATGAAACATAAATCATGGAAAGGAGAAAATTGAAATAATTCTGCTAAGATACTCTTATCAACTCTTTTCAAATTAACACATTTAGTTTTATCCGCAGCAACAAATTTCAGATTTAAAGTGCAAAAGTAAAGCACTTTCACATTTATATCTTCTATGAAACATAAATCATGTAAAGGAGAAAATTGAAATAATTCTGCTAAGATACTCTTATCAACACTTTTCAAATTAACACATTTAGTTTTATCCGCAGCAACAAATTTCAGATTTAAGTGCAAAAGTAAAGCACTTTCACATTTATATCTTCTATGAAACATAAATCATGGAAAGGAGAAATTTGTAATAATTCTTCTAAGATACTCTTATCAACACTTTTCAAATTAACACATTTAGTTTTATCCGCAGCAACAAATTTCAGATTTAAAGTGCAAAAGTAAAGCACTTTCACATTTATATCTTCTATGAAACATAAATCATGGAAAGGAGAAATTTGTAATAATTCTTCTAAGATACTCTTATCAACACTTTTCAAATTAACACATTTAGTTTTATCCGCAGCAACAAATTTCAGATTTAAAGTGCAAAATACTAAAAAGTGATCAGACATATTGCTAATGTCTAAGGTTCCTTTATCAGATATATTTAAATTATTAGAAACTACGATGACTTCAATGATAGAAGCAGTAGTATTAGTGATATGTGTGGTTGAATTTACTAATTGAGATAAATTAAAAACTTCAATGCAGTTATGGAAGGTGTCAACATATTTATTATAAGAATCCAAGCATTCAAGATTTATATCACCGCCAAAAATGATATTATCTGAATTTAAATAGAACTCTGACAGGTTTTCCTCAAGATTAATCAGGAAATCACATACATTTTTACCTGGTGGCCTATAAACTGTGCCAAACTTAAAATGCTCTTTGTTTATACAGAAATCTAACCAAATTTGTTCCACAGCATCACTATGTAGAAAATTAAGTATCTTACATTTCATATATTCAGCTACATAAATTCCAACACCACCACCTCTACCTGTTCTGTCCAGCCTGAAAAATCTGTAACCAATATATGAATATTAGAATTCGGAATATCATCATGCAACCACGTCTCACATACACCAACTAGATCAAACTTTTTCTTCAAAATAAACTGAAGTCAAAGAAATTACCTTTTAGCGACCTTACGTTAATAAAACAAAAAGATAATTCTTTCATGAAAAGATATTAATGTACTTAACATGACCCATTTTTATTTTTTTTTACATTATGAATAAAGTTCAATCTTCACTACCGCGCCAACATCTTCTTTCCTCACATAAACATGGCCATTTCTACACCACACATACTTGAATCCTCCTCTCTTCAAATCCCTGGCGTACTTAAAAATATCTCTCAGCGCCTTCGGCAAATCTTCATTAATATATAGTAGTATTTGCATTGTCACTACACTACTAACTAGAAATTCACTCCCGACATTACTCTTATTATCCAAGGAATATCCCACCTAACCTGACCAGAAGATACCTCAAGTAAATTCCTAACGCAGTGAGTACCTACACAAATATTAGTAGCTCTGCGGAAGAAGAACTCTCCGTTTTCGACCATAATTGAAATCCCAAAAATCGTGTCACAAAAGTCATTGATCCTGTCAATAAATTATATTAGGTCATAGTCACATCATAATAATATACTGAGTGCTTCATTAAGATGAGCAAAAAAAAAAAGTAAAGATGACGAGATAGCCAAATTAAGAAACACGACATTGATGAGAAGGACTGTTTAAAAGAAGAAAATGATATAAAGGTACTCAAGCAAAAGATATACTACTTGAATGAAATCCTAGAATCAAAAAACTCTATCATATTAGACAAAGAAAGGTACATTAACCAGCTCGTAAATGAAAATAGACATATGCAAGAGCATTATGAATTAATTATTAGTAGTATCGTCGACAAAGATTCTATTATCAACTCACTGAGCAAGATAAACCAAAGAATCGAAAATATAGAAAAATTTCTTAAAGAACAGTTCAGTAAAAAAATAGATGGACCAGAACTAGGAACAACAACCTCACAAAATGAATTATCCACTGCAAATATGAGTCATAAATCAGCTGTTCGTTTAATTAAACCTCACAAGATCTCAGAAAATCAAGATGTACTAAGAAATTTAAAACAAAGCATAAATCCTGCTGATTTGAGTGTACGGATAGATGGACCAAAAAAACTAAAAACGGAGCAGTAATTTACGGTAAAGATTCAACAGATTTAACCAAACTGAAGAGTGCCCTAGATTCTAAACTTGGAAAAGAATATGAAGTTACGAAGTCTGAACAATACAATCCAAGAATTTTAATCAGAAACGTGCATTTAGAAGAGTGCTCAGATGATTCACAATTGATACAGAATATAATATCCCTTAACAATCTGGATGACGAAGACCCGAGTTCTCTGAAGCTAAAAATGCAAAACGCTAAACCACTCCTCGCGTAAGATCACACTTGATGGATAGAGGCTTCATATACTTAGGATGGAAAAAATATAGCATAGCAGATCACATAAATGTTATCTAGTGCCGTAAATGCTATGGATTTGGGCATTATGCAAAAAAATGTAAATCTAATAACAACTTACGTCAGAAATGTGCGGGTAATCATTTTATCAATGACTGAAAAAGTGACCTAGTCAATTGTATAAATTGTATAAAATCAAATGAAAGTCGTTCTACCACATACGATGTTCATCACAATGCTAACGACAAATCTTGTACTATTCATGAAAAATATTTTAACTACATTAAAAGTAAAACAAATTATAATTAAACTTTCCATATAGACAAGAAACTTATTGAGAGAATTATGGATACATACGTGAAAGATTTCAATCCAGAAGTAATTAAAACAAATATTTTGACCGACTTACCTACAACAAAATTATATTTCTCTAATGATACCACATCAGAGCTAAAAATATTCCATACAAACATGAGTGTTCATAAAAATTTAGATGAACTTCAGACTCTGTTGGAAACACTAAATTATTGTTTTGATGTACTGGTACTAACAGAAACATTTAGAATATATGACACACATTTAATCCAAATTCCAAATTATTATCTATATTACAATGAAGGGGATTTGAATAAAAATGATGGGGTTTTGATTTATGTAAGACAGAACTTAATTAGTAATTCTGAAATTGTATATCTAAATGATACAAAATTATTGAAGGTTATCGTACACAGAGACAACCATAAGATACAAATCATTGGAATATACAAGTCACCATCCATACCCACCACATCATTTAATGAAGAACTTCATAATTATCTTGAAAACAACGAGGAACTGTATATTAATTTAATAGTAGGAGATCTAAATATCAATATTCTAGACCAACACGATCAAAATTCCCTCGAATACTTTAACATGATGGCAGGACAGGTATACCTATCCGTCATTAATGAAGTAACAAGAATTGACGGAGATAGGTATACCTATCCGTCATTAATGAAGTAACAAGAATTGACGGAGATAGTACGGGTTGTATAGACCATATGTTCATAAATTCCTCCATAAATAGTGAGAACCTCGTCTCAGCGGTTTTGAGATATACAATTTCGGATCACTTCCACACCATGCTAAGGATTCAATATGAAGACACAGTTCCTAAATTAAAAAGAGCGCAGTCTAGCATAAAAACGTACATAGATTATAATAAGTTGAACTGTAAACTATCTGATGAAAACTGGTCAGAGATATATAGAGATGATCCTGAAAGGGCATTTTTGATCTTTTTACCTTACAGCTTCAAAAACACAACATATAAATTCATGTACAAATCGCATAAAGATTCCACAAAAGAATATTAAAAGGCAGCCATGGATATCGAATGGAATTATAACATCCGTTAACAGAAAAATTGAGCTGTATGGAAAAACAAAAAAAATTCCATACGATTTAGAACTTCTAAATGAATTTAAATTATACAGAAATAAATTAACCACAATTATAAAAGAGGCTAAATTAATTTTTTTAAAAATGAAGTTGATGAACTTCAAAATTCTGCGGCCAAAATGCGGCATTTCATAGAAAGAATACAACATTCTCAGAAATGACACAAAAAGCGATATTGAAACAGGCAATGAATTTTGTAAATATTTTTCTGAAATTGGTAAAAATCTGGCAAAAGACATTTCAAATGAAACACAACTTATATATACGAAAACCATATTGCAAAATTCCCTGTATCTGACACAGACCGATCAATACGAAATTGAACATATCATAAAGCGACTGAAAGTTAAAAAGTCACCGGGATTTGATAATATAACCGCATACACTCTGAAACAAATAAATTATAAAATTTCTAAAGTATTAGCATATCTTATAAACACCTGCATGGAAAGAGGAATATTCCCGACCCAATTAAAAAAGGCAATAATAAAACCTGTATTTAAATCTGTAAATAAACAGAAACCTTGTAATTATCGCCCAATTTCAGCATTGACAAACTTTTCAAAAATTTTCGAAAAAATTCTTAAAAAACGCTTTTCAGATTTTATTGCAAAATACAACCTAATATCTGAAGAGCAATATGGATTTCAGGAAGCAAAATCAAGTCAAGATGCGCTTATTCAGTTAACAACCAAAATTTACAAGTACGTTGATATTAATAAGTGTAGACCTAACCAAAGCATCCGATAGTATTACACATCAAAAATTATTAAGAACCTTCCAAAATTTAGGATTTCGTGGAGTCACTTATCAACTCATGAAAAGTCATTTGGAAAACAGGTCATAATGTGTGAACATCAACAGTACACTGAGTGAAAATATGATTGTTAGATGCGGAGTTCCACAAGGAACCGTATTAGGACCAATGCTGTTTAATTTATATATTGATGACCTTTTTAAGTTAAAAAACGATGGAGAAATTATTGGTTTCGCAGACGATACGGCAATTATTTACTCAGACAAAGATTGGACTTCTTTAAAAAACAAAATTGTGTTAGATTTTCAAAAGGTTACACATTTTTTCACGGAAAATATTGTTAAAGTCAATTTCAACAAAACATACTTTATTATATTTTCTTGCGACAACAGATCTTCCCCGAATTTTAATCAACTCCAAATTAAAACGTTGAACAGCTGTTGAAACATACAATCGGTTGATAATTTCAAATACCTAGGGGTATTCATAGATAACCATCTAAGATGGAATAAACATATTGAAAATTTAGTAAAAAAATTAAGATACCTTATTCCGAAAGTGAAATATTTCAGCAGTTTTTTAAGCAAAAAATATCTACACATGATATATCATGCACTTGTTCAATCATTACTATCTTACGGAATTTTAGCATGGGGGGGGATCATGAATAATAAAAAGATTGAAATTACGCAGAAGTCGATTTTGAAAGTTATGTTGAACAAAAAGAAATGTTATCCCTCAGAAAATCTTTACAATGAATCTCAGCTTTTCGACTGCCGACAACTTTATTTTTATCATACAATAATATATTTAACAAAAAATCCAAAATTGTTACTTTATATCAGCAACAACCATCAAACGCGATTCAAAGAAACCTCTGCACTAATTCATAGACTTAATAAAACTATCAGCCAAAGATCATTCTATTTTCTATGCTCAAAATTTTATAATGTTATTCCTGCAAACCTTAAATATATAAAATGTATAAAACGTTTAAAAATTGAATTAAAATCATGGATCCCAAATCAACCTAGGCTACAAATCCATAAGTTTGTTGACACTAAAAACCTATATGTTATATATGTTATTTAATCATAAAATGATACAAATTTATACATTTGACTATTATACTTAAAGAGAATTTGTTGTATTAATATAACTCAACTTCGGTTAAAACCCACGCACAAGTGTACACTTTTTTGGGTATATTATCTTTATTGGACATTGCCGTTATTATTTATACGAAAACTTTGTAATTGGACCAATAAACATTATTATTATTATTATATAAATCCTACTGTTTGAGTCATTGATGTTGCAGCTTTTACCATCCAACCTCATTCTCCTTCCTTTGTCAAGAACACCTTTTCGCCGATCTTCTGTCTGGAACTGAACTACCACAACTGCTCTGTTACTGTTAGCAGTTGGCCACACAGACGCTTTATAATCATCACCACCTACCTCCATTTTGGCAAAAACTTTTTTACAATCGTTTCGACATCCCTGTCACCACTGAGACCTGTGATAATTACATTTTTCTTTCTACTAGGATTTTCTTCTTTCAACAATTGGCTCTTCACAAAAATGACCTCCTTTTCAAGATCACCAACTCGAGTTTTTAAATGATCTTGCTCCTTCCTTAACTTTTTGTTTTCCTCAGCCAATGATTAGTCTCTTGTAACTGCTCCATTAAAATATATATGGCATTTTCAAGTTCAGAAAATTTATAATATATATACAGGAGGGTGACTTTGAAGTTGAGTCATTAATTTTCAGATAATGATTGTAGAAGGAAGATAAACCAAAATATGTGTGTAAAAATAAAAAAAAATAAAAAAAAAATGTTACCTTGTTTAATAAAGTATCCTTCCGACAAGTATTTCAGTGCGGACCTGTATTTGATCGTGCGGTCTTGGAGCAGCATGCCCTCACCTGTGAGGTCTTAAGTCACCTGATTCACGAGCCCTTTGCACTACATTGACAAAGGTACGAGGGGTTGGTTGCACTCGATTGGGAAACTGATTCGCATAAATCCGTGATGCATCCGGGAGCATTTTGTAAAGACTGCCCCCCCGTAAATAAGAATCATGTCCACAAGTTCAGCATTTTCGTAAACATGTGCCATTTTTGATTTCGTTTGAGCCACGCAACACACTACTATTCACTCAGGATTTATCGACTGACGAAAAACATCGTGATAAACGTTTCAAATTCTTTCGCTTTTTTGTTTCCGATGCGATGAACCGGTCAGGCGGATTATATCCGTTGTCGCCAAACACGAGCATATAATAGGCAGGGCGGTACTCAAACTTCCAAAGGGCTATAACTTTGTTACTTTAATTTTACCAGAAAAATGGTAAAGGAAAAAAACATTTCTTTTGATCAGATCTACTCACTGTTAAAATAAATGACTCAACTTCGAACCCTGTATAATATCCTTATTGCTAGGATTCTTTATTTGTTCAGAATCAGATGTATCCGGATCATCTGAATCTGAAGATCGATTGTTAGATTTTTTGCATAACCATTTTTGATCAGATTTGCGTTTTTCAAATGCTAATAACTGATCATCAGTCAAGCCTGTGCAGGTTTTGTGATAACCATTTCCCACACGAGCCAGCACATTTTAAACTATACTGAAATTTTGTCATATTATTCCTGCACTTAGCACATTCAGTTCTGGATTTTCCTTTGCTCATTATGACCCTGATTGACTAGACTATAACACCAGTTCCTTATTATCTTGTAACAGCCACTTTTTATTCATGCATCGTTTTTGTTGCCTGGTACACTTTTTGTGAAATGAAAAGGAATGTATTTCTATTTGCTGCGCTTATACACGCATAAAAAAATACGTGCATTACCAATATTCCACCGCAAATCAACTTCTTGCACCACTATCAATAGCTCGTGCAAAAATCAGATTTTTTGCTGAAGTTAAACCATCGATTTTCAAAAAAATGAGGAGAATACTTTACACACGTCTATCACTGTCTCAGATAACATTCGTCCCTGAAGCCTGCGATAATAGTTCCCGTTCCAAAAAAGGGAGATCCTACTCAAGTTGATAATTACCGCCCGTATCACTATTACCAATCTTTTCTAAAATAATCGAAAAAATTCAACCGAATACCAAGCTCGCAACATGGATTTAGAAAACTGCATTCAATAAAGACATCTACTTATGAGTTTGTAAGTCAGATATATAACCAGCTCGATATGAATAAATGTATCGGGGGAATCTTCTTTGACCTATCGAAAGCTTTCGATACAATTGACATTGGACTGAAACATTATTTTACTTAGGCTTAAGAGGTTTTATATTAGATTGGGTAGTGTCTTTCCTGACTGACAGGAAATTCAAAACAAAAGTCAATGGAATGACATCCGCAACGTACAGTATCGACATTGGAGCAGCGCAAGGCTCAATTTTGGCACCCCTTGTATTCATACTATATATGAGTGATTTGCATCTCTCTGGATTTGTAACAAACTATGCGGACGATATGTCAGTTCTTGTCAATGGAACTACGCGCAATGAACTTATTGCAAAAATAAATGAAGTCAAAGATGAAATGAAAGAGTGGTGCCAAGCACAACGTTTGATTTTAAACCTTGCAAAAATCTGATGTACATTTTTATACAAATGCCCCTATTCTAGCAAATCATGAGATATCTAAAACTACGACTTTCTTGGGAATAGAAATGGATGCAAAGCTCAATTGGCAACAACACACGGACAGTGTATGTAAAAAGTTGAACCAATCATATGCGATTTTTAAGCTTAAGTTTTGCTTATCAGAATCAGCTCTGCTAGATGTGTATTATTCCCTCGTCCACTGACATTTATCAAGACACATCATAATTTGGGGTCAATCAACTTCAATTTCTAGAGCATTTGTTCAACAGAAGAAAATAATAAGATTGATATTCAGCATCCATAGACGAGAATTATGCAGAGAGATCTTCAGAAGTAAGCTCATCATGACTCTACCAAGCATTCATATTTATAAGTGCGCCCTTTTCACACATACATGTACAAAGAAAACAAAATTTATACAGAACAAAAACATCAACACACACTATAATACTGGGGCAGGTGAGAGTCTAAGTATTTAAAAGCACACACTGACGCTGTTTGAAAAGTTACCTCAACACACCTGCACTGCAATCTTCCAGCTAACCTCAGGAATGTCAGTAGCATTGCTAGTTTTAAATGTCAAGTACGAAAATTATTAGTTGAAAAATGTCTCTACTCTTTGTCTGAATACCTCGCACTGTGATATAGTTTTAAAACTTTTTTATATGTGAATGTATGTACGACTTAAATTGTCTGTTTGTACTTTGTAAATACTTAAGTTTTTTTTGTTTTACTATTAATTATGTGTGCTATGTACCTCCCCTTAGGACGAGTCTTATGTCATTTTATGATCTACATGGCAATAAATGTATCTATCTATCATATTCTAGAAAATTCTTCATTACTTGCGTCTGCTTTTTGTAAAACTCCCAGCTTTCAACCATGATTGGCATGAAATTAAGACGGGATTTACAGGATCTTTAAGATTGGGGAGAATTTGAATTCCAAACTGACAATCCTTTTTTGATATAAATCGTGTTATCTCCCTCGTACGTACGCCCCTAAAAGCTAGAGGACGACTTATGGGTTCAGTTTTCATAAATTTATAAATCATGCTTTTCGCGAGTGCTTTTTATCATTCGGAATTTAATCGATCTAGCTATACACTGTGTTTCAAATTCGACCCTCACTATTGGCATCTCGGAAACTGTATGAGACACGAAGTTGCTTAAATGGGAGAAAAGTTGCGTATTTAGCAAATCAACAAAATGCCGCTTAGAAAGTTTCGAAATTCAAAGTACTTCCGGAGAGAAACGGAAAAAAACAAATTTTTCCAAAATCGTTTTCATTTTGTCCTGACTTTATTTGTAGTGGGATTTCAAAATAAATTGCACATTCACAATACCACTTTTCCTTCTCTACCAGAACGCATAATTAGAATTTCAGTATGACGTTTTGTCTCTTGTCCTCCAGCATCAAATTTATTTATTCTTATAGACGCCATATTGGATTTTTATACAGGTGAATAGTTTTTAATTCTGATTCCAAAAATACGTCATACATTGACATTGCCAAACGTTATAGTTATTTCAAAAAAAGTGGAAGCATTTATTTCGCATACCAGACTCATCCCAGAATCACTTTTATGTTTTCTTGACTTTATTTGAGATGGGATGACAAAATAAATTGCATGTTTTCAATGTTACTTATTCTCCTCTACAAGAAGGCGTAGTCAAATTTTTAATTCGACATTTCTTCTTTCGACTTCCATCACCAACATTGTTTTTTCATATGTAAATTCCATTTTGCAAATGTAAATGGACTTTTCAGTCCTAAATTCAGTAATGTATTTCCTTAGTTGGGCATGAGTTTGTTGTTCAATGAAAATTATAAGGAAATAAAAAGGTATTGTGAAACCTGAACACAAAATAAAAATTTTATTGATGGTAATAGCAATAATAATCAAATAAGGAGAGGTAAATCATAATCATGTTCCGAATGTAGTCCGTTATTTTGTAGGCAAAGCCTGACTCTGTTCTGTATATTGTACACTGTCCGATTAATTTCTCTTCTTCTCAGTCTTTGAAACTCTGTTATGTTCAGGTTGCGGTCTGGTCTGGTATACGAAACGAATAAAATCCAATAATTTCAAGGTCTACCTAGGACCTTCTGTTTTTCTGGAATAACTAAGGTTTGGCAATGTCACTGTATGACATGTACATTTTTAAAATCAGAATTAAAAATTATTCATCCAATATGGCGTCCATAATAAAAAATAAAATTGATCCTGGAGGACAAGAGATGAGACGTCATACTGAAACTCTAATTATGCTATCTTGCAGAGGAGAAAAAGTGGAAATGTTAATGTGCATGTGCATTTTATTTTTAAACCCCACTACACATGAAGTAAAGAAAAAATGTAAAACGATTTTGGGAAAAATCTGTTTCTTCCGTCTCTCTCCGGAAGTACTTTGGATTTCGAACTTTTTAAGCGGCATTTTGTTGATTACCTAAATACGCAACTTTGTCCCCGTTTAAGCGTCTTCGTATCTCTTACAGTTTTCCAGATCCCTATTGTGAGGGTCGAACTTCCAGACTCGTAAATATCAGTTTTGACCAAATTCCATTCTCAAACGCTATCAAGAAATTACCATTATTTATAAAATTTATTTTTCCTTTCATAGTTTTGAGGAAACTTTCAACTTGAAATATCAGAAATCATTAACTTTCAGAACCATTTGCATTGTGCAATATTTAAGCTTCTCAGTATGAACTTATCTGACGTTTTATGAAATTATTTCTGAACCTGCTGTAGAAGTGTACCTTTTCTTATTACTTTTTTTTAGGAGGTTGATCTGTGTCAGTACAAAGGATCAGTTCGTGGAAAACCCAAGTCCTGGGTTGCTCTGTCAACTTGTGATGGTCTGTCAGGTGTCATTTTTGATGGGAAGGAAATGCATTATATTGAGAAGGGCTCCAAAACTGAAGGCCTAGATGGTAGTCATTTTTTGTACAAACATTCCGATTTTATCAACAATGACCAGAGATGTGGATATCATGATCATAATAATTCAGTCTTAACAGAACAACATAGTAGAATACATAGGGTAAGAGTTTTCTATTTTCTACAACATATTTCTTTTGGTTTTATAATTGTAACAAGTGTTCTCATCCACGCTTTCGTTCTAAAACACCATTTAGCTCCAACCTCATCGACGAGTAACTTCTTTTGAAAATCTAAATCTGTTCTACATTGGTTGCTATTTTCATAATTGTGTTTTAACTCCTGAAGATAACAACATAGTTTGTCGAAAGCTCGAGATTACCATCTAAAGAGTTCACTATACTTTAAGTCTTGCCAATTCCCAATAAACAATTTAATTGTATTTTTGCCCAATTTGTTCGCAATGGCAATGACTACTGCTCGTATCTATATACAGGGTGTTAATAAAATATGTAGACAAACTTTAACCATCGAATCCTCGGTCAATTTGAAGACTAAATGTTCATATGAACATGGGTCCGTAAAGGCTATCTTTTCGAGCTCTATCACTAAAGGACTACGAGTAATGTTCCAAATATTACTATGAATAATGAAACGTATTTATTGAACAGTTGGTATAACCTATGATAAATTTTGCATGTTTTACAAGTTGCTGAAGTTCAATATAAACGTGGATGAAAATAGTATTATCCTGTATTTTTGGAAAAAAAAATGATTTAGAAAGTCAATAGTCAAAACAAATCAATGTCATGCTATTTTTTCGAAAAATATTGGATAAAATTATCCGTATATACGTACATGGAAGGTCTGAAAACAACTGTAAATCATGTGACCACAGGGCATACTTAATTAAAATAAAATACGTTCCATTCTTCTATAATTTTTTAGAACAATATTTCTTTTAGTGCTAATATGCTCTAGCTTGAAAACAAAGCCGTTGCGGACCCATGTTCATATGGAAATTTCGTCTTCAAATTGACCAAGGATTCGATGGTTAAAGTTTTTCTACATACTTTATTAACACCCTGTATATAATATATACTTGAATTTATTTGGGATGTTTTGCAAAAGTAAACTCTTTTAACTTAAACTCAAGCTTTCGATTGCCTATGCCCTGATCATCAGGAGCTAAAAACAAAATTTGGAAAATAGCAAGATTACACAATTGGGAGGATTGTCATTACTTACTAAGCGACAGTGGATGAGAACACATAGTCAACGAACAAAAAGCTGGATCGATGAGGTTCAATTAGGACGAAATTTTCAATTATTGGCAAAACTATTGGTATGTTTTTGAAAAAAACCACTAGCGGATTTAGAAGAATGTAAGATTTATTAAGTATTGAAAATTATTCCGAATTTTTTTCACACACACACACACACACACACACACACACGCACGCACACACACACACAAACACACACAAAAAAAAAACTTTTACCATCTTCATCTTGAAAAAAGTAGGGACCAATAATCCCATCACTACAAAAGCCACACCAAGCAGTTACTCTTTTTGGATGCATTGACGACATGTGGATTTTCAGAACCCCAAATCCTACAGTTCTGCTTGTTAACGTAACCTCCTAGATGGAAATGGGCTTCGTCCGAAAAGATGATTTGGCGACCAAAATTGACGTCCGTTTCCAATTGATTTAGAGCCCACTCAGAGAAACGATATCTTGTAAGGAAATAATCCCAGGTCATTATTCTCCGCACAGAAGTGCGTCTGATGCCTACTTGTGCTCTGTGACGAGTTGGCATTCTTGCGTTTTGTCTTCTCAATTTTCGCAGTTTCTGCAACACAGCAAAATAGTTTTTTAATATTTCTCACCTTTGTTCAAGAACAATTTAATTGTTGTTCTTCAATCCATTGCTCTCAGCGGAGGCTTGACACAATATATCTGTCAATATGTTGAGCATGGAAGTGTTACCAACTGTCAAAATAATACCAACTTAAAAAAACAACCAACTGATGGCCCACCTTTTACACGTCATAAATTCAAAATAGTTTTTTCCTCGTATACTCGCCACTTTTAGATATGACAGTGTCGTGCTACCAGATCATGCCTAAATGCACATTTCACAATCACACAATCTGCATTGCGTCCTCAATTTGTTTGGTATACAGGCGGTCCTCACATTGTATGCCAGCAAAATATACATATATATACAGGGTTATCCAAATTAAGTGTCCACCATTAGTAACTTTGTTATTAGTGAAAATACAAAGTTGTTTGAATTAGCAAACTAGTAGCATTTTTAACGCTGGTAAAAATGAGAAATAAAAAAAAACAATTGAGAGTCGTTATTTTGATTTTTTTCAGTAAAATAACATTTTTTTAAATGGAAACCCCTGTATATTATATTTTTTTCTGTTAAAGCATCAAATTTTAAACAAAAAAGCTTACAATAACTTTTCTCCTAGGTTACAAATTGTTGAAGTTATGGCCTCCAATCTGAAACAATTAAATTGTATCGACAAACTTTATTTTCAACATCAACTTATAATCTTACAAAATACAATAACAATTTTTTTTAAAGAAGATGCTCGAAAACACCACCTTGTTCTTCAATACATTTTTGGGCACGTTTTTCAACTGCTCGAACTGTCTTAAGTATGGTCCTACCATCTATCTGGGTTATCTTTTCCCTAACTGCAGTCTTTAACGCGTCAAGGTTATCGTACCTTGGCTTGTAAATTTGGTTCTTTAAGTAACCCCAGAAGAAGTAATCAAGTGGGTTTAGATCTGGTGATCTGGGAGGCCACTGTATTGGGCCATTTGTTCCTATCCACTGATCATTAAAAGTAGTACTTAGAAAATGATAAGTACCTCTGGAGTTGTGGGCAGGTGCGCCATCTTGCTGAAAATGCAGATGATGTCTACTTATAAGATCCAATTCGTCTAAGAAATTAGTCAGAATTTCTGACATAAATTCCACATATCTTTCACCAGTTAGGGTTCTCTCATAAAAGAACGGGCCAACAATTTTTGAACCAATTATACCGCACCAAACGTTGAAACTGAAACGGACTTGTGGGCCTCTTGGATGTACTAACAAAAGATTTTCTCTTGACCAATAATGGTGGTTTTTTCTATTAAACATTCCAGAATTTGAAAAATTTGATTCATCTGTCCATAAAAGGTAACGAAAGTTATTTACATTTTGGCGACAGAAGCTAAGATACCAATGGCAAAAAACAAGTCTTCTCTCTGGATCCCCTGCCAAAAGCGTTTGAACTGGTCGGTACTTATACGGAATAAATTTGTATTTTTTTAAAATCCTTTGAACAGTACCATAACTGAAATTAGAGTCCTTGAGAATATCTGCTATTGAATTCTCACGATAAGCTTCAACATATCCAATAACTGCAATTTCCGTGGCCTCGCTTATTATGAATTCTTTTTTTGCCCTTGTTTTAGCAAAAACATTTTCGTTGCCCCTAAATTTTCGATAAAGTCTCAGAAAATATCGTTCATACGGTTGAATGCGAGCGGGATATAATTCACTGTAGTATTCTCTTGCTCTCAAGGAGGATTTTCTACACACTAAATAGCATTCTAACATATCACACTTTTCTTCATGGGAGAACATTTTTCTTTAAATTAATGACACAATAAAGCTTATAAACAAGTATTTACACTAATGTTTGACATTATTTGATTTTATCATTGTTTTCCAAAGCCTTCTAGTTGCGAGTATGTCCAGTTTAACAATTTGTCGCTTATCTTAATGCTGTCAAATCGCGAACGCCATGTTGTTTTCATAGCCGTCTTAATATTATAATACTGCAAATAATTAAAAATATTTATCGTTATTTTGACTTTATTTTTGACTTTAGCGGAAAAGTCATTATGAACTTTTTTGTTTAAAATTTGATGCTTTAACAGAAAAAAATATAATATACAGGGGTTTCCATTTAAAAAAATGTTATTTTACTGAAAAAAATCAAAATAACGACTCTCAATTGTTTTTTTTTATTTCTCATTTTTACCAGCGTTAAAAATGCTACTAGTTTGCTAATTCAAACAACTTTGTATTTTCACTAATAACAAAGTTACTAATTGTGGACACTTAATTTGGATAACCCTGTATATATAGGGTGGCCCATCCATGTGTGGACGGAATATTACTCATAAACAAATACATTTTGGGAAAATCTATTTATGGGATGTTATTTATACATGACATTTGAGGGCACATTTCTAAAATATCGGCCATTATACAGGGTGTCCCAATTTCGGCCTACATATCAAAGTTGTGATTTTGCAAATGGAATGCCTCAATTTTTTGCATATTTGGATAACCCAATTCGAAAGAAGAAAATTGATATAACATACTATGGGGTTTTGGTAATTAGCTACGGAGATATAAGGTGTTTTGTCTAGAAAAACCCCCACTTCGGCAACCCCTCAGTCTGCCATTTTGAAATTTGGAGTGCTGAATTTTATATCAAAAAAACTTACACATTCAACTTTTATCTTATTTGTTACTTTTTCTTTCGAATTTTAATTTTTGTTCATACAGGATGGTCAAAACGCAAATTGTAGTTTGTCTCAAAAATTTCAAATGCATCACCCTGTATATTGTACAAGTTTGGATTCATTTTTTTATAAGCTTTTTTGATACTAGACACATAAGTGTTTTTACGCCTATTTTTTCGGTTATTAGCACGTCTTTTGTGGAAAGGCTTAATGCCCTAAAATCTCGCATCATCCTTGGAAACAAATAAATCGTTGATTATTTACAAACTTTCAACATTAGCTTTGTGAGCATTATAATAAAAACGTGTTTAAAAATGAATTTTTCTAAAGAAGAAATGGTGAATATGGTGTTCGTTTTGGGCGAAGCCCAAAGAAATAGTTTCCTAGCATCTCGCATTTATAAGCAACGGCACCCTAATATGCGACATCCAAGGCCGGAAACATTTTCCACACTACGAGAACGTTTTCAAGTGGAGCAGTGGTATGTAGTAAAAAATGTATAAATAATCCAAGTGTCGCCAATGAGACGAATCAGTTGGAGGTTCTATTAAAGTTGCAGGAAAATCTCCATTTAAGTGCACGGCAAATTGGAACAGAAACTGATATATGCAGAACTTCTGTCCAAATGATTATTCACAAGCATAGGTACCATCGATATCACCTATACTTGCATCAAGGCCTTCGTCCTCAGGATTTTGCAGCTCGAATGGAGCTCAATAGAATAATGCTAAATAAATTGAGTGAAGACACTACCTTCCTGGATAAGATTCTTTTTAGCGATGTGGCAACTTTTAACAGCATAGGTGTTGTCAACAGGCATAGCACGCACTATTATGCGACGGAAAACCCTTACTAGGTTAGGCAAATCGATTTCCAAAATAAATGGAGCTTGAATGTTTGGGTAGGAGTTAGTGGCAGACAAGTTATCGGGCGTTTCCTTTTCGACAACAGATTAACAAGTACAGAATACTTGACTTTTTTGATCGAGCATTTGCCTTTGCTTTTGGAGGATGTCAACCTGCAAACTCGGATGCATATGTACTTCCAACATGACGGCGCGCCCGCGCATTATCATAATCGTTTGCGTAACTATTTGGACTCCTGGAGTAACAATCGTTGGATCGGTCGTGATGGACCTATATCTTGGACAAAACACCTTACATGTCAGTAGCTAATTACCAAAACCCCATAGTATGATCAATCTTCTTCTTCTTTTGGATTGGTTTATCAAAAAATATGCAATAAAATTTGAGGCATTCCATTTAAAAAATCACAACTTTGATATGTAGTTCAAAATGTGGACACCCTGTACAATTGCCAATATTTTAGAAACGTGCCCTCAGATGTCATGTATAACATGCCAAAAATAGATTTTCCCAAAATGTATTTGTTTATGAGTAATATTCCGTACACACATGGATGGGCCACCCTATATATATATATATATATATATACAGGTGTCTTTTAGGGAATCTGTCAGCGTACAATCTTCGTGCTTTTAAAGCATTACATCTTGCCAATCCGTACATTAAATGCATATCAGAATATTCATCAAACGTATACTCCATGATGTTTAACAATTTATTGTCAACTTAAAATTATTCATGAAGTTTAAACCAATATTATGACAAACATTAGAAACCGCAGCAAAGCTACTGAGATATTATCCAAAGCAACTTGATTATTATGTTATAATGCATCATCATGGTACAAATAATGCATTGGAACTTTTAAAAACAAATATCTCGAAAGCTATTAGCTTTGGACACTTCTAACTAGTAACCCTTTTTTGTTCTGGAAATACGAGAAAGTAAGATTTTTCGGTCAGTTGTTGTATAAGGGTAGCACAAAAAAGTTATGATAAGTTATTTACCGAAATAGTGCTGCTCTAGAAGTTTGGCCATAAAAAATAACGGATTCTTGTTTCTCATACTACGAGTAGAAGACCTCCCTATACCGAGTTTTATGCCAAAATCTGAAATACTTCTCAAGCAATAAAGAAAAATAGAAAATTAAATTGTAACTTTGACACCCTGTATCTCGCAAACTATCAACATTTAGACTAAGGTATGTTTAGGTCAATTCACATATTTTGGTCTGTAGTATCTCCAGTTTCGAGATTTCCCAACCTTTCGCAGACACCCTGTATATAACCAATTATAGATAGGTATTTTGGTTACTTTTAGAATGGCTTTGACGCCCGAATATTATAACTGTTCAACCATTAATATCTTTTTATAATCTAATACTTATCACTACAGTTAATCCATTGTTGTCCTTAACGTGTAATTGCCAATAAGAACTAGCGCACATGCTCTGCTTTACATTCAAAATACTACACAAGTTCGCACGGCTTGGTCCTCTTTAATCGTCGGGCAGCATTTTGATTGTCCAGCAGCTGAGGAGCTTCTGCATTGGAGTGTTGATGCAGCCTTTGTTTCGTGTCCGGCCAAAACTTTCTTGATCTCGTCAATAACCAAAGGGACACTTAAATCGCGACGAATATCCCTATTATAAACATACCAAGGGGCATTGGCGATGTCCATCACAAGTTTATTTTGGGATAATTGAATAATTTCTATGATGAATTTTTGGAACACCCCCATAGTTGACATCCATAGAGCCAGACATGTTTTAAGATGTGACTATAGATCATCATGGCTTAGTGAGATATTGTTCTATTATTTTTTAGCAGATTTGTATTTTAATTTTAGTATAGAAGAGATGCGGATCAACGTGATGTAATTCGTGGACCCTATAACTCTAATAAAGAATCAAAATATGTAGAACTGGTTATTGTGATCGATAATCGTGAATATAAGGAGTTGGGTGAAAATAAACCAAAAGTATTGAACCATGCGAAAACGATAGCAAATATTATTAATGGAGTAAGTTTGAATTGACCATAAAGACGTTTATTGTTTTAATATAGAAGCATTGTTACAAATGATTTTTTTTCAGCTATACTCGCCTCTAAATATTTTTATAGCACTAGTAGGAGTAGTGATATGGAGCGAAAATGACGAAATCAGTTTTTCTCCTAATGGTGATACTACTCTTACAAATTTTTTACATTATAGAAGAGAACAGCTCATCAAAACTCATCCAAACGATAATGCTCAATTATTAACGTATGTATTTTTGTAATTGATCTAGACTAGAATAGACTAGAACTATTTTTTTGTTGCTGTTGCAGAAAATTTAATTTTGAAAATGGAGTAGTAGGTAAAGCACTTAAGGGACCAATATGTACTTATGAATTCTCAGGCGGTGTAAATACGGATCATTCTCCAGTAGTGGGACTGGTTGCCACAACAGTTGCACACGAAATGGGCCATAATTTTGGTAAGTGGAAACTCTTGTCTCAGAAATATCATGTAAGCACTTTAGACCTGAAGGCATGACTTATTTGCATGATTTTTTGTTTTTGGACCTTTCTCTTATAATTTCACTTGAACATCTTAAGTTATTCAACACACACACAAAAACCTATGTGACACGCGACTGGACGCGTTTGCTATACTTATTTTGAATTAGTCCTTGAAGTGACCTTCAAATGCCTTCATAGTGACTATCAGACCTCTGATTAGGCAAACAGAAAAATCTAAATGACATGTATTTGGACTTAATTGCTCGGCATTTTTTGAAAGTTTCTGTGAAATGACCTTGAAGTGACTTTGAAATGCTCTTACAGAAACAAACAAGACCCTGAGTTGAAATCAACTATCCAAACAAACTAGCTGTATTGAACATTGTATAAATGCCTTAGACATTTTTTACACCTTTTTGATGTTCTAGTCCACTATGCGTCACAAGATTATGTAAGCCATTCAAGCCAAATCCCAAGCATTCAAGCAAAATTTCAATGTATCATCTTTGATTCCGAAGATTATAAACATTTTTTTTTTTAGGAATGGAACATGATACAAATGAATGTAAGTGTCCTGAAGACCGTTGCATAATGGCACCATCTAGTAGCACTGTAGCGCCCGTTCACTGGTCATCTTGCAGTTTAAACTATCTTTTGCTAGCTTTCACTCACGGTATGGATTACTGTCTCAAGAATAAACCAACGTCATTGTTTGATGGCCCTGTTTGCGGAAACGGCTTTGTAGAACCAGGAGAGGAGTGTGACTGTGGACTACCTGAAAGCTGCCAAAATACATGCTGTAATCCAACTACATGCAGACTTTATGATAATGCTACTTGTGCTACTGGCGAATGCTGTGATTTTACTGTAAGTAATACATCAATCAGAGGCTTAAAGGTCACATTCATAGACGTACATTCAGGATTGAGTGCCTTTGGATTTTAAATAAGGTCAATGATCGATCGATACCGATATGTAGATCTGCTATATCGGCCCAATTTATCGATATGTGAATCTGCCAATATAGACCGGTATCCATTATGGTAGAATGATAGCTGATTATTTAGTGTTATGTCAAAATTCCCCATATCGCCAAATGACAGATAATTCTGATGGATCCGTCAAGGCCAGGTAGACAGAGCCGTATATTATTTTAGTATTTTGTACGCTACAGATTCATTTTGTACTTGCTAACAACTCTTTTATTTAGAAAAGTTTATTTGCATACAAGAAAGACGCCACAAGCAAGTTTTACTAGTTTGCACCTGATCCATTATTGCCAACGCTTACAGACTGACAGAAATATGTCACTTGTTGACCTATCATTGATCTATCACCGATCTGGTGCGTGATATAGACAACACACACCACAGCATCAATGGCTCGGAATTAACTTCCGAGACGAACCCGCGAGCTTCGGTTCGACCGATTGCCTGCTCGAGGCACTAAACTACTCGGCTACCGACGGCGACGCCTCAATTCAAGACTGTACTTTGTCAGTGTTTCCTTTAATTCCTACGTCTTTATTTTCTTATTTCAGAACAAGAGCAGGCATGTCTTTAATTCCTAGATCTTTATTTTCTTTTTTCAGAACAAGAGCAAGCATGTCGTGTCACTTATTCTGGTTTAAAATGTTACTGTTCAAGTACGTTTGTAACGCATACATCAAAGAAATTTGTAAATATTTGTTCACCAAGTGTGTTACAGTGACAATTGTAGTAATCGGCCTACATATCAGTAACTGAGAGGTAAACAGTCGTAAGTCCATTTTGACTCAATTTTGAGGTATTGTAGTAATATTACCTCAAAATTAAAATATGAACCAAAGACTCTATTTCGCTAAGCACCACCTTTTTAATGTTGACGTTTTTAATTTTGAAAATACGATAATATGTACGTTGTTGAAGCTGTGTTGAAATTTTTGCTTGTTTTATCAATCACTCAAAACTTACTTTTTGGATTTACGATTCTTCACCTCTCGGGTACAGATATGTAGTTATACAAAATGCCTAGGTAAATCTACTTGTCAACTATACGTTGTGGGTATAGGCGCCTTTTTTGCATCCCACCCACATACTCGCCGTAAGAAAAGAAACAAACGCCCGATAGGCTGTAAAACACCGATATATCTGGTATATCAGTATCGGCTGAACTGCTATATCGGTCGATCTCTAATCTTAAACAAACTATAACTCTTCCTTGAGGAACGAAGGGAGGATTTATATTTAGGCTGTCACAGTTATTATCACAGGTTTTCACAATTTGGTAAGTTTTGTAAATTTCCACGATTTTGGCGTTTTAAAAATATTCAAAGCTAGTTGGTTATGAATCTTGGAAACTTTTAAAATCACGAGAACTTTCAAAATGATAACTTTTTAGCTTTTAAAAATGTCTAAAATGTCAAAAATTCTGAAAATTTTGATAAAATAAAAAGTTCTTGAAACAGTAGTTTTGAGAATTTCACGCAAATTCCGAAAATATTGAAAATTTTCCAAATTGAAAACCTGTGATGACATCACGTTCCTCATTGAAGCGTTATTGTTTGTTTAAAATCCAAGGAGCAGAACTCGATCCTCAATAAATGTGACCCTGTAAGCCGTTTCCGTAAGGAGAAAATAAACTTACGTAAATGGTCAAAGAAACATTCATATTGTGCGTTTCTAAAGTCACTTTACCTACCTTAACTCAACATGACTTAGCTGAAACTAGCGTAATGCCATATAAGAAAAGCTCCTTCGATAAAGATAGGGCCCAGTGGTACCGTTTTTCTCAAATTTACCGCTTAGCAAAGGTGATTGGCATGGGTATTATGTAAAAAACCTATAAAACGTCATCTTGCAGACTAGGTAGTTTTTAGGGCGCAAACAGTTTGCTCACTAGGATCTATGGAGGGACCACTCAACTAAACTACACGCATTGCTGGTTGCATAAGTTTTGTGAAGGCGAATGGTCTGTAGTTTTTATCTCCGAGAAGAAAGTTGGTTGAATAGCAAGATCGAATCTGGATGATTATGTGTATTGGTCTGCATGTGTGAGAAAATCATTACGGAATATGCTGCCAATGAAGTATATCTATTAGGTGTCTCCAGCGGGTTATTTATATGTTGCCCGTTGTGTGTAATTACTGTTAGCATGTATTTGGCTTGTAGTTCGACAGTGTACAGTGAATATAATTATTTCTTATCTCTCTAATTTTTGAAAGTCAGCAAATTTGCATATGTAATTTCCAGAATGGATAAGAAAAAGTGGATGCGCAACTAATTTCTAGCTTTGAATCTCAATTAAGTGTATTTGAGACAAGAATCTAATGGAATTATCATCAACACATACAACTTAAAGCTTAGACCTCCAGTAATACATCTCTGAAGCAAATTTTACATCACATCAGAGCCAAACATTGATATCTGAAGCTGCATGACGTTTAGGCAACACGTACAACTAAGTGCTAAGTCAACATCTTGTAGAAAAACCTACATAATGTCAAAAAAAACAGTATAATGTCAAAAAAATTAATATAGAGTCACTTTTCAAAATACGTAATACCCGTGCGGTATCTTAAGATCTACGTCAAACTGGATTTCTGTCGCACCACTTCGATTTGGTAAAACTCAGATAAGATAAAGTTACATCTGGCAACGCTTTATCTTTACTCGTATGAACTTCTTAGGGGAATTACAGCTACAACTACAAATTTGTTGGTTGTTGAATGGTAGTTGTTGTTCTAGATGACAGTACCATTAATATAGGTACATGATATATCACATCCGTATCAGTCAAAGAGGAATGCCACACTGTTATGAGTTGAACATATGAACCGATATTTCTCGGATGATGCGAAATCTTTCGGAAATGCCCTATTATGGAAACTCAAACTATTTTTTATAGCGAAGCAGCCGCGCAGTCAGAAGCCTAAATACCGGGGCACCGCGGCTGCTGTTACGCATTTGAGGAGTTCTTTGCCAATTTCATCGGTTTCTGCGAGATCGATATCCATAGTTCTAACATTTATACTTTTCAAACAGTAATCTGAGATATTCGACTGTTGAGTAGTCAAAACCAAAGGTAGGAGATTCAAGTTCTACCCAAGTTTTAATTATATCTGGCGCAACAAAAATATTGAAATTAGGGATCAGCTTAGCTGGAAATCGACCTTAGCATGTTGATGGAACCAGGTATAACTCAAGTCAGGTCAAGTAGCAACAAAATAGAAAAATGTTAGATAAGAAAAATTCTGTTGCTGTCTTACTTATTGACTATGATGCGATTTTGTAAATCAAGTTTTTGTGAATTTTCGAAATACTTACAGAAATAGGGAATCAAATAATCAATTTACCTCCGTATAAATAGTTTTAATAATCTTCTTGAGTGCGTTTATTATGGAACTAGAAAATACAATTTTTGAGAAGAACTTCTCGATCTTGATTTTCCGCTAATTTTGCTACAAAATGTGTGCATACCTATATCAGCATGCAGTGGAAACGTGTTTATGGGCCCAAAGGTTCTCACATTGTTAGCTTAGGAAATACATACCCTATTTCACATTCAAGTTGACAATTACATTTTAAAGTACAAAAAGTACACTTTGAAGAAAACAATCTACATAAGAAAAAAATTTTCCAACCGGATAGGGTTCTACAAATTCAGTGTTGTTTAAGTACGAAAACTATAATTTTTCCACAAACGTCAGATTTTTGTCTAATTCCGGTTGTCTATATATATATATAACCAAAAATACATGATCATATCAACTTTTTATGAAAAATTCAAGTATGGCTTTATAATGTTTTCACAATGTCTAATCTAGACCTGCACCCCAAAACAAGCTGGTACACTATGCAGACCTGCAGACTACGAATGTGATTTACCAGAATACTGTACAGGAGATAACGAGTACTGCCCAAAGGATGTTCATAAGTTAGATACAGAACAGTGTGATGGTGGAAAATCTTACTGTTACCATGGATTTTGTAGAACCCGAACTGACCAGTGCAAATTGCTATGGGGTAAGGCTGACATATTGATATGACATTTTTGTTAAGCCTTAAAAAGATTTACTGATGGAAGAGACATCCTTCTCCTTTAATAACCAAATAAATTATTTGCCATTCAGTAGTTGCTATAATGTTTGGGATTTATACGAAAGTGGTCTGACTCATCATCTGATGGCTATTGAATGGAAACCAAGCAGTCGAATTGGCGTAGGTTGAATTGTTGATTTATTGGTTATCGGATAATGTCGCTTGTTTTTTGTTAATATAATTCCATGGAGGTTCATTTGGTCTATATTTCGATAAAAGTTGATTTTACTAAAAATGCGCGCTTTTGTTATGTTGTCTTCTCTACCATCTAAGGTGTAGATCATAGATCATAAAGCATGAGTGGTTGTGTTCCCAACATTATATTGTACAAACTGCATTGGGTATCAAATATTTGTTTTACAATGTTCTTGAAATAAATTCATTTTACTGATGACTATCATTTATTTTATAGGAGAAACTGGGAAGTCTAGTGACGATCAGTGTTATATGATGAATACTAAGGGCACAAGACACGGAAATTGTGGCTATGATAAGTTGACCCAATCCTACTATAAATGTGATAATGAGTAAGTATACGTACGAGGGCCATTTTTTAAGTAAGAACCATTTTGTAGTGGATTCAGAGACACTTTTACTAACGTAGATTATACCACAAACTAAAAATTTGTTTTTCCATTTTTCAACATAGTCTCCATGAACATTTGTCAATTCGTGACACCATCTTCAGTTGGTGACGCTCCACCAAGAAATTCCCTAAGTTTTGGGAAGAGGTGAATGTCTGATGGTGCTAAGTCAGAACTGTATGGTGGACGATCCAGTAATTTTCAACAAGACTTGTCCAGTTGGTATCATTCAGAAAGAGGGGTCTTCCAAGGGGACTCTTTCAGTTCCCTGCTCTTCTGAATCTCGCTTCTCCCGGTGTTTGTTGCGCTGAGAAATGTGAGAGAGACCATTTTATATGTATGACTTAAAGCTTCATGCCTCAAGACAACGCGATTTACAGCAATCGCTCAGGGTAGCGCAAGATGATAGTCGCGCTATTGGAATTCGGGATAGACAAATGCGCTATGGTTCATCTCAAGAAAAAACGATATGGTCATGATGAAGAGGAGGAACAGCTCATGGATGGAAGCATTTTGCATCATCTACATGTCGGAGAGACAGATACCTACATATATTGGAGTGGCGCAGTACCATATCCAGGAGGTTAGCGTGGTCAAAGAGTCTTTTCACCTCAAGTACGTGCATCGACTCGGACAGATCTGGTCATTAGAGTTGTCTGGTAATAACAAAGTCGCTGCGACAACTATGCTTGGGGTCCCATTGTTATTGTACACCTTCAGGGCCATCTACTGGAAAGTGGACGAGCTGGGACAACTTAACATTAAAACCCGTCAAAAGATAAACATGAATAGAAGTTTGCATACTAAGTCCTCAGTCCCACGTATACAGGGTGTTTCAGTTTATTGTTGCATAACTTTAAGATTCGACAGAACTTTTAAAATTAATGCATAAAGTCTATATAAACATGGGTCGAAAAATGCGTGGCTTCCGAAATACAGGGTGTTTAAATTTACTTTCTAAAATAGTTTTTTTAAATATTTCGAACAATATTTGATGTATAACAGTGAAAATTGGTATACAAGGGTTTTTTGGTACGACAAAACGAACCATGGGCATAGTTTTACTGTAGCCGCTAGAAGGCGCTCTCTACTGTACCTGTAGTGTATTAAAATGACCGAAAATTTTTTCTTAGTGCAATTTTTTGCTTTTTGAATAAAAAAGTGATTCTTCGCACTTTTCAACATAGAAAAGCTCTCTTGTGAGTTTTCGTTATAGTTAGCCATTTTTGAGATATTTCGATTTTTAAGCTTCGATGCATTTTTAATTATTTATGGGAAATTAATATTTTTTTTTACATTTTCGATTTGGGCATTACAAGTAATTAAGGTGATTAGATTGTATCTTTAAACACAGCAATAATTCCTAACTCCAATAAACACAAAAAAACAGAATATTAATTTATTTAATTTTCCAATATTATTTTTAACAAATTAAATGAATTATTTACAACTAAAATGCTATTGGATAGTTAGGACAAACATACAAAATCTAAAGTAGTTGCTCGAAATGTAAACCCAATTGTTCAATACTTTCCCGAACTGCATGCGGATTTCCATGCGACCAAATATGTTGATTATGAAAATTTACCACTCCACGTCTAGTGAAGCATGACTCATCGGTCCATAAAACGTTACTTAAAAACTCCCTATTATTATCAGTTCTAGCAAGAATCCCCTGACAAAATGTGATTCTTCGTTCTCCGTCCCCTGGCTGTAGTCCTTGCACAGTAGGTTGCAAATCGCAAGGACGTCTATGGTCATTTCTAAGAACACGGTGAACATGGCTTGCTGAAATTCCCAAGGCACCAGAAACTCTCCTAACACTTGTGGTCGGATCTCTATCAAACTCACGCAGAATCATACGGGTAAATCTGCGCTGACGAACATTTATGTTTTGGTCCCTTTGGAGATTTCCAAGACCATTTTCATTTTCAATTATTTGGCGATGCACTCTTACAAATACTGAGCGAGTTGGATGTCGTCTGTTTGGAAATCTTCGTGCGTATTCTCTGGCTGCTTCTGCTGCGTTTCCATTTACAAAGCCATACACAAAATGAATATCCGCTAACTCTTGATTCTAGAATAAAAATGTCATTTTTATAAAACTTACGAAAAAAAAAACAGGTAAAAGAAACTAAATTTCGTGCATTTCCAGGAGTGTACTTTGCGGGATGCTACATTGCAAGCACCTCAATGAAAGACTTGAGTTTGGAATGGAGTCTGTCGCGATTTTGTCGCATTCCTTCATTAACAAAAAGGGTTCGATCATACCATGCAGAACGGCTTTGGTTGATTTAGGTATTAACCAAATCGACCCTGGTCTCACTCCAGATGGTGCATTATGTGGAGAAGGAAAGGTGAGAAAGTTATCTATATGTATATCTTGATTGTTTTCACTTTTTCTATGAATGAGAAATGACGAAATTTTCCCTCCAAAGTTTAGACATGAAATCCTAAAGCTGTTGCATGATACTGATATCGATACCGAGATGTCGACCCAGTCGGTCGAACCGACCAGACCTAATGATAATAAATGTAAATTTTCTGCCAAGTATTGTTCCCCTAGTGAAGTGAAATGTGCTAATGCTACTTGTGATACAGAGCTTCATGGAAAATGTTTTGATGCAATTGCTAGAATCGTCATATTGAAAAAAGATTTCCGTTCCAAAAAAATGTTCTGAAGACAATAAAGAATCTGGTAACACCTTAAACACTCGTCTTCTGCAGAAGGAAGTTGACTGCCTTTTGAGAGAAAAACAGTTATTAGAAAAATATTTAAGCGAACTTGAATTTTCTAATATTTATTGAAAACTCAAACTAATGCATTCTGGGCTGCTGAGTCATCTGCTGCCCGTTTTTTGCCGCGTTGCTCTTCATCAGCTTCTTACTCTCGAGCAGTAAAAAAGAATGCAGCTGTGCTGCTTATCAAATCAACTGACCATAAGCGAATCGCAGAATTAGAACAAGAGGTGAAGTCCAAACTCAGGCCAAGTACTATGAAAGTCAATGTTACTGGTACAACACTGATTAGGGATGGTTTATTAATTAATTTAGCTGATGTCAAATCTCTCCAGAATTTGAAAAATGGCGTTAAGCGAGAAGTTGATAATGCCTACAGTATTTAAGAGCCCAAGGATTATTGTTCATACTGTGGATAAATCTGCTGCTGATAGCACTCAGATTTCTGAGTTCATATTTGAAGACAATGATCTCGCTGTTCCTTCAAGTGACGTTCGTGTTGTTACAAAACTTAATATAAAGAATTAATGTTGTTTCGGAAGTTTCCCATCTGTTTACAATATTGGCAGAGGTTTTTTGTATGTTGCATGGAAAAGATGTAGTGTTAAAGAATATTTTAATATTGTTAAGTGTTTTATATGCAACAATTTGGTCACTACAAAAAGGACTACACAACTCCATGTGTCATTTACCTTAATTGCTCTGGCCAGCATGAAAAGCGAAACTGTAATCGTAACGCATCTGTTCTCTGCATCAGTTGTAAAGATTTGAGTAATAACTTGAAAATGAATAACCCTACTGACCATTCCACTAATAGGTTACAATGTTCTTATTACTTACTTACAAATTAGATCAACTCAAATCTGGAATTTAATATGAATAATAACTAAAAGAGTGAGTATCTGAACTCCAGATCTCTTTTCACACCTTTTGATCAATCTGTTCAGCTTGCTATGGAAATTGCTAATGACAGCATCATAAGCTGGCGTTTAGACATTTCTGATCATAATATAATTTTGAGTTTTTGTACTGTACTTCCTGTATAGAATCATTTTCGTTAAAATAACGAGTTTTTAAGTATTTCCTGTTTAAGGATTTTTATGCTGATTTGTGAAATGTCCCTTGGGGATAATATTCTGTATACAAATAGATATGTAATTCTGTTATCACCAAACGTGGCTCATATAATTTCTCATTCTCGAATGAATACGGATTTTGCCTATTATACAGGGTGGTCCATAAGTCCTTTGAAATTTCAAATTTGAATAAAGTTTAACGGGTGAGCGTGAGCGGCGCGGGCGAGGTGGGGGCAGTATCTTCAGTGTCTGGGAATTCAGTCGTCATGGAGTGTTTCACTGGAGCGGATCGTGCTTTTTGTGTGCGCGCGTTTTATCATGATTCGGCAACCATTGCGCGGCGTAAATATCGAGAATACCACAATTTACACAATTTTACAAAGTGTCCAACAGCTCAAACGATTAAGAACTGGGTTGCTAAGTTCGAAGAGACTGGTTCGACGTTAGATAAACAGCGGTGGGGTCGACCAAGGACAACTCGTATTGAAGAAAACATCAACATTGTGGCACAGTCTGTTCGTCAAAATCCTACCCAGTCTACTCGTAAGCGTTCCAGTGCACTAAACGTACCCAGAACATCTTTACAGCGGATTTTAAGGAAAGATTTACGTCTGCACGCTTACAAAATTCAGTTAGTGCAGGAATTAAAAGATAATGACGCTATTCAGAGACTAAACTTTGCGAATGAAATGTTGAATCGATTTTCTTCGCTCAATAATGTGTTGTTCTCGGACGAGGCTCACTTCCATTTAAACTGGCATGTAAATAAACGAAATTGCCGTTATTGGAGCCCCGAAAATCCAAGGCGTAAGCATCAGAAGCCCTTACACAGCCCTAAAGTTACAGTTTGGGCTGCTATGTCAGCGCACGGCATCGTAGGCCCTTATTTTTTTGAGGACGACAGAGGTCGCGCATTAACTGTTACTTCGGAGCGGTATGTAGCAATAATAGAAGAGTTTTTGACACCAGCGTTGCAGAATTTTCCAGGCTATAATACGCAGACCTGGTTTCAACAGGACGGAGCAACTGCCCACACCCCCAACACTTCTATGCCCGTCGTCTGTCAACTTTTTCCCAGCAAAGTAATTTCTCGAAGAGGAGACATTTCCTGGCCACCACGTAGTCCAGATTTGACCCCAATGGACTTCTTTTTATGGGGCTACCTCAAGAGTAAAGTGTACGACACCACTCCGCGATCATTTGATGTCCTGAAAGAAAATATCCGAAGAGAAATGGCAAGCATTACAGTGTTGACTTGCCGCGCAGTCATCGACAATTTTAGACGTCGTTTATATGAGTGCCGTGATCGTAATGGATTGCATTTAGACGATGTGATTTTTAAAACATAATTCCCATTCAATAAAGATGATAACAAAATATAATAATTCTTCATAATGTAACTAGTTTGGTTTTATTCCTTTTTTTCCAGCTCAAAAGACTTATGGGCCACCCTGTATATCATATGCATTGTTAGTAAAAATTTTTGGGCGCGCAACGTTGACGTCATATGTAAGTCCCAGACAGTACTTGATTGCTTTATCACAGATTACTGTGATTACATAATAATTATATTATGTCATATATTCCTCTTTATGAGCAGACTGCTGGAAAAAGCGATTACAATTGACCACCTGAATGTCCGTTCGCTGAAGTCAAATTTTGATGCGTTCGCAAATATTCTTGAAGTTTATTTATTTGATATGTTGGCGATAACTGAAACCTGGCTTCACGAGGACATTTCTTCAGATACCATCTCTGTGGAAGATTTTATTTTTTTCGGAAGGATAGACATAGTCGGGGGGGGGGGGGTTGTGGTCTATATGTTAGATCATGTTATAAAGCTAAACTCATTGAACATGTTCATGATGCGACTCCGCATCTTGAGCAGCTGTGGGTTAAACTTAAGATAAATGGTTGTGACATTGCAATATGTGTAATTTATCGATCACCAGCTCAAAGTTTACCTGATTGTAACTTGTACTTACTGTAATATTTTATTGTATCCTTGCCTCGATGGCATAGCTAAAAACAGACTGCTAGGTTGTTCAGAACAGCTGCATAAGGTTCATCTTTGGTCTGGTTGAAAATGCCCTATTTAGTGCAGTTTATTTATCTTATTTTCATCCACAAATTAATGCTTACATCTGAACCTCTAATCAATAGAACCATCAGGCATACAAGCACAATAACTATTCCCCTGCATAATTCATGGGACAACTTTTGACAAAATTATAAAAGTGTAAAAGATGTAAAAAAGTAGAAATGTAAAATTGTAAACATTGTAAAATATAAAAGTAGGAGTAATAAAATTGCGAAATACAAATTGCAAAATAACATCAGAAAATATAGATTCTGAAAAATAAAATTGTTAGCATAAAAATATGATATATAGGCAATGCTTCACGAGTAAATGCTGAAACAAAACGTTAAAAGCAAGGCGTACAAAAATGTCATTAAAAATGAAAAGGAAAATTGATTTTTCACAATTGGAACTTTTCACTCACTGAACACTATTGTAGTTCAATTTCTTCTTCGTGGGGTTGGATGGTCGATCTTCGACGTGGAAAAAGCCTGGGGATGTACCTGACTTTCGACGTTCCTGGTGACGGTCCATCAGTTGGGTAATTTGGTGCACAAATACTGAGTGGTCGGCGTTTTCTCCACTTGCAGAAGATGTAGAGGGCTAAGATGACGGCTAGCAAGGTTATGACGACGTACGTAAGCCAGGAGATATGTCGTGAAACAAAAGGCTCATTAATAAGTTTATCAAGTTGTTCAGAATACTGGTTCAACTTGTGGTTGGCGATCTCTAGCTCTTCTGTATCGATCTTGTTTAGCTTGATCGGTTTCAGGTTCGGCAAATTTTGTTTATCAGGGAGATGATTGCAGCATTCGTAGGGTATCTCTACAGGGTGGCTTTTATAAGTGATATTCTTATAAGCGTTAACAGAATATCTGGCATGAAGCCTTGTAGTGCCTATGAATCCACTGCATTCTGGCTGCATTTTCAAAAGTGTATTAGCTTTGATCACCTTTGTAGTTGTCTCAAGTTGTCCGCATTTCATTGTGATGGGCAGCGGGCTAGATATGGTAATCAACCAAAAATTGGTACTAATTCCTGGATTTTATAATCCTGCAGAGCCACAATGGCTATTTGACATGTTGCTGGCAGATCGACCGGATTTCGCAACAATTGTGCTTCGCATTGTTGTCTATTGGATATGGTAAGAGGTTAAAACAGATCTTAACCTGTGATTGGAGAATTTTGCGACTATCCAAATTTTGAAAGGAGACGTACAAAAGAGAATCGCTATCTTTGGCAACGTATCTCTGTAAGGCAGAAATTACATGAAATAGACCTGTACGTTCATCTAAAATGGGTAGAGGAATCGCCTTCTATAAAGTGTAAACTTCAGGTTCTAACAAGGGGATGCGAAGGACGAAAACCACTTTTGTTTTTGTTTGAGTTCCATTAAATTGAGATATTCTGATACTATTGCCAAATTGACTGGCATAGGTAAATTGCTTTTTGATAAGGAATGAGAGATTTCTTGAAGAGAATTTACTAAATCTTGAGGAGTAATTATCGAAGGATGAATAATTTGCAAACGTGCAAAAGTAATGGAATCGAGAATATCGTTAATTGTCTCTTCTAGAAACATATAACTTTCCATTAGTTGTTCGCAAAGTTCCAAAAATTGAAATCTAGCTTCATAAAAGGCAAGATCATCTGAAATTTCATAAATTCTATTTTGAATAACCTTTATGCCTTCGTTAAAAGTGGCTTCGCCAATTTGCAGTTTCTGAATAGTATTATTGAAGTTCTTAATAACCGTCATGATTACTGAGATCTGATTTTTCATAAGGTTTTCAAGCTCATGTTCGTCTTTGGAAATTTTGTTAATGCAGTCGTTATAATATTCACCATCAGATCCACCAGATGTATGTCCGAAGACAAGTTCGTAGGGAGTAAAGCCTGTGGTTTTGTTCCTTGTGCTATTATAGCACTGAACAGCATATGGTAGGATATTAAAGCGGTGTTCGTTCGGATTTTCAGATACGTGCGTTCTAATCATTTCCAATAAAGTGGCATGGAATCGTTCGATCGATCCATTGGACTGGGGGTGACTGACGCTAGAGAATGACATTTTGATATCATAAAGACTACAGAGATCTTTAATAAGAGCGTTGTCGAATTCTTTGCCATAGTCGCAATGTATTCGAAGGGGTGTACCGTAATGTTGGAAATAAAAAAGAAGTGTATTCACGACAGATTTAGCAGACTTGTCGTTAATAGGATAGGCTTGGGAAAATTGTGTAAGTTCATCTCGGATTGTAAGAGCATAGCACTGAGGCGCGACTTCTAGAAAGTCAATATTGATGCGTTCAAATGGAGCTTTTGGAGTTTCTGTAACAACCAAAGGGGTACTGAGGTTTTTCCGGCAGATTTTAGTTTTCTGACAAATTTCACATTTCTTGATGAAATGTTCGACATCCTTAGTCAAACTGGGCCAATTGTATCGTTCACGGATACGTCTGATACTTAGTTTTGTTAATACCTCTGTGGATATTTTTCTTACCACAATGGTATTGGTCTAAAATGATTGGAATTTCATCAGAGCTTGGGATTTTAGTTTCATTCTGACAACTGACAATTTTGATATTTTCGTCGGAAAATATGAAAGAAAATATTTCTTGGATGGGCAGATCTAGGTTATTTTCGACGTAGGTTTGTTGGAACAAATCGAATATACCTTTGTTGTTTAAAATAAGGGTGAATAGATGTACGCAAGTCGCAGGATCGTACGGCACGGGAATTATATAATATTTCCTATCTTTGACAGTCTGACTAGAAGCGATGTTAATTTTGTCTGCAGAAAATTCTAGATTGGTTTCGAATATGTCTTCGATGATTTTTTCATGAAGATCAGAAAGGGTGTTTTGTCTGAAAAATGTGACTATGTGTTTGTGGCTTTTGTCTAGAAGTTGGGAGTTAGAAAATTGAATTTTGGCATAGTCTATTAAAGAGGTGGTTTTATAAAGGCGGGCAAATACATCAAATTCATTTTCGAGAAATTGAGTAGAAATCGAATACTGCATCTTTTTGCAATAGTCTGGTCAAGGGTCAAAGTATCTGTTAAATCCTTGGGATTAAGAAGACCAGAACTACCTCCTTACCCCGCAGTCAGTTGGAATGGTGGAGCGCATGAATAGGACCATTAACCGGTATTTGGTTAAGATAGTCTCTAGTCATCAAAGAGAATGGGATAGTTTTCTTCACCTCTTTTTATTGGCTCACCGATCGTCGATTCATGAAAGCACAGGCTCGAACAGTTATGTGAAGAGAACTTCGTCTCCCATGATATTGCCGGAGAAGACTACGTAAGTGAGCTGCGTAAAGGAATGGACGCCATCCATAGCCAGGTTCGTGTTTCAACTCAAGGTGCCAGCGACCGGATGAAGGAGCTTATGACGTTTTTTTTTTACTCCAACTACCACGAAGGCTCAAGGCCTAAATAAACACCCATTGGGTACCGTGGGACATAATGCCAAAGACGAGAGCTATGACAACGGTGATACGGTTTGGCTTTACGACCCAAAGAGGCGAAAAGGGCTGTCGCCTAAACTTCAATCATCCTGGGCCGGGCCATATAAAGTTCTGGAAGCCATCAACGATGTTCTCAACAGGCACCACGCGATAAAGCCCGAATTGTACATTTCAATCGCTTTGCACCTTATCATGGAAACAACGAAGATGCGGCGGTGCTGCAAATCCAACCAAAACCGGTCATTGCATTTGACCAATTTTAGCTCGCCATGTTAATGGCCATAAGAGTCGGTATGGCGTGACATGTGAAGTACAGCAATATCTGTTTACCACTTCACCAGACTATGCTCTGGCACACTGTGTGGCTCAAGACGTGCGAATGGTGAGAGGTATAGCAAAGGTCCTTCTCAGGAAGTTTGGAAGAGTACACGAGCTGCGACAATCTAACCCGGAAGTCAGAGAAGTACTCCAGATAGCTGAAGAGGGTACCAACCGAAAGATCTTCTACCTGATTACTAAGAAAGCTTCGTATCAGAAACGAAATTACGAGGTTGTCTGGAACGGTTTGTGTTCTCTTAGAGAAGTGTTGCTGGCCGAGGATCTGTGAAAACTGGCAATACCTAAGCTGGCATGTGGACTGGACAACCTGGACTGGAGCATCATCCAAAGCATGCTGGAGGTAGTCTTCCGGAATACAGGCATTTGATTTCTGGTATACAGTCCTAGACGGCTACCTCCTGGAAAGAGTGTGGATTGTTACTTCTTCAAGAACTCCTACTGCAAGAAAAGGCAGTCGTGCCGATATCGACAGCAACCGCCAGTAAGATCATTCCGGGACGGAATGACTTTTGGGAGGGGGCAGTGTGACGATAACAAATAGTACTATTGGCGCCATCTATTGGGTGATTCTCCTACTCGCCAGAGCTTCATGAAAAATTAAAGCTTCCGCCTTTTGTTGGGTACTTCGACAAAATTTAAGCAAAGAGGACTCTTTATACTTTTTTTAATTCTCTCTAGCTTTCAATGGACTTTGCCATCATCATCAGGAGCTGCAATTACAATGATAACAGTAGCAACAAAAGTGTAAAATGAATTTAAATTGAATCAACTTACAGTAGTATGTGAGGATGTTGCTAATTGTTAATTGTTACTGTACGTTTCCCTCATCCTATACGAAAACAACAATTAGCAACATCCTCACATACTACTGTAAGTTGATTCAATTTAAAGTCATTTTACACTTTTGTTGCTACTGTTATCATTGTAATTGCAGCTCCTGATGATGATGGCAAAGTCCATTGAAAGCTAGAGAGAATTAAAAAAAGTATAAAGAGTCCTCTTTGCTTAAATTTTGTCGAAGTACCCAACAAAAGGCGGAAGCTTTAATTTTTCACCTAACTGGTCTAGACGACAATGGCCACGTCTCAAGATATATACGAGTATATATATAGATTATCACTTGAGCATTGCTATTTGAACTCTGGACATCCAGCGCTTCTCCTCCAGTATTAGACGTGATCACTATCGCTTCCAACCAACCTTCCAATCGCAGGCGTCCGTAGCCACCACTTTCTACCTCTTCTTCCTCTGCTCTTGATATATAGTCATAGATACCAATGCACAATAAAGAAGTATAGTACCTTAGTGTTAAGAAACTGTAGTCTACTCCTCGTTACACCTAATTCTTCCATACACAAAATAACACTATCTTCTCTTAATTTCTTACACAAGTCTTGCCTGATACTCTTTCACCACTTCTACACATACTACAACAGCTACATGATGTTTCTGTTTTTGAAAACGGTTGTTCCGGTGTTCTTTGACGATTTGACTCTTTAAAAGTAACAATAATGCTCTTGATATTCCAAAGAGTGATACCACCATGCATGTTTAATACATTCAGTATGGATAACTTTATTTAGAGGGCACCCTAGACCTGAGAACAAAGTTGAATATAACGGTGTGAGGGAAGTAACCTTTATAATCTAATGTTGACAGTTTGACATGTAATTTATTCAAAATTCAATTTGTTTTTTCCTACACAAATGCGGGAATATGATGACCCTTGAAAGTGGGCGTAACGAATCTATTGAAAATGCAAAATTTTCTCGGTAAAGTGTGCTTTGTCTGAATTATTGTAAGAAAACAAAGTTTGATGACACGTTTGTATATGGATTGAGAATCAGTTTAGAAATCGCGAAAAACGTTTACGCGCCTTTCTCTACTGGTGAAATCGTTTTTCATTCTTCTTAGAACAGAGCACGCATTGATATTTTTGAAACTTTTAGATTTGTGTTAAACAGAAATGTACCGCTGTGGCTAATTTGAGAAAACAGATACCTTCTTGCCCTCAAGATTGCAATGGTAATGGATGGTGTAATAGTAGAGGGCACTGCCACTGTAAGGATGGATTTGCGCCACCATATTGCGACTATCCAGGCCCTGGAGGGTCTGTAGATAGTGGACCAGCCACTGATCCAAACGGTAAGGGATAGATAGATAAATATGCTATATTGTCTGAAAAATAAATCATACTTAATGACAAAGTAAACTTAAAACTAAACTATAACAAAATTACATAACATATGGGGATCTTAAATGTATGAATTGTAGAATTCGCGCATGGTATAATATGGCTTAGATATTAGAAAGTTTCTAATTTCACGGAGGAACATCTTTAAATTGTTCATCATTTTGATAGCATTAGGGAGGTTTTTATGTAAATTTTCAGACCATTATAAATTATTGAGACTTTCAAGTAGGTACACTACTTCTACTACTACTTCTTTTCGTCTAATATCGTAACTTATATTTAATGTTTGAAATTGAGATTTATTTTTAAAAATAAGAGATATACAGGGTGTCAGTATGTAAACATGAAATAACTTTGAAAACTGATTTCTATATATCGGGTATTTTTATTAAATATGGTCCTTTGCAATTTATTGGGACTAGTTTTTGAACACAACATCTATCAAATGGCCACCTTTATTGGCCAAAACAAAATGTGCCCGTTTTGCTGCGTTTCCATTACTTTTTCGAGCATCTCTCGTGGTATAGCAGCGATTGCGGTACGAATGTGTGCCTTGAGTTCTTCAGTGAACTGGGGCTTGCTGGCATATACTTGACTTTTAATAACCCCACAAGAAGAGCCAGTGAATGTCACCTCTTTTTTATATCAGACGTCCAGGGAATTTTCGTTGCAGAAACTGGATTGGTTCATTTGCAGTGTGGCATGGCGCACCGTCTTGTTGAAATCAGTAACCATCAAGACCTTGTTCACGCATTTTGTGGGCAGACATAATAAGCCAACATCCACCGATATCGATTTCCATCGACAGTTTCGTTTTCGTTGAAGAGAAATGGCTCCATGATGGTTTTGGTGGAAACGCCGGCCCAGACAGTCACTTTCCGATCATGCAACGGCTTTTCGTGGATCTCATGTGGATTTTCCGTCTCCCAAATGGGGCAGTTTTGCTTATTAATGCCGCCAGAGAGCGTGAAATGGGCCTCGTCTGTCATCACAATTTGCTTCCAAAAATCCGGTTCAGCATCAACCATGCAAGCGACTGTTTGGGCATATTCCAAGCGACGTGGACGGTCAGTTGGCAATATTTTTTGTGTTAACTGCACCTCATATGGAAACAAATGCAAGTCATCCTTCAAAATGCGCCGCAACGTGTTTTCACTGATGTCAAAATGCTGAGCGCGGTGACGATACGACACTTTTGGGTTCTGGGCAACGCTGTCTCTGACCGCTTCAACCAATTCATTGGAACATCTTGGTCGTTGATGAACGGTATGTTGACGATCTCCCACTGTCTCTTACTCAAGAAAATTCGAAACCAAACGACGGATAGTGTTGTCAGACGGTGCCTGTTTGCCACGATATTTTCGACGATATGCACGTTGCGTTAACACAACTGAACGGCGATTTGCAATGTACATTGTGACTATTTCGGCGCGTTGTTTCGGTGTAAAACGATTCATGACTAAAATTGTAGTAAATTGACGTTTCAGAAATACGTATAACCAAATCACTCGTTGAGCAAATATCAAAGTCATTCGATGTTTCAATACCGACATAAAAGATGGTGCACCCAATAGTACGTTTTTGTAGAATAAGCACTTTTTTAAACAATTTTGGGAGCAGAAACACCAAAAAGAGATATCTCTATCTACTTTCAACTAAGGCAAAGTAACTGCTTAAAGCTGTGGCTTCCCCTACGTTGTAACTAATTGTTTTTATAATAAAAGTAATCTTTACTAGTTGAGGTTTACATAATTAGTAGAATCTAATTTATGTTCAATGGTAAGTCCTAAAAATTTGGTGGTGTCTATTTTGTATATCAATTCATTATTTAAATTTATAAAAGCACTCTTTTAAATATGTCATGCATTTTATTGTATTAACATTGAAAGTTATGTAATTATCACACCATTTTTTACTGTTAATTTTGGTCTTAATTTCATTTATGTCTGTGTCTTGCCAAATTATTATGGTAACACCATCAAAAACTATGAATTTACCATTTATGGTTAAATGTATTGCATCTTTGACCTAAATATTTAAAGGCATTCAAAGAAGTCTAATCAGTACCATGATTTTTTTTAAAGATCCGTTGGATAAATTAAGGGTTCCTAATCAATATTACATGATTTAGATTTGTGAACAGGTCTCAGTATTTTGTATAACATTTTTAGTTTTTCTGCTATTGTACAGTAGTAATCAATCACTTATTACGTCGGTATTTATAGGTGGTATGTTGGTGGAAGCAGCAGGTTTGCCTCTTAATTCATTTAAGACTTTCCATGCCTCATTGGTTTAATTTAATTATTATTTTCTGTTTAGAATAATCATTTTTTACCGAAGCTAAAACATGTTTATATATTCTATGATATGTCATACGGTAGTTGTTGAAACTTTCATTTTTTATAAATTTCTTGATATAGTATAAGGATCTCCAATTCAATATATTTTCAATCCCATTGTGATCCACGTTGTTTTGCTGTAAGTTTTAATTTTTCTGTATAGGAAGCTTTCAAGAAAAATATTTACATGTTCATAAAATGTTAGAAAGGGATAGCTAGTAAGGAAGCAATCATGTCAGTTTATTGGGTTACAACTATCATATATCAAATTTTGTATAGCTATTACCTCTAAAAGTCTCTTTTGTTTCTTGGAACTATAGTTGATCACAGCTGCTAAAACCGCTTTGTTTGTTTGTTGACAATGTCAATTTTATATAATTATTCATTTACACATTTTTTTAATCCATCTTCTGTAATTTTACATTTTTGTCTATTAAAATTACATCACTATGCATTTTGAGTATCGATAAAGTGGTTTTTTTAATTTCACCTTAAACATTTTTAAATTTAAACACTGTTTTATATCATCGTTCAATTTATTAAATTCAAATACTCCCTTTTGAAATAGAGATTTGCCAGTTATCCCACTATACTATTACCATTTTGGAGATGAAAATGTATACTGCCTCTGGTTTCGTAGTTATGATAATGACTATTTAATTTTGTGAAGTTTTCTAAAAGTGGTGGCAATAAATGATCTTTTTAATTTGAATATGAAAATGAGAACTAAATAACATGTAGTTCTTCTAACATATACTTAATCCTAGCATATTTGCGTGTATTTAAAATGACTTGCTTTATTGTGTAGAATTTGTAATTTTTAAAATATGTTTTCATTTTCTGTACTCAAGATAATTGTATTGTCACCTAAATGTTTGCCTATTGACATATATTTTGTTTTATTAGTGTTTAAGTTGGTTAACATTTAGCCAATTCATATTTTATCACTATTTAACAGTTCTAAAGCATTATCCAAATGTTTATGTGCTATATACAGGGTGTTCCTTAATGATATGCGAATATTTAAGGGTGTGAATCTACATGAAAAATTAATGTTAGTTTGCTTTATAAATGTTTCCTTACAAAAACTCGGAGTGTTGATATTTAGTGCGTAGCGAAAGTTAATAAAGTTGCATATTTTTCAATGCAAAAATAATTTTTAGCTTTAACAGTGGCGTGCGTACGGGTATTGACTTCGATATTTTTTAAGGAAAAAATGGTACGACAATGATTTTATGCCAAATAAAAATTATTTTTGAATTCCCCGTTCAATTTAAAACAAATGATCTCTCTTGAATTGTTTTCCCTGGATGCACCATTTTTGCATAAAAAAATAAAACCGCAAACTTTTTGTTATATACCTTTCTCCGCATGATCATATTCTCTTTGTAGATCCTTCGGGCTTGAAGTACCACAGCAAATGGCTATAACCGGCCGCGTGGTTGTGGTTAGATGTCTCCTTGAAAATTCTAGGTCGTCTAGCTATTTTATACTACAATGTGTAGGTTGGCTCTTGTTGTGGACTTCGTGTGTCGTTTTTTCCCCCTCCAACTTCGTTTCCTCAGGTTACACCCGTATCCGGATGTGTGGACATGTGTATCTACTTTTGTAGTTTCATATGTGCATTCATTTCGGGCCTGATGAAGCCAACCAGCAGAAATACGTATCGCTCGGGTTACCTATCCTATTTTATGCTCGAATCCACTTTCCTCCTTTTTGCGGATTTTGCCCATTATTTTCCTTCCTTTTTGTTATATATATATATGCGCGGTAGTCATTGCCAAAGCCAACGACCAGTTGGGTACAAAATACAATCAATTGTTAATTGGGAAATTGGCAAAACTCTTAGGCTTAAGTTGACTCTTATGACGATAAAATCAAGCTTTCGGCATTCTCTATGGAGCCTTCATCAGCATTCTGAAAACACAATTGTGATGCTAGCAAAAAAACAGGACAGATTTAAATTGTCAGATAACTTACTCGTCGGTGAGGTTGCACAAGGTGTTTCAGAACGAACGTAGAGAAGATCGAACTTATAATCATATATATATATATATATATATATATATATATATATATATATATATATATCAATGTATCGTCCGCAAATATTTTGAAGTGTTCTAAAATGTCAGAGATATTTATATTAATAATTATGATGTGATCGACATCGATTTAACAGGGGCCGACAAGATTTTTACCCAGAAACCAGAGTATACTTTCCAAAAGGTTTTTGATGCGCTAAATCCAAATCCGTGGTCCAAATCTTTTAATTGATCTAGTATACTTGAATAGATATACAGACAGATAGATGGATAGATAGACAGATAAGTAGATAAAGTGAAGAAAGTATTTTTTTATCTTAAAAAAGTGTATGCAATTGAAAATAAGAACGTTAAACTGGGTCCTGATAGGGTAGAGTGGGTTATGTGGATATTCATCAAAATACGTTAACTTGTTATTAAATTTTTGGTATATGATAATCCAAACAACAACTTGAAATTCAAAGAAATGAAAATGTCAAAGTGCCATATTTCAACGAAAGAAAAAGTTATATAAGGTAACTCAACGCCATTTGAAAGGGCAAAGCTCGTATTTTGAAATAATGTCTATGGATTTTTGAAAAAAAAAACTCCGTACTACATAACCTAAAAGATAGTCAAAAATCACTATTTTTGTACCTTTACGTTAGGATATCTTGGAAACTAGATCCAATTGAAAGATTTGGACGGATTCAGCTCATCAAAAACCTTCGGACAAGTATACACTGGTTTCTGGGTAAGAGGGTCGGTTCGCTTTTGTCGGCCAGTGTATTTCGATAGTTTAAAAGTTAATCATTAGTTGTAAAAGCATAATGAAACTATATATGAAGAATATTTCAAAATATTTATATTTGATGACCATTGTATACTAGAATTTCGAGTTACACGATGTTTCAGTAGACCCTTATTTGAATCCACCTATATCCAATGTAAATTTAACGCATATAAATTTTGGGCTTTCTGACTTTTCTCAAGTCTAGGTATCAATACCTCCGTTTTTAAGTTGCGCGGTTAGAAAAACAGACCTGCTACAAACCCGAATTTCGTTATGAAACATCAGAAAAAAAATTTAACTAGAATTCGGAGAGTTTTTCGTATTTGCGTCTTTACTGCTAAACACAGAAAAGTTAAAGAGCCCAACTGAGATGATTATTGAATTTTTTTTTTGCAGCACGCAATGGAATCGTCACTGCGCTCTTTGTCGTTTTCCTCGGTATCTTCCCAGTTGTGGCAATCATCTTCCTCCTCTCTTACTATGCTCACCACAACGTGAAGCTGGGTTGGAAATCCAAAATGCCTGCAATGTATGTAAATGTGACTGCATGGAAGGGGAGCCGGTTTTTGCATGAACTCACTACTCGCATACCCATTTTATCATTTAAAACGTGTGCATTGTACAGAAAACCTGTTAGTGTGTCTCGTAATGAAACTAATACACCATTATAACATAAGTAGTTAACTAACATCAGTGTAGTATTTGACTAGCGTGATATGTATTCGAAAAGTAACGGTACATTTGTCAGAAAAAATAGGGGGAGGTGTAAAAATATCAGATCGAATGTTAAAAAAATATGAAAGAAGTGTATCTGTAATGTCTTTATTATAGGGCTGCATGGCACAATATGAAATTTGACATGAACAATTTTTACAGCAACTTTCACTCTCAACCTAAATTCTGACTGTATTTGAGTATCCATATTCTGGGTAGCCGGATGCTCACCTGATCACAGTAAGAAAGCGGTAGTAGTATAGATCTAATAACCCCTATTGACATTTTAGGTCCCCGCTTACTTTTGCTAGGTTGCCAGTTGTCGTAAATTTTTTCTTGGCAAATCTCATATCGTGTCATTCGACACTTATTCAACAATGCTTCATATCCGTAAACAGGAGATGAAAGCGACTTAAAACTGAACCAACCAGTACTTCTGTTTACGATAGTCGTATGAGGTTGTAGTCAACTATGAACCAGCGATTCTAATTGATAATCTTTAATTTAGTGATGAGAGACAACTACTTTCGCGGTAAAAGTTAGCTTGAAATAGCAGTTCTTTAAATCTTTAATTTATTTCAGACATGTACTACGATCTATTCTGCATGGAATTCTTTCAAATCAGATTCAAAATTATCGCATGTTCTCTATTAGGTATTTTTTCTCGTTTAAAAATACCGACTGTTCATGCCAGCTTTTGGCTAAGCATGTAGCACTTGTGTTTCGAATACATTTTGTAGTTATGTATAGGTCTTTTTAGCGATTTTGGCGATAAAAATACGAGCATCACTTTAATATATCAATCTCTCTCACGCATAAGCGGGCCATACACTCGCGATGCGTACATAATTTATGTTTACATATTGCGTATGGCACTGATACCGCCAAAATCGGTAAAACGCCCTCAAGGCGACTAACATTGGGTTAATATTTAATTGGTGTAGGATATTAACATGCGTTTTATCTTATCATTTTAGAAGTAGCTGAATGTTGATTCTTTTCTTGATATATTTTAACAACGATTTTCCTCATTATTTTGTTTATTGTACGAGAGTTGTCTCAAAAATATGGTTCCCACATTTTTTCAGACACAAGGAATTTTTTATTTGAAAAACGAATTTTCTATTGGAAACATTGATTCTTAAGCTATTTTTCTATGTAGTCAATATTTTTCTTAGCATGTTTTAGACGTAGTATCCACTCTTTCAGTCCCGTCTCTAGGAAGCCGACAGCCGCTTGGATACTTGGTAACTGCTCCTTGCAACTCATCGTCCGTCACGAACTGTTGACCGCATACGTGCTCCTTCAATTTCGGAAACGCTATGTCAGTGCTGTAAGGGGGATGGGCAATGACTTTCCAGTCTAATCGCTCGATTCAGTCCTCCGTTTGTAGTGACTACAATGATTTCAGATTACCCGTCTCAGCTTTTTCAGAAGCCTCAGCAATTTCAAGCACCTGTTCCCGGATCGTGATTCGCCGATCTTCGAACAAGATTTGTTCAACTTAGCCACAACTTCCTCTGAGATCGACGGCCTCCCGCTTCGTTGTTCATCCTGGATGTCCATGCGACCGTCAAATAATTCTGCGCCATTTGAAGACATGTTGGATGCTTATGCACATTTCCCATATACTTCACTCAACTGGCGATTGATTTCTATGGGTGGTCACGTTTATGCGTGCATAAATCGGATTTCCGCACGAATTTTGCACCTGGCAATGAAGAGCTCCATTACGCATGGCTGTCCGGCCGGTACTGAGCGTAGCCAATAGGCGCTTCTAATTAGGATCGGTGGTAGGGGAGCCGACAAAGACGACGGTGTTGCCAGATTTCACATAGCATCATGCGCGGCAAAGCTACAGCGTTTGGAACCTTATTTTTGAAACAACCCTCGTACAGCCACACATTTTTTCTTTTGCAAAACTGTTTACTGTGTCTGATTATTTAGAAATAAGCATAGTCTCTTGAATAAGATTGTAAAAAATAACCAGCCACCACTACCATTAAAGAGATGAGCGACATTTTCTGGAGACATCTATGTACTAAGGTTTACATCCTATTTATCGTTCAGAACAGATAATTACATTGAAAGTTTGCATCAAAATAAATGAATGTGGATTATTTCAAGTATATTTACGTGGTGATTATATTTTTTCATTCATAACACGATTCAAGTTTGAGATGATCTTTTCTAATCCATGGTATTTTTTTATTTACCAAAATATAATGTGCATTGAATACTCTGCAGAGAGTAACATCTTGTAAGCAAACATTCTTCTGAGTCTGATGATCGCTAGTACACTATTAACTTGCTTGTCACACTTGTTGTACAAGCAAGTTAACAGCTCTCCTGGCTGGTTTTCACTGCTGCTGCTCCAACTGAATCATTCCAAGGAACACTGAAACGCGATGGAAACGTGGCATTATGGGATTAACAATGCTAGCTGGAGTGCCACATTGGCATCACAAGTTGAAATCTGGTTGAAGTAGAGTTGCTTTTGAAGAGAACAATGAGTTAGGAATCTCTCCTTGGAAGCTTAATACCATCTTTGAGAATAAACAATTTTCCTTAAAAGGGAAAATGAAATCTGTTTTTATCAACGAATTCGAATATACGTTGCATTGTCGTAATTTTTGTGTATACAAATGCTAATTTGCCTACATGTTTTTTCTCTGGAGAAAATATTCAGGTAGTCAATCGTACTGGATGCGTACTCACGTAAGCAGGGCAGAAATAATTACTGTTTGCGTTGCAATGCGAATCGCTCATTTATTGTTAATAAGCAGGGATAAATTAAATAAGGCAAGGAAACGAAAGTAAATATTTATTAACGGTATAGCATATAAACAATTTTGTTTGATTCTTGATTTTGGAAGATGAACAATACGAAAAATTGTCTTCATCAAACAGTAGCATTGGCGGACCACCCGATATTGGAAATGTTGGGATAGATAGTTTATTGTAGATCATGTTATAAGACTTGTCAATGTGAAGCTAAAGGTTATATGTATATGCGTTGGAGCAAGCATGCCGAAAAAATGCGTATAAATATAAAATAAATACATCAGCAATTGAGGGATCCAATGCATAAATCAGTCAAGTCACATGAGAAAAGAAGTCGAGGAAACATAAACAAACATTTTTAAAATAAGTGAGCTATGAGTGAAAGATTAATAGCCTTGGCTGGTTTGTGCAAAGTTTTTTGATTTTTTAAGGGTTAAAATAAAACAAACTTTGACGTTAAAAAATATATTTTTTGTTAGTTACTGAATGAAATAAACGTATGGCTTAATACAACTTTTGATAAAATCTTAAAATATTTTCATCTATTCTTCTTCACTGAATTTTGATGCGGAAGTTTCTTTATCGTCTGGCAAAAAGTTGTGATGGTATTTTCTGATTTCTTTATTTTCTGCAAAATGAATGATCTATTAATCCTTGCTGCCTGTCCCCATATGATTATATTGTTAGTGAGGTGAATATAGCATAATTTGCTATCAACATGGGTTCCTAAGGAAAGGTTCCTTCAACAAGCATTTTATAGCAAAACACACCAATTTACCTCGCCGATATGAATCACAAATCTTTTCGCAAGTTGAATATCATTTATTATTATGAAAACAAAGGGTTACGTTTTTTTTCATAAACAAGCATTTCATCTTTGAGATTAACCGAACAGATGGGTTACGGTGTTCGAAGAACGTACGTTATTTTACACATTTAAAAAAAACAGATGGCTACTACTTTCTGTTGCAAAAAAAATGTCTTTCAAAATGTTTCCATATACGTAGTCGTGCCATAAGTTCTGTCCCATGATAATCTCATGATAAAAATGAAACAAGATAAGATATATTTATATGAAAGATATTATTTATTCGACAACATTTTTAGAATTCATAATCAAACAGTTTTATTCAAAATGTCCCCCCTTGGCCTTCACACACTGCTTCAATCTCGCGGGCCACTCATCCATCACTGCACGCACAGCTTCCAAAGGAATAGCTGCCGATGATCGGATCAAATCCGCTTTCAGGGACTCGATATTACGGTGGGCTTTGGAGCAGGCCAACTGCTCTAGCAGGTCCCACAACTTGTAGTCTAAAGGATTGAGGTCCGGACTCCCTGAGGGCCAATCTTCCGCAGCAATGAACTCTGGCACATTGCTTTCCAGCCAGCGCTGCGTACTCTTAGCCTTGTGAGCGGGGGCGGAATCCTGCTGGTAGACCCAGTGTTGGTTGGCAAACAATGTACCACTTAAAGGCTTGACGATAGGATCCAGTATGTCGCTCTGATAGTTTGCCGCTTTTGTTTTCACGCCCTGTTTACAGAAATGGAGCTGAGTGACCCCTTCGTAGGACACCCCCCACCAAACCATGACTGACGCAGGGTGGTGGCCTCTCTCAACTCTCGGAATGATCTCCGAAGCTTTCTGTGAACTCCTTGCATACACTTTGTCATTTTGTCGGTTGAATTTTTCTTCTATGGTGAAGATTTTCTCATCCGTGAACAAAATCTTTCGGAATCCCCCAGCTGCGTACCTCTCCAAGAGCTTCTTGGATCTTGTCGCCCTGATGTGTCGCAAGGTGGCCGTAAGTCGCTGGCCCGTACGTCTCCGGTAAGCCCCTAGCCCTAGGTCTTGTTTAATGATGCGCGACATCGTCCGGACAGGAATCTTCATTTCCCTGGATAGGATCTTCTGCTTCCGGAGTGGATTCCTTTGAATCCTGGCTTTTACGGCTTTGATGGCTGCTGGAGTCCTTACTTGACGAGGTCTTCCGCTTCTTGGCCTGTCATCAACAGAGGACGTCTCATTGTACCGCTGAATGGTCCTAGACACAAATTTACGCGATATTTGAAGGCCGCGTAAGAGTTCAAAAATCTGACTAGCACTGTGATTACACTTATGTAAAGCTATCACTGCAATACGGTTCTCTGTCTTGCCCCACTCCATCGTTATGCTTCGAGAGATCAATACAAACTGAGGTATATGTAATTACCCGAAAAGCGCTTAATCAACTGACACCACAATGTAAACAATCGGACAAGTATTAACAGGTCTACACTTGTTTGAAAACGAGGGACAGAACTTATGGCATGACTACGTATAAAGAAATCCAAATGTCACGGCGGTCAGAGATGAGCTTCAAAGTTTATATATATTTTATATGTCATATTCAATTGTTTAAAAAGTTAGCACTCTTACTGAATATACAATAATTTGAGATTAAACGACTTACCTAGTAAGGAAGTTCAATCGGAATTATTCGAGGTCCGGTCCACTAGAACACATATTGTAGAATGCGATTCGGTAACGAAGCGGGCCACCTGTGAAAAGTAACATGGATCCCCATCTCCAGACCCTGAGCTATACGAATATCTCATTATGCTTTTTATTTGCTAGTCATTTTATTTTTTGGGTATGCGGTACTACGCGTCTAGGATGGGGTGGGATGTGTTCTAGTGGACCGGACCTCGAATAATTCCGATTGAACTTCCTTACTAGGTAAGTCGTTTAATCTCAAATTATTCTTCAGTCCGGTCCACTAGAACACATATTGTAGATGTTTAAAGTACTAAAGGAGCTAGCAAATGTCATTGTGTAATAACATAAAGAGGAATTAAGGAATAATAAAATTATTAGATATGCATTGAATATAAAGTATTTTAATACAAATTTTGAGAACAAAAATTTTTCATATATTTCCTTAACTTTTTTTTTTATATATATATTAATTATGGCAGAACAACTAACAATTAGTTTATATACAATAACAACAACGTAACAAGAAATAGAACATACGATATAGAAACGTCCTTATTCTAAACCTATATGTTATAGACCAACAAACGTAACTAGAGTCTAACACAATATTTTAGTAGGTAGTAATGTAATTAATCCCTGCACGACCTGAGTTGTTTGTTTTCCGTACCAGCTAGTACGCTATTTATGAAAAAACTGCTATCTAACGGCCTGTTATAAAACTTAAAAAACACGTTGGACCGTTCTGACCAGCCTACTGTGGCTCTTATAGTTTCAATGTTAGTACCTGATCTGTAGGCTGCAGAAACAGCTGCATGCCTAGTACTGTATCCAGAGAATGTACCAGTATTTATTCCAGCCAGGCCTAGAATTTTCTTTAACCACCTGGAAAGAGTTTGAGTCGAGGCTGGATGGTACGGTTTTTTAATGGTCAAAAATAACTCCCGTATATTATTTCTTATGTTCTGACTTCTACTTAAATATTCTATCAATGTGCTAGATAGACATAGCTCTGGGGTCTCTCTAAAGAAGGGGAGTCTCGGTCTAGGTTGGATCCTACCGGGGCCTGATGTTTTTAGGATATCCGGTATTAAAATCTCTATGAAGTCAGTTCTTTGATAAATATTATCTATTTTAATTTTTGAAAAAGTTTGTAATCTTTGTGCTGTGCCTAAGGCGAACAGCATAACCAGCTTATAGGTTAGGTCTGCAAAGCTTAGGGAAGAAAAGGGATGTAAAGATGACAAATATGCAATTACGGGATTTGGGTCCCAAGTTGCTTGATATTTTGGGAACACCTTTCAAGTACCTACTAATAACTTTCTCATCAACTTCCTTATTTATAATTAAATTAAGAGATGACCTAAACGTATTCAGTGTTGTATAACTAGCACCCTCCTTAAAACTATTATCTAGAAAATCAACGAAATCTGCTGTTGAGGGATTAAAGCAGTCTACTGCTCTACGGATGCAAAATTCCCACCATTTTTTATAGGCGGTATTGTATTGTTTCAGTGTATTAGGATTTAATGAAGAGATAACTACTTCTAAAGCTGATTCCGTCAGTCTTCTTGGAGCAAGAGCTTCCCTGGTAAAATTCCTGACACCAGGGTAAGCTTTGGCCAAAGCGGATGTGGTTCCCTATTTGGAGATAATAAAAGATTTCTATTAGGAGTTAAATAAACCAATTTTGACTTGAGAATCTTATTGAAAATTGGGTACCAAGGTTGTGCCCTCCATTATCGCCTCCCCCTCATCTTTGATAATTTTATTCAACGTTCTCATTATCAAAGAAAAAGGAGGGAATGCATAGAAAAATATATTTGACCAACTTATCGTAAAAGCATCAACAGCTATTGATTTCAGATCTTTTTTCCAGGAAATAAATTGTTTACATTTATTGTTTAGCTGGGATGCGAACAGATCGATGTTAGGAAGGCCAAAAGGCCAATTTTCTTAAAAGCTAAAGAGTTTAACTCGTATTCAGTTTCTGAATTAAGCGATCTTGATTGAAAATCAGCTACCACATTACGAGAGATTCAATATAAGTTGCAAAAATATATATATTTTTAGACTCACACCACTGCCAGATTGCTTTCGACAACTCAGACAATTTCTTATATTTTACACCTCCCATACGATTAATGTAGGATATGGCGGTGGTATTGTCAACTTTTAACAAAATGGAGCAGTCTTTAAGGTCTCTTGCAAAACATCTTAGAGCATTATAGGCTGCTAGCAATTCAAGGTAATTAATATGAAATTTAGATTCCTGTAAACTCCAAAAACCCTGGGTAGATTCTGGACCTGCCGAGGCTCCCCATCCGACATTTGAAGCGTCGGAGTAAATTACCACTTTATAATCCTGAGGCCTAAGCGAGACAAGTGATTTTGGAATTGCTGTCATCCACCAATTTAATTCTCTTTTTATTTTGACTGTTATTATCATTTGCGAGTTATAATTGTTATTCGAATTTTTCAATGCTAGATATTTATATCTTTCTAAGAATTTTGTGTGCATAAGACCGTATTTTATAGCAGGACAAATCGAGATAAGGTATCCTAAAAGTCTTGCAAACTCTCTTATTTTACAACTATTAAACTTAACAAATGTGTCAATTTTCAACAAGGTATCATGTCTTTTGCTAGCTGGCAGTGTCATGCACATGTTTATGCTATCATAAAGAAAACCTAAAAATTTGCAAATATTACTGGGTATTAATTGGCTCTTTTTGTAATATACAACAAAACCCAAGGGTTCTAAGAGTGAAGTGGTTACGGTTATATTCGTCCGACACTGATCTATACTATGCCCTAACAATAATAAATCGTCTAAATAATTAACTGAATAAAAACCTTTGTTTCGTAAGAATAAAATAACTGGTTTTAATAGTTTGGTAAAAATACAAGGGGCAGAGCAGAGGCCGAATGGTAAGCAAGAGAATTCGTACAAAACCTTGTTAAACGTAAATCTTAAATATTTCCTATGTTTTTTGTAAATCGGTATACAGAAATAGGCGTCCTTTAAGTCTAGAGAGGCCATATATACTCTGTTGGTAATTATATTTTTAACAATTTTATAATTTTCCATTTTAAAGTGTTGGATTGTTACATATTTGTTTAATTGTTTTAGATTTATAACAAATCTCTGATTTCCGTCTGGTTTCTGTACTAAAAAATATGAAGATAGAAATTGATTTTTACACGGTTGGCATTTATTGATTGCGCCTATTGCTTCTAATTTATTGATTGTTTCTTTAAGGTTCTTAAATTCTATTTTACTGTAACTTTTGGTTTTTGGCAGGACTAACTGTTTAGGAGTATGAAAAAATGGTAAACGGTAGCCAGTTATACAGCTCAGAATAAATCTGTCATTCCTTATAGATTTCCAAGATTTTTGAAAATACTTTAGTCTACCGGCAAATAAAGCAATATTGTTAACATTTACCTCTACTGAATTTGTCGGTTTCGGTAATTGTATCTGGCTAGGTTCCCTCTCGATGATCTCCATTGATTTCTGTTTCTCTCTTGTATTCGAGGCTCCTTTCTCTTGTTTAGTACAAACTGACTTTTCCGAAAACGTACAGATGTTTTGGGGCGCTGCCAGTTTAAATGGCTCCTATTAAAGATTTGGCTGCTAGCAGGAACTTTACTCACCTGCAGATCTACTGCAGATTTATTTATAGTTTGATTAATTTTACATTTCTCCATGAATGTTTTACCAAAGAGAAAATTATCCATTTTAGATTCTTTGGCTAGTTTTTGCATGTCAGATTTTAAAAGAGGATAGACTTGATGTCTGCGATGCATTGATAACTGAAAATGGGCGTTGCACTGAAGTTTTCCTGCTGTCATTAGATCAGGTATTATTTCTTTTACAACATTACTGAGGTCTGCTATATCTAACAGTTTGCTTATCACTGATGATAAAGCACTTAAGCTTCCAGCTATGTCATTTTGAATATGACACATAAACGAATCTTATTTCTGATCGGTAGGCGAAAGAAGTGCTAAAATCTCTGGATTTAAGGTAGGTGAGTTGAAAGAGAGGCAGTTTTCAGGTGTTGGCCACTCGAGTCTTATTTTTTCTTTTTCATCGCTAGTCATCCCATTGGTTGCGTAATAATTTAGCCTAGAGGCCACCTGATCACTCACTGGCTTGCCCATAACCTTAGGCATGGATGGATCAGTTCCCAGTATTTTATTTATACTATCTATTTTATCAGAGAGTATTGGAGAAAGTTCTGCTTCTCTGTGAACATCGACCTCTACGATATTACCCTGATTAACATCGCTGTGAACCGAATCTGATGAGGAAACACTTATGCGGCGAATTCTCTTTCTACGGGGTTCTATATCCTGGTCACTCCCACCTAAGAAACAAGAATGCCAGTTTTTCATTTTTAATTCAATATGTCTAAATAGCGAGAAAGGCTATTCAAACTCTGCTTGCAGTTTCTTTTTATATTTCTGTGGACTTTTTTCTAAAAGCTCTAATATAGCATACTTTTGTTTATAGATCATGTCACCATTAACACTAGGGCATGCAATTATCGAACTCTTCCGATAATCTTAATCGTATCAACCAATTGTAGCGAACTGACAAGGAACCTTTTTCGTCTCTTGTTTTTATTAACTAGGCTAGGAAAACTATTTGAACATTATGTGCACTTTTATTGTGATCAAACAGTTTTTGCGCACAATAGACAATGAAAGTTTGCAAATAGGAAGCGCGCAGTATACGTATGATTGTCTATAAATTTATGGACATTATTTTGATAAAATTTGAGAACAATAATCCGGATAGTTGCAGATAATTGTGCTAAACACGTATTTCAGATGTTTATATTATTAACTTAAAATAATGAAACACCCAAAACTTTGTGTTTGATAATATACGCATGTCTTCAATACGCGGCCGAAAGTACGGGGTTCTATATCCTGGTCACTCCCACCTAAGAAACAAGAATGCCAGTTTTTCATTTTTAATTCAATATGTCTAAATAGCGAGAAAGGCTATTCAAACTCTGCTTAGTAATTTTGCAAAGACAGCAAATTACCTCGACTCATAATGGTATGTGGGATATTTACTAAAAGCAGTAACTTACAAAAAACAGCGAGCAAGGCTGTTTTTTAGTTATACATATACATATGTATGGCGAGTAAAGCCATTTTAGATAATAACATATTTTTATCATGATGAATCAAACGGCGAGTAAGGCCGTTTTGTACGAGAAATTAACCTTCAAGGAGTAGAATGCTAAATTTCGCCTACAAATCATTTAAAAACAAATTCTTCATGTCGGTAGATGACGCCTAAGGCCATTTTCACCATAACCGCGTTTCCCTGATACACAAAACAATAATAAACATCGTACTTACTTGTAGAGATTTCCTCTAATTTCTTCAACTTTTCTTTAATTATAATCACACGTTTCCTATTTGACGACATTGTGAACACGCAAAAAAGGTAAACAAGAGGCGACCACACTCCTTCGCACCAAAAAGCATAATGAGATATTCGTATAGCTCAGGGTCTGGAGATGGGGATCCATGTTACTTTTCACAGGTGGCCCGCTTCGTTACCGAATCGCATTCTACAATATGTGTTCTAGTGGACCGGACTGAAGAATAATTATATTTCAAACTGATAGTATTGAGTATGTGCTAAGAATGATGACTGCTTGACTTTGTCAAATAAGTAGGTCACGTAATGCAGTTTCTTTTTATATTTCTGTGGACTTTTTTCTAAAAGCTCTAATATAGCATACTTTTGTTTATAGATCATGTCACCATTAACACTAGGGCATGCAATTATCGAACTCTTCCGATAATCTTAATCGTATCAACCAATTGTAGCGAACTGACAAGGAACCTTTTTCGTCTCTTGTTTTTATTAACTAGGCTAGGAAAACTATTTGAACATTATGTGCACTTTTATTGTGATCAAACAGTTTTTGCGCACAATAGACAATGAAAGTTTGCAAATAGGAAGCGCGCAGTATACGTATGATTGTCTATAAATTTATGGACATTATTTTGATAAAATTTGAGAACAATAATCCGGATAGTTGCAGATAATTGTGCTAAACACGTATTTCAGATGTTTATAAAGGGTGTTCAGATAGGGACGCTCGATGTTTGAACGGCGCGCACGCCCAAACCGGTGGGGATACAGCTGTCAAATTTTGTGAGGTTATTAAGTTAGTCTTGACATTTAATCATGGAGCAGTACACGATTCAACAACGCGTGGAAATTGTGAAAATTTATCATCAAAACAGATGTTCGGTTCGTGAAACGTTCCGCGCATTGCGTCCAATTTATGGTGCGCATGGCCGTCTTGCTGAGTCCACTATTCGACGTCTGCTCAATAAATTTGAGAGAACTGGCTCAGTGGCAGACCAAACAACACCCGTACGGCAACGAACAGTAAGAACAATCGAGAATATTGCTGCTGTGCGAGAGAGCGTGCGTCAAGACCCGAATCAGTCATTGCGGCGACGTGCACAAGAACTTGCCCTTCCAAAGACCTCAACATGGGCAATTATGCGTCGAGACTTGAAATTGCACGCGTACAAAATTCAATTGACGCAAGAATTGAAACCGCAAGACCATGGACAGCGCCGTACATTTGCCGCATGGGCTCTAGAGCAGTTGCAAGTCGACCCTGCATTTGCACGAAAAATCATCTTCAGCGACGAGGCGCATTTCTGGATGAATGGGTATGTCAATAAACAGAATTGCCGTATATGGGCTGACCAAAATCCTGAACTGACTTGCTCAATTGCTATGCATCCTGCTAAAGTGACTGTATGGTGCGGTTTCTGGGCTGGCGGCGTAATCGGTCCATATTTTTTTGAGGACGGTATGGGCAACGCACTTACGGTCAATGGAGATCGGTATCGCGCCATGATTAATGATTTCCTGTGGCCTCAACTGGACGATATGGATCTAACAGACATCTGGTTCCAGTAGGACGGCGCTACGTGCCACACCGCACGCGCAACGCTGGATTTACTGCATGAAAAGTTCAACGGTTTCATTATTTCGCGCGGCGGCGATGTGCACTGGCCACCAAGATCGTGCGATATAACGCCTTTAGACTTTTTCCTGTGGGGCTACGTGAAGTCTCAAGTGTATGCGGATAAGCCACAAACAATTGCAGCATTAAGGGCCAACATCATTCGCGTCCTCGGACAGGTAGACGCTGAAATGTGCGGAAAAGTGCTCGAAAATTGGACCATGCGAATGCACGCTGTACAGCGCAGTCGCGGTGGCCATTTAAACGATATAATCTTCCATACATAATGTCGTCGAATGCTATTTACGATCAATATAGACTTTTAGTGCTGACTTAAATTTTTTTCCTTTTTTTTCCATTTTAACTTTCGAGCGTCCTTATCTGAACACCCTTTATTATTAACTTAAAATAATGAAACACCCAAAACTTTGTGTTTGATAATATACGCATGTCTTCAATACGCGGCCGAAAGTAGGTACCTGTTGGAGCTGTAGACGATGTTTATAAAACATATACATTTATATTTGTCAAAGTAATATCGAGCATAGGTCGTCATTTCATCAACAATGTAGACATTTGTATTATGGCAGCATAAAGCAAAGGTAAGATGAAATTAACAATGTTTAACATTGATTTAACGGAGTTAGAAAACTATTACGAGTTATTCACTATCTTCACTATGTCCTGTATGAACTCGCAAAAACGTACGAAAATATAGAAGAAATTTTATGAATAGCCTCTGCTGCTGCAAAAGATACTTTGACTGCGCATCGGTTTGAACATCACAAACGAAGATTTTTGTTCGTTTTCATTTCCAAGGAAGGTAAACTAAGACTGTTGGAAATTTGTAACTGTAAAATTTCATGTGAAAGTAAAATACTTGTTGTTTTTCAACGATTAATTAGATGGTTTCACAAGACCGTTAAGAACTAGGAATAGGATTATTAGTCAGTTTTGTCGTAAATTGGGAAGTTTAAGACAATTTCGTAATATATTCCGGAACTTTAGCATCCAGAATCTTTGGCTGACAAATTATCTGCCAATCACATTGGAGAGCGTTTTCGCTACTGAGGAGTATCAGCCTCGTCAGTGGAATAAAAATTTTATCAAGGCAGTGTCGACGACAACTGGTAGGTGTAACTGATAACAGTCACTGTTGCCAATAATAGAGAGGAACTGAAAGCGAATATGAGTTTCCTGTTCAGATATCGCTATCTAATTTAACGTAAAAGTACACTTTTTTAACTAGCGAACCTGAAGTGTTTCAAAATCAAAACATTTTTTCCATCCAATTTAAATTTCATTATTGAAATAAGGTTACTGTATTTCAGAACTAATAATCTTGATCTTCTATATAAGAAAACGTTTTTTTTTTTGAGTGATACTGAGGCGGCACAAAGTAGTTATTCGGCAGACAGAAAACAAAATATATTGTCACAAATTGTCTTTGTACTTGAAAAATCCCACAGTAACGGTTGAAACGTCGTACAATAAACAAAAATCTATGTCGTTTTGATTCTGCAAGACAATGTAGTCCTATGAAGATGAAAACCACAGAATAAGTTTCAAAAGTTACATAGAAAAACATGGAGTACCAGCCCTAAAAGTTCAGTACCTGTGCAAATATTCATTCATGTTAATCAATCATGAAATTTCTTATCTCATTAGCATTGGCCAAGTTTACACCGTTTCAAGAGATGGCTCAGCACCAGCATTTCTAAATTGCACGCTAAGCTAAACCTTCAATGTAATTCCAGCGACCATTTATACCGTGATCATTAATACTGCGTGAGGCCTTGTACAGCACTGCACTATGCAAATGATCTAGTGTTGCGCCCATCGCTTACTATGGGGCGGTGTTAACACACGGGATCCCGCAGTCCTGTAGTTAGCAACCCACATGTAGATATCCCTAGTAAAGCCATAGAACATTACACCATTGTGTTGTTCCGTAGTCCGTTCTTTTACCGCCCTGTGCCCGCTTTCGCTGAGTAATTTGCGGGATACAAGAGCTTCGCGCAACTCCAATGACTACGGTGTGAACATGAGCTTTCTCACACTTTCACGTCAAAATGTTTTTAAAGAACGTTTTGGCTTTTTGCGCCACCACTAGTAAGCTATTTTTTTTGTTGCTTTTGCATACCCTTATCTTTTCAACATTGTAATTGTGTACCTAGATAATATAAGCAGTTTTATGAAAGAACATAGAAGTAGTAATAAAAAAGTCTTTACATTTGAAACTGTTTGCACTTGATATCTGGAGAGATTTCCGAACAAGATACATCAGAAATTTACGTTTTTGTGTTGTAATGAACTGCTGAAAAAATATGTTACCAATCAGATATAGAAAATCTGAAACTAGTAAGTGTACTTTCTGGTGTTGGAAATCGGTTTATGATGCTATGGTTGATATGCTAATTGTTTCTACTTGTTGGCGATTATAATCATAACGAAACAATTAAATCAAATGAATCGTCCGATTTTCGAACAGAAAAGTACGAGACCTGAACAGCACGATACCACCTCCGTTGATATTTGTCACACATTGGTGATTTTTATCTGAAACAGCAATGTTGCTTTGGAGATGACGGGTTGCATAACTGTAAAATCTCGACACAACGATTTATACTTTCAATATCTTGATACCTACGAATAAAATTACAGTATTCCGGCAAAAGGTACTATATAGAGCAAAAAAGTTTGTTGCATGTTTTTCTCATCAATCAGACTTTCTTTGCCTTCAGTGCGACACCATAATTTTCACTTATCAACCCTAGGTTAAATTATCATGTCTGAAGTTTGTAAGTTTCTATTATTGTTTTTTGTTTTTTTTTTCAGGTCAAAATCGCCTACTAAGACGAGAGCGCAACCCTTCGCCTCAGATATCCATAAGAAAACAGAAGACAACCACTCCCTACTGCATGAAGAGTCACCACCTCCTACTGGCCTACAGAACTCATTTTTCGGTCACTTTCAAGGATTCATAATTACCCCTTTGAAAAATGAGGCAGCAGAACCTGTAAGAGTTGCACCCCCACCCCCTGAGCCTGCCGTAATTTCTGCTTCTTCAGCACCGACATCGAGTGAGGCGACAAAACCACTGACTGCAAAGAAATCCAACGTGAGCACTATTTCTAAAGGGTTGTTTAAGAATCATATATCATTCTCACAAAATGTCAATACATCTGCAAGTAACCCAACAGGGGCTAGTGTTGCAGCTCCGTCTGTTTCAAGAAATAATAGTGCTAGACCTGTTATTTCACAGCCAGTATTGAAAAACTCTACTTGTACTGCCAAAGAGTTAAACTCTCCTCTGAAAGGAACTACTCCATTAGTACCGTTGAGACCGGCACCAGTAATAACAAATAATGAAAGACCTCTATCAACCTCTTCTGTTAAAGCACCACATAGTCACGTAGTGATTCATGAAGAAAATAACACGAAAAATGATAACGTGCATATGAGCACATTAAACAGAATAGCGTCGTTCCTCAAACCAAGCGATAAGAAACCTGCAGCTCATAAACTAATCAAGCCATTAGACAGAGACACTTTGAGAAACATTGAGATTTCAAATCCGATACCCCAAACTGTACCAGGAGACGATAAACCACACAAAGCAGTAGTGATGAGAGCACAGAGCATGCGAGTTAACAAAGCCGCGCCAAAACCAAATATACAAACTTTTGGCTCAATGAGGCAACCTGCTGGGTATAAACGACCTTTAAGTATACCTTTTGGTGCTAGACCAAAAAGTCCTCCGCCGCCTAGACCTAATGAAAGCAACGAGAAAGATAACACAAAAACTGAAACAAGCCAGTATGATGACTGTCTCAATAAGGTCAGTCCTGGCAGCTGCAGTAGCAGTGACAATATCTATGCAGTGATTGAAGAATCGCCAAAGACACCTTTTTCACCTGCAGAGGAGTGTTGCAAATCAGGTTCCAGTGAAAGTATGGGGTTGCTAGGGGAAATCGTGTCTGAGATAGAAAATCGCACATCTGACTCGATCTATTCAACATCTACCTTAGCTAGAAAAAAGAAGGAGGAGGCTGAAGCTAAATTAGACGAAAATGTGTCCAAATCATATTCATCTAATAGATATGAAAATACCTCCGTTTTTCAAGGAGGTGAGTATAGTGATATGAGTGGCAATGTAAAATCTAGTGCTAGTTCCACATACAGCGGGTATATTTTGCCATCAGCTGTCAAGGGACCTACTGCAAAGCGCGATACGAAAGATGAAAAGTCTACAGCTACATTGTCAACATTTAAGTCGGATGTCATAAAACCTATAGCATTAACGGTAACTACAATGCCAAGCTCTAAGGAAACTATCCCTAAAACTACTCCTCCAAGTTTTACTAATAAAGTGGATGCATCTCCAAGCAGAGTGAATAAATCGAAAACTAGTTCATCTCCAAATTCAAATAAAGTATTAGGTAAACCTACAGCGACAAAACCAGCGGTTGCAAATATCAACTCTAAAAGACCACTGCCTGCTAGACCTACAACTCCGGCTACAAAGTTGAATAGGTCCACGACAAATAGTCCTGATTTGGTAACTAGTTGCAACACTAACACCACTAAACAGCCAGATGTACTGGGTAACAGCACAGTGTTGAAGAAACCGGCAATTGCAACTGTGAAGCCTGTTACCAGTAATTTATCTAAGCCATCTCTGAAACCTACAGCAAAGTTTGGCAGTGGTGCAGCTTCCGATAAAAAGACAGGCATGGTCAATCATAAGGGGCAAGTTGCAAATAAGCAAAACGTTTCGAACTCTGAAGTTGGAAAGACAACATCAGAGATACAAGAGCCATCAAAATCTTATGTAAATTCTTTAGCACAAAGATATGACAATAAGAATAATTCGAGTGATATTAAAATCAAAGCAAAGACATGAAAGAATTATTGTGAGTGAATAAAAAAATTAACTATTCTACATAGATGAATACGTGTTGGTAGTTATTATTATTACCCTACTTGAAAAGAACTGCTCGTTGCTCGTTATTTTGGCCATATTCATCACTGTATTGGTAAATGAAAATTCAAACATTATGCAGGTAACTATTTTATTTATGTATCTTGCATACATTCTGCCAAATATGAAAAAGCCAGGTTGTGTCAATAGGTATATGTAATTTTGTAATTTGAAACCAGTGTTCGATGATATCACATATGATCCGCTATGATAATTTGGACACAATCAGAATTAGGTCTCAAAAATTGAAGTGGATTTCAAGGGTGGAAGTGCAGTTATGATTCAGACTCCTGATCTTGGAATTGATGCATGACGCCAATTTCGGGGAATTAGGTATTTGATTTTTGAAGCACCATTAGACATGATCTCGGTTTAGCCATGACGTTTTTAAAAATATCTTGCAGAAGTTTAAGTTTCTTTTTGAATAGGGTTTATGTCCACTTTATGATATTTATTTTTTCCAACTTCTTGACAATCACATACTTCTAGTATTAAGTTTATCTTTCGTGGATTGATACCAAAGATTATTCCAACTTACAAATTACCACAGTACTTCTACATTTAAGTATTACTTCATTTAAAAAAGTACCCAAAAGCTTTCTCTAAGCTTTATCTATTGACCATATTTTTTGTACAAATCTTGTATAGGATTATTGTGAAAGAACTTCGATCCAGTTTGTAGATTTTATAATTTCGTTCAGCTTTTTATGATGTAACATTATTTTATTACTAAAACAGCTTCAATTTTGTTCGGTATATTGTACTTTAAAATGACATTTTATATTAGCTTTCTTTTAGTGGAATGTAGTTACTTATTCCTTACATATTTATGCCTGTTACATTCTGAGTTATTACAGCATTTATAAGATGTACAAAGTGTATAAAATAAAGTACTGGTTCGTGGTAGTTTGATTTTAAATTAATAAACCATATTTTTGTTATCCTTGAAGTGAATTTTTATTCTGATCTGGTTACTTGTTATTTCTGTAGGTTGACTGCTCTTCTGATGCAGCACTGTTGGAGGATTATGTAAGGCACAATTTAGGCCCCCTAAAAAACAGTTAGCTATGAAAATGTATATTAAAGAAATCAATCGGATCAAGTTAGTCAAACAGGCCCAAACAATTAGTCCATAGAATGTTTCCATACTCTACTTACAATACCTTTTGGTTATGTTGCTATGGCTAACCTCGGTACATATCTCATCACAACCACTCGTCAGCATCAGCACTCACGGCATGACAGTCACCAGAGAGAGCGACGCGGGTCTACCCAGAGATGCATATTGGACATATCATCTATCAATCTAAGTTTTAAGGGCACATGTACGGAAAAATCTATATGTGAAATATATTTAATAGATGGGTAGAATTACCAGGGTTAGAAGCATGATGTACACATTGTATAACATCCAAAAAACATAACATCTCATCTAAATTTTTAGCAATTTCAGTACTTCCTCGCCAGCGTGGAAAGTAAAATACTTTATTCATATATCACATCGGTTTAAATACACTAACGCCAAATAATTGAGACGTACCCTCGTACAACCTTCAATTTGTAACCGCTACAAAGATTTTTCTGAAATGCCTCTAAAACGTCAAAAAACTGGCGTGTTTTTTGTTGTGATTTTGCCCTTAGCTCCGCCGCCGCTGGACCTACTTTCAAAAAGCTTTTTTGTCCTTGGCATAGTAGTAACCTTGTGTGAAAATTTCATCAAAGTCCGGGCGGTACTTTCCAAGTTATAGACGCGCCAAGGATTAGCAAACAGACCGAGGGAAATGAGTGACATGGATTTTCGTGATTTACATGCCATATAACAATATCAGTAGTCATGCAACATCCAAAACAATATTTCACTGACGATATTTTTCGCGATTACAATAGTTACTTGTCAGCGGCGTGGGAAGTAAAAAAACAGTTTTTAGCGTATTAGACCTTTATTATATAAAAAAATAATCTTGGATTTATATAAATCGGCAGTTTGAAAATTAGTTTCAATATTAATATATTTTATATCGGAAAAATAGTTAAACTCATAACTTTCAAATTTAGTATCTACTAATAATTATTCTTGAATAGAGTAACCAACCGGTAACTACCAGTTAGAATTTGTTCAGGTAGACACTACAAATATGTATAACAAGTTTAAACTATATCTAAGTGATGTCACTTATAACCTAATGTGACCTGGCATTGTCACCATCAGTCTGCATTTTCTTCAGTATCTTGCTCATCATCATCTTTCTCACTGATCATTTCCTGCAAAAATACAAAATATCCCATAATACAGGCAGACAAGAATGTAAAATTACAGAAAATTGATTCAAAAATTGTTTTAAAGAGTAATTATACAAAATTTACATTGTAGCATTAATGCTAAATAAATCTTCGACAAACAAAAATTTTATTCTAAGGTATATTCAGATAAGAGATAGACCGGATGTAAACAAAAGGTTCGGGTGATTTTCACGCTAACGCCGCCGTCTCGACGTAAAACAGGAGCCCTCATTGGTCAATTCGCAATTAAATGCCTATGCCGAGCGGCAGAGCAGTCGTATCAAGGCAGAGTCACATTCAGGTTCAGGCGTGTTACGTATGTCGTGTGCATCATTGCAATTTGATATTTCTTTGGACGTTTTCGTTTGTTATCTTATTAAGTTGTTGAGTTTGTCGTTGTTATTGTTATACCTTGTTATTGATTGTTATTGTTATCAACTGCTTGCGCAAAATGCCCAGTAGTACAGATACTGCCGATGAAGTTGTAAACTCCTGTAGTCCACCTAGGAAACGCTCTAAAAAAAGACACCTGAGTGCAGAAATGAAAGAGGTCATTTTGAATATATATATATATAAGATCGAGCGCGAGAACGAGGCATCAACCATCAAAGAAATTGTTGTCAAGGTTTCTCACAAAGTTGGTTGGGTGTGTCGCGCATCAGTGTTTAATGTGTTAAGACAATACAAAAAAAATCACACCTTTTCTGAGCCAATGACCAGTAAACATCGCAAAAGTATTGTTAAATCATTGGATGAAGCTGATAAGCATGCGATTAGGAGGAAAGTGCATGAATTCTTCTTTAGGAATGAAATACCTACTATAGATAAAGTACTGCAGGAGGTAAATGGAGATACAACGTTGCCAAATTTCAAACGATCAACTTTCCATGCGTTACTGAAGCATTTAAATTTCAAATGGAAAAAACGGGGTCGTAATAGTTTACTACTGATTAGAGAAGAAATTGTGCTATGGAGGAGGGATTATTTAACAAAAATTGGGAAATAGAGAAATCAAAACAGGAAGATTTATTACCTTGATGAAACGTGGGTAAACGCAGGACACACTACAAGTAAAGTATGGGTTGATGATTCTGTAACTTCATCCAGGAGGGCCTTTCTAGATGGACTGTCCACCGGATTAAAAAATCCAGCAGGTAAATAGGAGTAATAGACAACAATCGGATGTTTTTCAAACCTTGGGAACAAGGTTCTAAACATTAATTCCAGGGGGCAGATAAAACATATTACAAGTAACAAAACTTTTATAACTTTCGATAAAATGCGTGGATGTTTTATTGTCATTTTCACTTGTTAGAACTTTTTTAAGCCATGTTTTTATGTGTTTTCGATATTTCAATAATTTTTTAATATAATCTTAAAATATGTCGAATATTATAAACTTAAAAAAAGTTACTAAGTTTTATATTGTGTACCGTTAAATTGTGAAGCGCTGAGTAATCATACGACGTTCAATATTCTTTCTTTCAATATGACTAAATAATCCCAATTATAGCAATCTGATACTCATGTCTCAATGTTTTTTCGATGAATGTGATGAAAACATTTGAAAAAGGTTCGCTTATTGAAATAAATCTACACCAGTTAGTACTTCGATTTCCAGGTAAAGGGAAAAGGCTCATTATCTGCCATATTGGCAGTGAGGATGGATTTGTTGTTGACGGTCTGTGGTGCTTTGAGTCTAAGAAAACTGGAGATTACCACGAGGAAATGAATGGCGAATCGTTTGAACAGTGGTTTTCAAAAATTTTACCGAACTTAGAGGAAAACGCAGTAATTGTGTTGGATAATGCGCCTTATCATTCTCGAAGAATGGAGAAGGTCCCAACAACGGCTTCAAGGAAAGTTGATGTTCAAAATTGGCTCCGCTCGAAAAATATCAACTTTGAAGAAGCAATGCTGAAAGTACAATTATTAAGAATTGTCAAGAATCACAAGGCGGAATATCAAAAATACGCCATTGACGAAATGGCAGCAAGTCAAAATAAAACTGTGCTCCGTTTACCTCCATACCATTGCGAGCTCAATCCCATTGAGCTCATATGGGCAGAGGTTAAAAATTATATAGCTAAGCACAATACAACTTTTAAATTTTGTGACCTCAAAGGACTTTTCAAAGAAGCACTAGAATTAATAACAGCGCAAAAACGGGAAAACTGTATTAAGCACGTGAAAGACAAAGTTGAAAAGGGAATGTGGGAACTGGACAATATTTTAGAGGAACAAGTCGAGCCATTCATTATTGACGTTGGTGCTTCAGGCAGTAGCGATGATGAAAGCTCATCAATCTCATCTTTCCAATAAAAGATGTCGTTCATCAAATTCGGTAAGTTATAAGTAATTATAAAGCTACTGTATTTTTTAATTAATTATTGACATTTTTGAACCCATTTTGGCAAAACCTATTCAAGAATCTACTTTTTGACAATGTTCAACCATACACATTTTTTTACGTTTTGAACGTTTTAATTTGGTTACATATTTACCTAGAAATCAAAAAATATACTAATCAATATTCTAAAAGCAATTTTAAGAGATATACGATTATTTTTAATTTAGGCTAATTTAAACGCCATTTTGAGATTATATTCGACTGTATTTCACCAAACATCAGGCGGCATCCGAAGCTGGAAATCGAAGCGAAAATTTTGAAACCCTTATGTATATTTACATCATTATTTATTTCTTACCCCACCCCCACATGATCCTGTATCCATCACCAATCGTATACACATCGAATTGTGCAAATTTACTACAAAGTTACGCAAAGCAGCATCTACTATCTAAAATATGTACTGCGTGACTCTTAATACGTCCCTGCCGAATGTTACAGCGTTCGATGATCACGTGGTCTTGTTTATGTCCGGTCTATCTCTTATCTGAATATACTGTAGACAAGGCAGAATGGAGATTCAAATGTAGGGAGGGTTAAATCAGACATGAACACATGCTTGGGTGTATTTAAATGCTTCCTAGTGTTGATTTTGTACTGTGTTAAGATATTATTTGAATTTGTTCAATTCTCAGCTGACTTGGTCAATTGTTTCATTCTGACTGTATACCAAAACCTTATTTAAATTAAAGCATCTGCAAAACTAGGACATATGAAGCAGAACAAGGAACATTTTGATCACTTGATGAAATATTTTAAATATCACTGAATGATCAGCTGTTATTTGTTATTACTCTTAAACATGTTGAAATATTTGGGATTTTTCAACAGAATACATAATTGAAAAAGTTTTCTTAACTAGAGATAAAACTTTAGTGGGTCACTTTTCGTCAAAGGTGAATAAATAACTTTTTCCCATGAATTCAAAAAACTACGAAGTATTTGTAAAATTACTTCAGAGAAGTTGTAGAGCATGAAAATACCTTCATGATGAGGCCTTATATGTTTGGTTGTTCCTGTATTTTTTTATTCCAAAAATATTTCAAACTTATTCTTTACCAAAAATTGCACAACGGTAAATATGAAAACTTAAATCCTTTGTGCTGATTTTTTGAGTTTAACGATCATTTTTACAAGCTGTCCAGAGATCTAGCCGCTGCGGCAAATTAGTTACATAAGGTCTTTTCATCCTCTACATCTCTTCTGTAGTTTATTTGACTTTACAGTTTTTTAATTCAACAGAGGGTCCGACCGAAGCTTCAGCCACATTTGGCCAGAACACTTGACCTGTTGATTTAGGGCGCTTTACACGTACGGTTTTTGGCGCATACGCGTCAATTATCTCGGTCCAACACTTCCGTGTAAATCTCGGCCGCTGGTGCGTGGGACGTCGCGTGGACCTCTACAAACCAACGCAGACGTGGAGCGCGCGTCGGTCAGCATTTAGGCAGTCACGTCTGGACTCGCAAGCCCGGCGCCAGAGTTTCTGGTGGATTCTCTGTTGAAATTTGAAATATAATGGCGTGGACGAAGAACAAAAAGAAGAAGAAAAAAAAAATTTTTTTTTATATCGAAACAGCCGCGCAGGCAGAAGCCTAAATGCCGGAACACCGCGGCTGCTAGGATGATCCCAAAGAAATTTTGTTAATACGATTTTTGAACTGCCTAAGGTTAGTAGAACTGGGAAAAGCTTCCTCCCGTAGATTGTTCCACAATCTAGACACCCTCGGGACAAAGGAGCGGTCGTATCGGCCAGTTCTGGATGTACGAAGTTTGACACGGTTAGGATGGGATGCCGAAGTCAGGCGGGTCTGTCTGGCAGGCGCATCGCGCGGCGGCATCATGGAAGAGAGCTCTGAGGAGCAAAGCCCGTTGGTGTAGCGATAGAAAAGAGCTAGATCGCCGACGGCCCGCCGGTGCGAAAGAGTCCCGAGACTGTCTGTTAGAGAAGAGTCATCGATCAGTCGGACCGCCCTCCTCTGGACAGCATCGAGCATGGACAATGTAGTCTGGGCGGCAGCACCCCAAATGTGTGAGCAATACTCGAGGCTAGGCCTTATCTGGGCCTTGTATAGAGTGAGAAGGTCATGCGGAGAAAAGTACTTCTTAGCCCTAAACAAATAGCCTAGCTTTTTCCCAGCAGCTGCAGCTATTGAAGAGATGTGTTCGTGCCAGATCAGGTCCTCGGTGATCTGGACTCCGACCAGCCGAAATGAATGGCTCTTTGGTAGAACTCGACCGTCCATCGAAACTGTATGAGCGCTAGGACGCTTTTTGTTCGTCAAGGTACAGTACTGTGTTTTGGAAGCATTGAACTGTACAAGATTGTTGCGTCCCCAAGCAGTGATAGCCTCCAGGTCTTGTCAGAGAAGAAGTCGTCGTTAGTCTTCTTTTTTCCAGCTCAGCGGCAGAGATCGGCTTGTCACTCTGAATTCCTGCATGTAGAGTGCTGTCATCAGCGAAGCTGTGGATTGGGTTGATCGTGCAGGAAAGGAGGTCGTTGATATGTAAGAGAAACAGTGTTGGAGCCAAGACCGATCCCTGGGGAACACCCGCGTTGACGTTGTGGGATGAAGAGGAGAATCCGTCAATTACGACGGATATCTTGCGGCCAGAGATAAAGTCAGCCACCCATCTGCAAAGCTTTTCTGGGAGGCCGTAGGATGGAAGTTTGCTTAAGAGGGCAGCGTGCCACAGCTGATCGAACGCTTTCGTGATGTCAAGAGCAACGACATGAGCCTCACCATGAGACTGGATGAGTTTACTCCACAGTTGCGTGACGTAAGCTAGGAGGTCCCCTGTGGATCGTTGGTGCCGGAAACCGTACTGCCTGTCGCTAATCAAGCTGTGACGTTCGAGGTAGTCCAGAAGCTCGCGATTTATGCACCTCTCCATCACTTTACTTATAACAGAAAGCAGAGCTATAGGCCTGTAGTTGTAAGGGTCGGTTTTAGATCATTTTTTTGGGATGGGCTGTACATGAGCAAATTTCCAGTTTTCTGGGAAGGTGCCGGATTCATAAGATATCTGGAAGAGACGCGAAAGAACTGGAGCAAGCTCCGCTGCACATCTCTTCAGTACAATGGCAGGAATCAAGTCCGGACCAGAAGCTTTGTTGATGTCGAGCGACAAGAGCACTCGTCTTACGGTCTTATGCCTGAATGTTACTTCCCGCATAGTGTGGGGAACCCTTTGAATTGACGGCACTTGGGCGTTGGTGGGGACGTCCATGGTGGAGTTGGCAGCAAAGATCTTGGCTAGCACTTCCGTCTTGGCCTTTGAGTCGAATACAATAGTTCCATCCTGACACGTAAGTGGTGGAAGGCTACTGTGTGAGAAGTTCTTTTGAATCTGCTTGGCCAGCGTCCAGAAAGACCGACTGCCATTGCGCTGCGACATTACCCTGTGCCTAACTTTTATATCATGCTGGTTTTTGGCATTGCGAACCGCTTCGTTATATTTGTTTCTGGACTCGACGTCGGCTTGTCTGTTCTCTACAGTGGGGTTTTGTAAGTAGGTTCTGTGGGCCTTGATCTTCTGCTGGCGAGCAGTGTCACACGATTTGTTGAACCAGCCGTTGGACCCTGGTTTAGGAACTTTCACTGTGTGAGGGATGTATTCCTCCATTCCGACGTGGATAATTTCGGTTATTGAAGAACAGACAGTCGACGCATCCGCGTCAGTGAAACAGACATCTCTCCAAGGAAAGCTAGAGAAGAAGTCTCTGAGCCCCTCCCAGTCGGCATGTCCGTAATGCCAAGTTTTGCGGCCTGTGCGAGTTTCTGCTGCCACAGCGGCTTCTGACCGAAACCTAACCTCCACAACACCGTGATCTGAATTACCCAGGGGGGACAGGACAGCAGTGCTGTAAGGGGCAGGATGCGTGGTCAGAAAGAGATCTAGCAGGCTACTGGCGTGTGACGAGACGCGGGGGAAAAAAGTAGGGCTCGTCACCAGCTGGGTCAGCCCTTGAGTAAGAGCGAACGCTTCGACTGCACGACCTGCTGCATCGGTCTTATTTGAGCCCAACCAAAGCTCATTATGGGCATTGAAATCACCGAGAAGAACTACCTCTGAAGCGGGGTGATTGATGTTCAGGAAGTCGATCTGGACGGCGAGGTATTCGAGTAGGTCATCCCAGTTATGGTTCGAGGGAGAGCGATAAAGGCAGCAAATAAATTTGGGTGATGTTTTGGAGTTGAGGCGAAGCCACAGAATGTCCTTCCGGTCTGATTCCAAAGAAAGATCCCTGGAGCAGGAAAGACTGCTGCGGACAAAAGCCACAACTCCCCCGTTCTTTCTCAGATTGGAGTGCACCTCGTAATTTGGGAAGTTGAGATGGTTAATCGGTGCAGTCTCTGAGATTTTTGTCTCCGCCAAGAAAAGCACGGCGGGACGATTGGATTGCAGGTAGTGATGAACAGCATCAATGTTGCTGTTGATCCCGCAGATGTTCGAAAAACAAATTTTATCTTCGATGTTGTTCCCTCGAGCCCACCCTCCACCCGGACATTCCGAGAGTGGAGTGAGTTTACGTCCGGGGGTAATTATTGATATATATGGGGCCATCCTTGCTTATAGAAGGTAAACAGTGAAGACTATAAAAACAAAAACTTAAAAAACACTGCTTATCAAGAATTAGTGCAATTTTCCAAAGAATCTTCGCGCCACTTTTTACCCAAAACCTTTTATTTTGATTTCCGTGTTAAAATACACGTATATTCCAGCACAAGCTATGGTAAACACAAAACTGTGGGGTTTTGTGTTTAGACGTACGGTTTTGGCATGTACGCTCCAAACGCACAGAGTTGGAGCGCGCTACAGGAATGTTGTCTTGTACAACGTGCCAAGCGCATACGCTCCAAGCACGCACGCCACTCTGAACGCGCCAGACTACGCTCCAAACCCGACAGATTGGAACGTACGTGTAAAGCAGCCTATTAAGTACTGTCAAAATAAGACAGCACAAAGTGCCGTCTACTACCAGAATCCACCAGTGCGAAAGTGAAAACAGCAAGCTGTATGTTAGAACTGTATGTTCATACTGTCAATCGGGTCTCCACTATGGCCACTAGATGCCGTCGATTCTAGTCTTATAGTGGATATGATCTACTTGCCATTGAACAAACTAGTATTATAACTTCTTCGTTCGTCCGACCACAGATAGCCAACAATGGACAGCTGTTTTCTGTAATAGATGGCACTTTGTGGTGCCTTATTTCGTTAGGCCTTATACTCAGAATAGAGAAATTGCTGGTTTCATTCATTGTACACAAATACTAAGCCTACACCAAATAGCATGAAACAACTATTCATGGTTGGCCATGCGTGATCTGTCGTTTCCTCCATGACTTTTGAGACACCCTATATATATTTGTTCCACTCTCAAAAAATAAAACGTTTTGATTGGTCAGTTTGTGTTAGTTGACTGTGCGCTACGAGCCCAAACAACTTAATATTCGGACACTTAAATTATGTGCAAATTCTATAAAATAACAAAACATGATAGTAAACTTGTACCGAAAACTTTTATTAATAGTTTATACAAAATGTGACCTTTTTTCGATAATATTTGTTTTTCTTGATAAGTAATTTAAATTAACAAAAAAAACTAAACTTCTCAAAAATATGTGGCAACTAAATATTCGGACACTACAAAATGTAACTTAACTAATAACTTGTTACGTCGCCTTTTGCCTTAATTACCGCCTGAATTCTTGCAGGCATGGTCTTAACCACAGACTACTAAAGCATTCTTTAGTAGTCTGTGGTCTTAACTAATGCTTGACAGTTTTCTTGTGTAAACTAATTCCAAATTTCTTGCAATTTCACACGCAGTTCAGGGATTGTTCTCCGAGGATGGTTTCTCAAATGTTGTTTCATTTTGTGTCAGGCCGTTTCTATCACATTTAAATCGGGACTACTAGCGGGCCAAGAGAGACATGTACGTCATGATCCCCAAACCATTGTTTTGTGCTTTTGGCAGTGTGGAATGATCCGCCGTCCTGCTGATAAATGCAATCTCCGTCAGGATATAAGTCTGCTATGGTAGGTAATAATGTGTTCTCAAGGATTTCTTGGCATTTAGCTGCATTTACTGTGCCATCTACAAAATGAAGACGTCCCATTCCAACTGCAGACACACAGCAACACACCATAATACCTTTGGGAAATTTCACTATACGTTTAATGAAGTCTTTATGGAAGGTTTCAGTTTTGCTTCTGATGACCCTTTTCCGATGATCGCCTACGCATACGTCAAATTTGGCTTCGTCACTGAGTATGATCTTGCTCCAGTTCTCATACGTCCAAGAGCACTTTGATTTTGCAGAAAATAAGGCCTACTGATACTCACCCATGACGTGACAGTGCGGTGACCGGCACGTGATCCGTCCGACAAACTAAAAACATTCTTCCTTGAATTTGGATGAACTGATTCACACTAGACCGGCACGTGCAAGTGGCCGTGTTCTCAGGGCCGTCGACGACGCCGTACTGTGATCATCGCATTGTTTTGGAACGATATTTTTCGATTTTCACGGCCGTGTTTCTATGTAATTTCGTGAATATTTTGGTATAATTGGTCAAAAACATGAATGATGAAAAACTAATTGAATTTTTACGCGTACATCCCGTGCTGTAGAACCACTCCAATTCAAAATTCATGGACTTCCGTTTTTTTCTCGTTTCTTCTTCATCTTTCGTATGTGGTAGACGGTCTCTGACTGTCGAACGCGGAGGTACCACCCGGCGGATCTCCTAGGCGGGACCAGAATGTGTGCATGTTGCATGCACACGTGTTACCTCGCCAGAGTCCCTGTGGCGTCCCCCCTTTCCCCTGTGTTTCCCCCTATAGAAACACGGTACCCCATGGGTGTTTAGGACTTAGGCCTTCGTGGTAGTTGGAGTATAAAAAAAATCCAGAATTAATGCAATAATTGCAGTTCATCCTCTGAACATTTTGCCATCTCGACCTAACACGTGAACACAACTGCACTGTCAGAGCACGGAGAAAAATACTGACTGGTGTAAATTGAAAACACTGTGAGCTCACGTTAGCAAGAATCACTGGCTGAGGATGAATAGACCTTTAAGCGCCTTTGGTTTTGGACTTCAGTTAGAAGCGGCTTTTCTTTAGCCTAATTAATGAAAAAACATTTCAAATTATTTTGGAATAATAATTTTATAATGCATACCTTATAAAATTTGAGTCCAGATTTATGAATGTATTTTCGACAGCATTCTCGTGAAACCTGCATTCGACACTTTATGTTCCACTGAGCGGTAACTGCCCTTAAAGTGTTTCGTTTACCTGATTTGCAGATTTTGACCAAAGCTCTTCGATTCTGTTCAGTCGCAATCCTCGGTCGACCTGGACATTTACCGCGCACATCAGTACTGGCGGTTTCGCCATAATTTTTTATAATGTCCAAAACTGTAGACTTAGGGATAACATGATCACTTGATATTTTGCATATTGACTTGCCTTTGCAAAACTGCTGAATAATAATTTGCCTCACTTTCTGGTTAGTGGCTACGCCTCGCACCATTTTTGCATGAATATAAATTACAACAAGAAAATACAATTAGATACTAAATACAATTTCTAACGACGTTGACATAAATCGTATTTTGACATTGGTAGCGCCCTCAATTGTTTTTGCATAGCCTGCTAGTCTCTGCTTATCTCTAATGTTATGCTTCTTAACCTGTGCGAACATTTAGTTGTCACTATATTTCACGATATTTTAGTGATTTTGTTTGTCTTAAAGTAATAAATTTGAAAGCAGAGGTGCCGCTATTAAAAATATCTGTTTATTATGCTTATCTATCAATACAAATTGATTGCCAAACATTTTTAGAAGGCGGCAGTTAATTGGGTATGGGTCCACTTGTACAAAAAGTAAAGTTGTCTGAACATTTAGTTGTTGGGGCTTGTATGCTATGCAATGCTGTTATCAATTCATAAAGGATTATATTCAGCACAAGTTAGTCAGTCTTAAAAAAAGTTTGCTACGAACATGTATAACAAAGGAACTAAATAATAATAATAGTAATATTTATTCACCTTAATTAGAAATTTTGAATAAAATTATATGCCACAAAAGGAAAATATCTTTGTGTGTGGATATCATTCTAACATACTCTTATAACATAATAGTTACAATAAATGGATCATGTCATTCAAACAGGCTCATACAGTTACTCGAGGGATTTGACAACATTGTGATCGAGCCTACTGGTCACCCAGCCACGTGGCACCTCTACATGTCACAGCACTCGCAAACTCACCACAGCATTGCATACACAGATACACCTATCATCGCTCAGTTATCCTTCAGCATTCGATGCAGTTAGACATATGCTCGATAACTAAGGCAGCAGGGGTGGCTTAGTGGTAGACATTATGGGTCTACTAATCAGCATGCACTGAGAGAGCTCGAATCTGGCCCCAATTTTTCTCTTGGGTATAGATTTTATGATTGTCCATAGGTGGTGAACAGTCTCTGACTGTCAAATGAGGAGGTAAAACCTGGTGGATCTCTAAGGCCCGTATTGTCAGTCGTCCCTACAATTGTAGGGCGCGTTTATGGCCTCCTTGATTGTCATACTCCTTTCTCTCCTTCAAAAATTTCTAGATTACACTTGTAATCTAGCGTCAGCGCTCTCCTATTGTGAAAATATGTTGTCCTTTTAAATTGTAGGAAATTTCAGGATGATAAAACATGATATAACTCAAAAGCAAGCACAATTTGATGCAAACAGATGTTTGTGACATAATCTCAAAGTAGAGCACTGACATGGAGAAATAGAAAACTATGACAATCAAGGAGGCCATAAAGGTGCCCTACAATTGTAGGGACGATTGACGATACGGGTCTACAGCAGGCCCAGAATGTGTGCATGTTGCATTCACACATGTAGCCTCGCTAGAGTGCATGTGGCAACCCCCTTTACCTTGTATCCACCTATAGCCCTACAGTACCTATCAGTGTTTAGGCCTTAGGCCTTCATGGTGGCTCAAGTATACGTAGTCATGCCATAAGTTCTGTCCCTCGTTTTCAAACAAGTGTAGACCTGTTAATACTTGTCCGATTGTTTACATTGTGGTGTCAGTTGATTAAGCGCTTTTCGGGTAATTACATATACCTCAGTTTGTATTGATCTCTCGAAGCATAACGATGGAGTGGGGCAAGGCAGAGAACCGTATTGCAGTGATAGCTTTACATAAGTGTAATCACAGTGCTAGTCAGATTTTTGAACTCTTACGCGGCCTTCAAATATCGCGTAAATTTGTGTCTAGGACCATTCAGCGGTACAATGAGACGTCCTCTGTTGATGACAGGCCAAGAAGCGGAAGACCTCGTCAAGTAAGGACTCCAGCAGCCATCAAAGCCGTAAAAGCCAGGATTCAAAGGAATCCACTCCGGAAGCAGAAGATCCTATCCAGGGAAATGAAGATTCCTGTCCGGACGATGTCGCGCATCATTAAACAAGACCTAGGGCTAGGGGCTTACCGGAGACGTACAAGATCCAAGAAGCTCTTGGAGAGGTACGCAGCTGGGGGATTCCGAAAGATTTTGTTCACAGATGAGAAAATCTTCACCATAGAAGAAAAATTCAACCGACAAAATGACAAAGTGTATGCAAGGAGTTCACAGGAAGCTTCGGAGATCATTCCGAGAGTTGAGAGAGGCCACCACCCTGCGTCAGTCATGGTTTGGTGGGGGGTGTCCTACGAAGGGGTCACTCAGCTCCATTTCTGTAAACAGGGCGTGAAAACAAAAGCGGCAAACTATCAGAGCGACATACTGGATCCTATCGTCAAGCCTTTAAGTGGTACATTGTTTGCCAACCAACACTGGGTCTACCAGCAGGATTCCGCCCCCGCTCACAAGGCTAAGAGTACGCAGCGCTGACTGGAAAGCAATGTGCCAGAGTTCATTGCTGCGGAAGATTGGCCCGCAGGGAGTCCGGACCTCAATCCTTTAGACTACAAGTTGTGGGACCTGCTAGAGCAGTTGGCCTGCTCCAAAGCCCACCGTAATATCGAGTCCCTGAAAGCGGATTTGATCCGATCAGCGGCAGCTATTCCTTTGGAAGCTGTGCGTGCAGTGATAGATGAGTGGCCCGCGAGATTGAAGCAGTGTGTGAAGGCCAAGGGGGGACATTTTGAATAAAACTGTTTCATTATGAATTCTAAAAATGTTGTCGAATAAATAATATCTTTCATATAAATATATCTTATCTTGTTTCATTTTTATCATGAGATTATCATGGGACAGAACTTATGGCACGACTACGTAAAAAAAAGTCAAGCACGCATATATTATCCCCATTATTCAAGTTTTAAGGACAAATGTATGGAGAAATCTATGATGTATGAAATATGTCTAGTAGGTGGGTAGAATTACTGTGATTGGAAAGATATAAATTGCCAGCACCAAAAAATATTTGTGTTTTATAAATGTGCAGATGTGTCTGACTTTCTATTACAAAAAAGTTTCGGTACTGTTGCGTCTTGTGGGACTTTGGATTTCGCTGTTTTTTCACTTGAAACTTATAGAGGGTAGTCTGATATATTATTTTACATCATAAAAGGTGTGGATGAAGCACACTTTTTATGGAATTTTTTTCCCAAAACACTGTATTTTTTAGCAGTTATGTCCCCCATTATTTCCGCCGCCATCTACCATATGACGCTGACGTCTGTGGATATATCATATATGAGAGGCGATTGTCTGCGGTGTTGCCGGATTGGGCTCCGTATTTAGGGGAAAATATGCAAAGTGGAAAATTTATATATTTATATTAATGAAACACAAAAACAAAAAACTGAAACAAACAACAGTAGTAAAATTAAAAGTGATTCTTACTAAGTATAAAACAAAAAATAACAAACAGCAGTAAAATAAAAAGCAATTTGGCTGGAATGAAATTGTTGTTCGTTTATTACTGTTTTTACTTTTTGTTTTGTGTTGTCACTTAGAATTGCTTTTTATTCAACATGGATTTTTTTTTATTTTACTGCTGTTTGTTGTTTTTTGATTTTTATAATTTCATGGAATTAGTTTTTGTTTTACTACTGTTTTTATTTTCTGTTTTTTATAATTATATATAATTTATCTTTTTTTAGCTTACTACTGTTATTTTTTGATTTATACTTATTAGGAATGGCCTTTTATTTTGGTACTGTTATTTGTTTCAGTTTTTCATTTTTGTGATTCATTAATTAATATACATATGAATATAAATGTTCAACTTTTCATATTTTTCCCTAAATGCAGAGCCCAATCCGGCAACACCACAGACAAGCGCCTCTCATATATGACATATGCACATGATCTTACATCATATGGCAGATAGATGGTGGTGAAAATAATGATGGAAGAACAGCTAAAAATACAATGTTTTGTGAAAAATTTTTCATGAAAAGTGTGCTTCATCCACACTTTTTTGTTTCTAAATAATATATCTGACTGCCCTCTAAAAGTTTTAAGAGAAAAAACAGTGAAATCAGAAATTCTACAAGACTCAACAGCACCATTTTGTATTATTTTTGAAAATCCTATTATTTCAATTGAGGTCATAAAATCTCAATGTTTATAATTACAAAGAGTTTTATATTAATATGATCTAAAATCAATTTGACTAAAGTTAGATATCTATAATTATCCATTTTAGCATATTTTGCCTAATTTTAACAAGTTATTACCAGGAGCACAAACATTTCTTATTTTACCACTTTATTCTTATAACACAACCCACATTTTTATTAACCAAAAAGTTGATATTGGCCGAAGATGGAGTTAAAATCTAGTCAGACCCAAAATGTTTTGTATCTTTAGGTTTTAGGCCTAAAAATAATTCTGTGGTAAAATCTGTCAATACATTTTTTTCTAGAACAGACTCAGTTTTTAGTTAGTTGCCCCATCTACAAAGTTTAACACTTTAATAGTGATAGTTGGGAGCAGTACAAATATACACCAAAATCATACAAAAGAAATTTCTCATTAAAACTGAATTCATCAAATTGGGTAATAGATACCTGTAAGACTTCAACAAGATGTTTACTCTCTTCCAACATTTCTTTACAAACTTTGTTTTCTTCCTGTAATATTGCAATATCTTCTTTCAGCTTTTCATTTTCTTGGATGCTGCTGTTCAATGCATCTTGTGTTGTTTCTGCTAATTTTTTCCAATAATCTGCACTAGGTTCATCTGATGTTAAATCTTCAGCAGTTATTAGACTATCTCCAACTTGTATACATTTATGTTGCATCAACAACTTTGGCTTTCTTGTTTCTGTTTTCTCTATCTTACTGTAAAAATTGGGTAAACATATAAAATGGGAATTATGTGTGTGTTACATCATTATGAGAGGCTCATGCTAGGCTTTGGTAGGCTTCAGATTAGAGATCCTCAACAAAACATGATGCAAGGAATTGATGAAAGCTTGGATGAACATCATGTGCACAATCAAGTGAAGGTATTACTAAAGAGGGTATATAACTCGGTAGATACTTCATTTTATTTTATTTTTATGTCTTGCACTCACTTTATTTTTACGTCCTTCATAGATGTGTATCTGCCAAGATTTTCCTTATCAATAGCTGGCTGCTGTATGTCTCTCAGAGTTCTTATACCCCTCCTCGAATTATCCTATTAAAATATAAAAAAGCTGTTTAGTAGTGGTCACGCTTACCGCCAATTTTATCTACCGTAATTTGATCATCAGAAGCTATTTTGATGATAACTTTTTTTGCTGTTTTCATCCTGTATGATTAACAAAAGTATAACTCGAGTTCAGGCTTCTCACTTCTCGAGACTCCACAAATATTTGCCGTGCCGTAATATTTTTACCGTTATCACTTTGGTCTACAAAACAGGTAATAATACTTGTTTTTTGTTTTGGTCACAAAACATTTGGTTATCCTTATCACAAAACGAACACAGGCTTGGGTGTTTAATTTTGCTAGAGATGAGACAACAAATGACGAGATGCGTAATGCGGGTCCCACACGATGCTTCCAACGTTGTTTACAACGTTCGACACCCCACAATTGGCAAGTGCTTCTCCTATACGATGGGATGAACTTTTTAGTCTAGGACGTTCGACGCATGGTGGCACCAACGTCTATTATCGGTGTCAGTGTCGCGCTTACAACTGAAGGAAAAATTATACAAAATGAACGATGAAACAATTTTTCCGAGCGCCAAAAAATTATTTCAGATCTGTCTTCAGCGACTAAAACTTAAGTCTGCCAGAAGTTTGACCGTTTTTTGTTTGTTTTTCGACGATAACTTCTCCGCCACTGTACCGATTTTCAAAAACTGCAAAGCTTTTTCGTAATTTTCATACTAATAACATACGGTCAAAATTTCATCAAAATCCTGATAGTACCGTAAAACTTGATAAAACCATTTCGAAACTTCGTTCTGCCAACAAATAAGTTAAAGGTATTTTTGAAAGTAAAAATGACTGTGTTGGTCGAAATAGTCTATAGATGATTTTTCCTTATTAGAAAACTTTTTAGACTCACCATTTTTGCAAAAAAAATATGAAGTGGTCATTTTCAAGTAGCCCCTCGATGGGGCTATTTGAAAGTTTGCCTTTAAAAACGTAGTATTGCAAATAAACCATTTTTAAAGGCTACTAGAAAGTAGCAGAATTAAAAAATAAACCTATTATGTTATAGTTTCAATAAAATCGATAAAAAACGGTTTTTACAAAATAAAATAAATGATAAGTAGGTAAGGTCCATTATTATTAATAACAAAACATAAAAACACATCTATATAAAAAATCATTCTATAATTCATACATAAACTTGAGAACCTTATTTGACCTCTATTTTACAGAAAAAATATTCTTTAATACAAAATAGGAAGGTTGTTTGAAAGGCACCATTTACATTTCCTTAAATCTAATTTGCCCTCTTCTAAGCGTTTCCATGATGGTTAATTTCCGTTTTATTTCGAGTTTTTCCACCAAGCCGATATCTTCAATAGCTGGATATAATTTTCGCAACTCTTGAACTCTTTAGTGCTTCCATTTTCTGTTTTCAGATTGACGAAAATGTAATCATGACATATGAATTCTTCATTTTCAGAGGGTACACCATCCGACATTTCATTTGCTTCATTGCTTCGAAGTTCATTTTCCAATGCGTTTTCTGGAGTGTTTTCGTCTTCAAAGGTTTCATTATAAAGGATATTGTTTTCTAGATCCGAAAATGTTTCCGGGTCGTCATCACTATCATCACGCCCAGTGTAAGATTTCTGTAAATGGAGTGGTAGCACTAGATCTTCGTCGCTGCTATCGGAGCTTGAGAGAGTTGGGTGAGCTTTCTTCCTCTTTGTCTTATGTTTTAGTTTCAATTTTAGCTTTTTATTTGGTTTATTTTTCGATTTTTCAGCAGTTTCAGCAAATGGTTTTCCCCGGTCCAACGTCTAATTTATTTCTTCTTCCTGTACTGAAGGGACCTGCCTTTCCAAATCTCGCCTCTTGATACACCTGTTTTAAAGATTCTCCTAAAATATTTTCTGCTTCTGCTGTTTCTTTTGGATCATCTCCTTTGAAAAGTTTAATTAGGATTTTTTGTCGATTGATTGGTACAATACCAGTCGCCTCAAAGCCAGATCTAATATTCTGCTCAGTACTAGCACCAATACTATTTAAGCATTGCTTTAACAGCCTAGGAAATACATCCTTTCTTATAGTGCCCTTAATTTTAGCCTTCCAATCTTTCAGGACTTGCCGCCACTTGACTTTAATGCGTTAAATGGGTGCTGTTAGGCGGCAACAAAACAAAGCAGGTGTCATTCTCTTCGCATTTCCGTATCACTTTTAAGGAAATATGACTTGCCAAATTGTCGCCTATTAAGACTTTGCGGCCAGGAGGTAAGGTTTTGAAATAGGTAAGGGAAATATTTAAAAATCAGTCTTCAAAGATATGGCCATCACACCAACCAGACGGGCTTCTATTATATCTGGTATTTGCAGGCCCACGTTCTGTCCAGGTGCTCCACAGATGATCTGCTTTATAAACCAGGTATGGCGGTAGCATAGCACCCGACGCAGAACACGCAAACATCACTGAAATTCACGATTTAGATGTGTCCATGATTTTTTCAGCTCTTTTTGAGTGTTTTTTGACAATAACTTTGAAGCGGTCGGGATCGTCCGAGAAGTTTGTCTCGTCGTAATTGACGACGGCTTCGGGAGCCACGTTTTCTCGGACTCTTGAAAATTGTCAAAATATATATTAATGTTTTTATGGTCGACTTTCGCTCTACTTTGTTTAATCGACTGCGACATTCTCTTCGACAGCTGTTCTTTGTGCCGTTTTAGGAACTTCTCCATCCAGTCTATTACCAGGTCCATTATTTTTAAAGGCTTTTACTAGCGCGCCATTTCTATTTAAATAGGTTTCATCCAAACTTTGTATGTCGGAAGACTCAAAAGGGAAACCCCATTCTGGGGGGATTTTGGGAATGCAATTTGTTAATTTTTCTATATAAAGTCACATATGGTATATTGTATTGTTCGCTGAGTTGCATTAACTTTCGTTTTTCATAACTTTGCACGGCATTATTCAAGTCCTCTTGACTATAATTCCGATAGGATCTACTCCCGACTTTTCTTTTATAACTCCTCACCATTTTCAAATAGCCCCTAAAATGATATTAAAATATAAAGTCGCCGCCACTGGCATCAGAATTTAAAATTGGCCTATATTGATGTTAGATTCGTGATTAGGGATTGAAATAAGTTAGAAGAACGAAATCAGAACAACTTTGATAAGTAGCGGGCAGGTATGCTTTGTCAGATGACTCCGGATTCTTGTTCATCGGACGAACCATTCGGTGGCAGCACTTGATTAAAAAGTTGACTGCGTTCATTTTCAAGGTACCCCGCTATTTTCAAGTACGGTACTTTCAGAGTTATCATTTATTTAATCGTTTTCGTTAGATATGAAATGCAAATCAATATATTTCTCAACTAGTCTTGCATTGCAACAGGACATTATAATGAAACAAATGTAAGCACTTGTTAATTTATAATTTACTAAAATACATATCCTTAGGCCAGCCATAACTCACCTGCGAGACGTTCAAAATATTAGCAATATGAAAAAAGTGTTGTTATGGAAGCCTATGCTTTTTATGTATGCTAATTTAATTAATTCTCCTCAAAAGTTAGTTACGGAGCATACATTCTTATAAATAGGTAGGTATTCAAATCAAAATACTTTCCACATATCACTACTTCACCACAATCAAAGCAAACAAGTAAATAAATGTTTTTCATCGCTACTGGCTCTAATCTAAAACCATCTAACACATGACATCTCGTGTGGAAGTTAACGAACCATGCTTCCAACGTTATGACGTCCTTTGACGCGGGTCAAATTTACCGACAAGAGCCCGAACGTGCCATGTGGCGAACGCTGGACACATGTAATGGCCATGTGTCCAACATTGTAAGGCATTCGCCACATCGTCTGAGACCGGTTTAAGACGAAAGTCGATGTTTGGTCGATCTTTTGTCACGAAACAATTAATGATCATATCTGTCATGTCAAGCCTCCTCCAAGTGTCAAGTGTTAACATAATTCTTTTGTCAATTTGTGTTGTTAGGTGGTGGTAGTATCCAAATCCCAATTCCCAAAAGAAAAATATTACGTAAAAGCAAATAATTAGGCAAAAATGTCTGGAATAATAAAAATGACTACTGGACTAACAGGATTAGCAGTAGCAAACAATCCCCATCATACACTGGGGATTTTGTACAGCAAAATATTGCGAACTCTACAGAAAATGCCTGAAGATGCAGCATATAGAAAATATACAGAAGAGATTATCAATGAAAGAGCTAATGTATTGAAAGCAAATAAAGACGTAGACGTTGTAGAAAGACAAATTGGATGCGGGCAAATCGAAGAAGTAATTGTACAGGCAGAAAATGAGCTCATCCTTGCACGTAAAATGTTAAACTGGAGACCATGGGAGCCTTTGTTGAAACAGCCTCCAATAGAGCAATGGACTTGGCCACCTGCTCAATCGAATCCAAAACATTGAATTATTTAGCTGTTGTTTAAAATAGTATAATGTTGAATAAAAATTAACTTTTTATCTACTTTTTATTTTAAGGTTATTAAACGAATAATGGTCGAGGAATGAGAAATAAAAACAGTTAGGAGTTTGAGCAATCCTCTAATGTGCTTCTCCGACTGTCAACTTTATGTTCACTTAAGTGACAATTGACAGTAGATGCTTCTGTGGCTGTCAATTTTTGTAGCCAGCACACGTAGTAATCTAATTGAGAAGCTTCAAACCGGAAGATGAGCATTGGTTCGAGATTAACGCAGGGGGTTCGTAGCTTCGTTTCCTTTGTTTTGTACAGAATATGGCTGCCATATTTAGTTTAGATGTCTGTTTTCAAAAGTCTTGTATATTTTGTGCAAAAAATGCGGTAATATTATAGCGAAATATTCCGTATTCAGTGCAGATAAGAATAAAGATGTGTTAGCAATATTAAAAACAATACATGGGTTAATGCCGTTAGAGTTTTGTTGAAAAATGCTTCTGTTTACATCAGTGGCTGAAGACTTCGTTTTAATTTTCGTCAGTTTTAGGTAAGTTTTTGTTTTGATACTTTTAATTCGTTGTATTTACTTTATAATTAGCAACACTTTCGTTTGACGTGAATTGTTGATCAACCGAGATTTTCCATAGAGTTTCAATAGGCGCATCTGCAAGAATAATTTTGCACGACATAGTGTAAGCCTCTGTGATAATATATTGGACTTTCGCTCAAAAACTATGCCTTTACTACATCTTGAAGTCCCGCACAGTTAAGTATATCATATACCATAGTCGTGAAATCTCATGTTGGATCTATTATATTATAATTTTCCCCATCGTGGGTCTACATGCAAAAGTATAGGTATACACAGATTGCAATATAGGCTTGCACACCCACAGATTCATCTGTGCTTCACAAATAAAAATATTTACTCATCTGAGACTATTCTGATAAATATTGGAGTTGGTTAAAGGATACACTACTTTCTAAAAATATCTTTTGAAATAGAAAAACGGCCAATGTTAACTAGCGTCTCAATCATTGTGGCAATTTCATTAAATCATGTAATTTCGTTTTCCGAATTACAAAATTTAGTTGTCCCAACATAGCCTTAGATTATGATAGTTGTATAAGTAGCACACCAAACGTATTTAGGATGGTCAGTTACACTATTTTTTCTTCTGAAGAATTATTTCCATCTCTTTATCTATTTACACCAGTTTTGAGACCATTATGGTATTAAGTTTGTGCATGGCCCAAGTACTCACACTGAAAGATGATTTTGTTTTCGTGTTTCATAAATATATGGTATAGGTAGTTACGTAATTCTATTTTTGATGTAAGTTCGCGCTTTGGTGATTTTACGCTGTCCGAAGCGCGGTCTGCATAAAATCTAGTGATTTTAGTTTTTCCATTTATACCTAGGTTTCTACGCATCAGTCAACCATCGATTATTCTGTATCCCAGGGGCTCACATGTCAATAAGATGGCTATGCATGAAAAATCTTATGCGTCTGTGTTGTGTTTGGTTTTTCGTTTGTCTCCTTTCACGGGCCCCTCAGTCACAAATGCGATGCTTTCCCGCATGCGCGACCTCCGAACGCTTGTAATTTCTCTCTGTCTCTTTGAAACAGCTTTTGCGGCGTTGCCGCGCTAACAGGGCTATAGTATCTGGTTTAAATTTTAATTATAAATTATTAATAAATGAATCTCTATGTTTGTACAAACTGCGCCAATCAATAAATAATAATGACGCATACATTGTGTCGGGAAATCATCGCGAAAATATGTTCGAAGGTGTATCATACATCAACATTGATTTTCACATCACTACCTAGTTTTAAGTCATTTTGCCTCAAGGATCCCGAAAATGATATCTGGGAAGAAACACAACTTTTTGTGTTACAAAAATCTTTGATATATATTTTCAGGTAGAAATTTTGCTGTAGTCTCTTTCACTAACAGTATTGTTTTGATGTTATCATAGACTTGGATTATTATTATTAGAAAGGACCTATGGTGCCCGCGGGAATGTTTATCAGTGAAGAAGGGGGGGGGGGGTTCATAGATTGAAGAGAATCATTTGAGGTTAGGAACGATTTGAATATCAGACTGACAATTCTTTCTCCTCAAATACCCTGCAAACCTCGCCTTAAGTTGTTTATAACCGTAGACATCACCGTCAACCCAGCTTCGCGCCATCTACTTCGAGCTTTCCAGATTACCCTCCATTTGAATGGGAAGTACCGAATAATGTATATGGTTTTCACAAAAAGATCAATATATCATTACATAGTATATTATACATACGAAAAAGCTCAATCTTTCACTGTCTGTCCAACAAATAAAGAATACAGAGGAATCCATCATTTTATTTTAATCAAATAAATTAACATGAATTTTGATGATGGAAAACCAAACTTTGATACGCGCTGCTGTGGCAGCCAAAGCAATATCAGCCATCAGTTCACCATCTGTGGTTTTATCTGTTGGACATTATTAAGGTAGATGAATAAAAAACAAAGCAGGGGATGAGTTAGACTTTGCATTCGTGCAAAATCCTGAAGCTGAAGAAAATAGTCAAAAATGATCATTGACACCGATCTTTTGACTTGCGGTAATCAAATTGATACATACGCACATGTTTAAATAGTTTTTTAATGTCCACAAATTATTTTATTTTGGTTTGCCTCAAGGAATTAAGTGCGTATAAGGTGTTGCCTGGAGTTTCAGGAAAATTTATAGGTTTGAGTGTTGACAGTTGCTATTTGATACAGCACCGATGTTTATTAGAATCACAATTATTTTTATTAATAAAACCGAGCCAGTTCAGAAAGAGAAAGAAAGATGATTGTTACAACATATCTGTAGCCGATGTGCGGCCACACATAACCAGTTGTGGAGGGATCGCGAGGAGTGACCGACCTTTTTCCTGAAAATCGGTCGACCTCGCTCTGGCGGAATGCATTAATCTATTCAGCGCAATACTACGCGGTTGCCAAATATCCCATCTGCTTTTCAGCCACTTGACTGAAATATCGGTGCTTTCTTGAGGTTATCTATATTGGCGTATTCTTTAATTCACCGGTTTAGCCACCGGTGCAAGCAATTAACCAATTTTTCTTCTTTTAATTTCCGTCTGAGCGACCGGTTGTACACCAAACTTGTCTATAAACTATATAGACAAGTTTGGTGTACAACCGGTCGCTCAGACGGAAATTTTGGTTGCACCGGTGGCTCAACCGGTGAATTAAAAAATACGCCTTATTATACAGCACAATCAGTACAATTCTTAAGCAGCAAATTACACATATTTCTGACAGATACGTCAACTCCAGGTAGACAGTCATATTTTGTTTTGGTTTTCTGTACACTGTACACTACAGATTCATTTTGCACTTGCTAACAACTCTTTTTTTAAAGTTCATTTGCATACAAATAGAAAACGCTACAAGCATGTTTTAGTAAATTTACACCCGATTCATTATTCCCAACGTTGCAGACTAATGCAAATATGTCACTAGCTGATCAGCTGTTCGCCTCAGTAGACGTCAAAACGTGATGGATACTCGTGAAATAGTGTTTAAGTTATGGGAAAACAATTGTAAACTACGCATTTTAGTAGCGAGTCGTGCCTTGTCAATCCAAAATCGTTTTGGTAACGCCAAAGTACAGACATGCCTCCAGCTTCTCTAAGAAGGAAACAAAGTTGTGCAATTACTATTGTTTCCGACTGTACGTTATATTGTGTATGAAGAGCACTAGGCTTTTGGATTACTATCGCGCAAAATTGTTCTGAAGAGTCAGATGTTCCATCAAAAAGTTCGTTGTTCAGTCAGAGTTGTTATTCGGAACAACAATTTATAATGCAATCTTAGTGTCATGATAGAAACATTTTTAATTAGAAAATGGTCTCTGAAGATGTTGTGAGCCGTCAGTTTAGGGGAAGTCGGAGACAAGTCAGGGAAAAAAAGGATACGGGAATTGTCAGATAATATCAAAAGTCAGTGACAATTGATTGGGTTTCATTTTTTCACACATTTTTAAATTAGATATCCATCGTATATTAGCATGCTCATGTCATTTTTGCCTTTCTTATCAATGTAAGAATGTTCAGTATAAAAATGTTTCTCAGTTGTAGGTCATTATGTCCTAATACCAAAAGAAACCTCTACGAGGTCTGTAAATTAAGTAATGGGGCTGATTTTGATTTTTTTTTCATCCAAATATAATTATAATATAAAATTGTCACCCTCAAAATAACTTCCTTCTGAAGCAGCGCTGGAGACGGTTCTTCCACTCCTCATAGCAGTTCTGGAACTACAATAGCCTTCAGCTGGTGGGTTACAGCCGTTCGAATGTTTTCGACTGACCTCTTGAGGTGATTTTCAACCTTGGGAGGAAAAAAGTTACAAGGAGTCAAGTCAGAAGGCGGAGGAGCCACAGGAATGTTTTTACTGGCTAAAAACTCGTTTATTGACATTGCTGTGGGACAAGGAGCATTATCGTGATGCAACACCCATTTGTTCTTGACGTTTGGTCTCACTTGAATGACACATTTTCGAAGCTTTTCAAGAACCTCCCGATAAAAGTTTTGATTGAGGTAGAAATGCCGAGCATTTTTTTGAATTCAGAGTGGACAGCCCGATAAGTAACAAATGAAATAATTTTAAAATAGCTACTGCCGAGAATACAAAAAAATTATAAAATGAGATATTGTGTTTTGGATGTTATATGATACATATATCATAGAAAGCTATAACCTCGAAAGTACCGGTCGAATACTGATGAAATTTTCACACTATGTAGGTATGCAAAGGTCGAAGCTTTTCAGTTTTCGAAAAGCGGTCCAATGGCGGCGGAGGTAGGTAAAAATCACTTAAACTTGTCGGATGTTCCTGATCCTTTTGGGAAAAACATCTGTAGAGGTTGAAAATGGGGGTTGGGGGGCTGTAAATGATACCTCTTTGGTATCAATGAAATATGTGTTATCATTCAAAAATGTGAGATTATCCATCTGTTACATACAATATCACACATATGTCGCATAATATTTACGTCTGTGTCTCCAGCAACCCCAGCTACCTCGAAATCGTTTACCCGCGGTGGGTCCGATACGATTTCAGCAACACCGACGGTGCCGCAGCGTTATCGAACAATGCTGTTTTTAACAAATACTGATTCTACGTATTCTGTGGCGTTATGTCAAGGTACAAGGATTTTCATAGCCATTGAATAATAAAGATATCAGAGTAAAAGTCGACGTAGATTCTTTATTGCTGCATAGTCAATTTGTCTAAAATTGCGTGGGAAATATAATATAATCTAATTGACTCTATTAATTCATGACAATAATATAAGGTGAGGTTCAAATTTGGCTGACGTAATGTGTACAAGAGAGAAGAGTGCAATATGTATGATAGAAAGAGTGCGCCGATGGCAACGCGGCAAGCCGCAGCTGCGTTCGAATCCTCGTCACTCGGATTGCTAGAAAACCAGGTGCTTCTATCTCTTTCTAACCACGTATTGCACGCTTCTTTCTTGTATACAATACGACGTCAGTGGTATAGTTGTAGTCGCCGTTCTTGGCGGGTCAAAGTAAGACTACTAGTATCGCTTTATATATCTCCATTTCCCTTATACATACACATGCAATCTACCCCTGTATGTGAACCTTTATTTCGGTAAGCTCAAAGGCATACGTTTTTTAGTTATGTGTCTCCATCGCGAAAACTGTGTCAATATAAAATTGTACAATGTCCGGAAATACGATCATTGGAGGAGGCCAACAGCTCGTGCTAAATTTGTTAGAGTATCTCCTGGAAGAGAATGAAAACAGCGGTCTCCTGTTACCTCCTTTATGCGTACTAGAGAGAGTAGCAGATGCGCGGAAGATTAAGATCCGCCCATGGTACGAAGACTCAATCTGTTTACTTATTTTATATAGCACTGTATACATAATTTTTTATATAGATTTTCAATTTCATGAATACCTAAATTTCGTAGATTTCGAGTATACGACAGTGTACTTGCAGGCGTCGTTTAGGACAGAGATGAAAAATTGCACCAATAAAATGTATGAATTAATTCTTCATTAGTAGCCGTTCTTTATGAATCCGCAATATAAATTCTTTTCTTGAAGAAATAATAATAATAATAGCGTTTATGTGCAGTTGAAAAAAATACATAGGATACAAAATAGGGAAAAACAACAAATTACACTTACTGCAAAATGGACCAGCAAACAGTCTAGGACTGATCAAAGTACTGGCCCAGAGACAAAATTGAATAGCATTTTTATAGCTGTCTACGGATAAACATTTCTAACCAATTCATTCCAAAATGAAACGAGAAAAAATAGCACAATATGTTTCTGTAATCAAACTTTAACTTGAAACTCATACCCAGATGAGGGCAACACAGGAGTGACTCAACTATTGTTGCTCCAAAAGAAATTTCTTAAAATTTCTTTTGAAAGCTGACACTGGCATGGATTTAAAGTCTTTCTTCATTCACTAATTTTTAACACGCTTATATTAGCTTGGCCTGTATGTATCTAACGGAATCTTTGAGCATAATTTTGACCGATGACCATGCAATAATTTGATAACAGTTTTCCATTATCTTTATGAGGAAAATTTATTTAAAAGCAGATTTGTTAATAAAAACCCACGGATTTCATATGCTGCTCCACGAATATTGAAATTACAAGCCTGAGTAGGTCAAGTGGCAGAGCACTGGTCTTGTAAACCAGGAGTGGTGAGTTCAATCCTCACAGGAGGCAGATTGTGTGGTATACTTTTTTTTCTAGCATGCTTTTATTAGCTTGACTTGAATCTATATACATATATGTATGTATGTAACGGTATCTTTGAGCGTAATTTTCACCAATTTCCAGAAGTTTGATTAATCCGAAACTTCGCACACGTATCAAGGACCGATGACAGTGCAATACCATGGCATGTCTACAAAAAAATAATTGATAAACTGAAATAAAAAATGAAAAATAAATAGTAGTTTGAAAAAACAGAAAACACTTTTATAGCTAACCGAAATAAAAAGAAGAAAATCATTTTTAATTATAAAAATTTAAGTAGTAGATGGTCGAACAATCAATCATAATTAATGACCTCAAAATAAAATTCAAGTTACTAACAGAATTCAGAGTAAAAAGCGTGGGGTGCATTTTACTACATTTTCAAAACTCTCCTTTCATAGATAGTTGCCAATAGAATGATTGTAACATTTAATATATCAAGCACCCCACGCGTTTCACTCTGAATTGAATTATTCTGTTGATAACTTAATTTTATTGCAATTTTATTTTGAGGTCATTAATTATGATTGATTGTTCGACCATCTACTACTGTAATATAAACTCTTTGTAATTAAAAATGATTTTCTTCTTTTTAGTTCGGTTAGCTATAAAAGCGTGTTCTTTAGGTTTTTAAACTATAATTTATTACCATTCAAATACATTACATTACACTTGAATATTCGCATCAGGTAATGTTTTTCATAAATATGCCTGATTCGTGATGTTAAAATAGCACATAAAGGGTTGTCCAATAGGGACGCAGGAAAGTAAACGTCAATTTGACATAGACGCCATCTTTGTTTTCTATCACCGACATGTCATTTTGTTAGTTGAATGTTTACCATTGATCGCTATGGAGTCGTATTCGATTGAAGACCGCATTAAAGTTATTCAAGAGCACTACAAAAATGGTGCAAAAATAAAAAACACGTTTCGCGCGCTTCGTGAACATTTCGGTCGCAACAACCGCCCAAACGAAACAACCATCGGTCGTCTGGTGCGTAAATTCGAGGCAACAGGCTCTGTGGCAAATCTGCCAGGCTCTGGCCGGCCAAGGAGCGTTCGCACACCGGAAAATATTGCTGTTGTGAAGGAGAGTGTGAGAGACGATCCGAAACAATCAACAACGCGTCGATCCCAAGAATTGGGCATTTCGAGAACCAGTTTGCTCCGCATTCTCCACAAGGATTTGAATGTACACGCCTACAAGATCCAACTGACGCAAGAGCTGCGCCGGGCCGACCATTTTTCGCGCCGAACGTTCTCAGATTGGCTCCTTGAACACCGCCAAATTGATGCCAATTTTTCATCAAAAATCATGTTCAGCGACGAAGCGCATTTCACTTTGAATGGGACGGTAAACAAGCAAAACTGCCGCATCTGGGCAAACGAAAATCCCCGTGAGTATCAAGAGCAGCCGATGCATCCTCAAAAAGTGACTGTGTGGTGTGCATTGTGGTCAAAAGGCATCATCGGACCTTACTTTTTCGAAAATGCGGCCGGGGACGCCGTTACCGTCAATTCTGAGCGATATCACGTGATGATAGAGGACTATTTTTTGCCGCAACTTGAAGGAATGGATATGGACGATGTTTATTTCCAACAAGACGGTGCAACATGCCACACAACCAACGTCAATATCCATCGATTGCAGTCCTTCTTCGGTGATCGCGTGATTTCGCTCAGAGGAAATGTGCCATGGCCACCAAGATCGTGCGATTTGACTCCCTTGGACTTCTTTTTATGGGGATATTTGAAAAGCAAAGTCTACGTCAACAAACCAGCCACCCTCCAAGAACTCAAAAACAACATCATTGCCGAGAAAATGCCATAGAACCGACCATGTTGCAAAATGTCATTAAAAATTTCGACCATCGCGTGGACGTCTGTAAATCCAGTCGTGGTGAACATTTGAGCGATATTATTTTTCATACATAAATGGTATAAATGAACCTTCAAAATAAAGTACCCAACTTGATTTGAATATCAATCTTTCTTGTTTTAATATGCGTTTACTTTCCTGCGTCCTTTTTGGACAACCCCATATTTCGGCCAATCGTGTACTACTACTACTACTTTTTCTTAATACTTCACCAGGATCGACTGAATCCTCAGTGATACAGCGACGCCAAATGTCTCGGAAGTCGAATAATCTGGAAATGCAGGCAACATTTCTCGCGGTCCAAGCGACAACACTGTTGAGGCTATTTTTTACACAGTAGAAAATAGATACACTCTTTAATAACACTTCTATTTTTTAACATTAAAAATAACTTCAAGGATTATGTTGGAAATTCTTTGAGATGCATTATTTCCATTACTGTTCATTAGGTGGTGGTGGTAACTTCTGGATTGATAAAAGTTGATAATCTACCTAAACACCGGGGGTGAATTCTTGAAATGAGGGAGTAGAATAGCATAGAAAATTGGCGTGGTTTTCTTCGTGAAAACTGGTTGAAGAGTCGCTTCCTTCACTGTCGATCGCCAATTTCATATTTAAAGACGAATATAACTGTAATGGAACCTTTACTGACATAACAAAGCTATAAATGTAAACATATTTTGTGTAAACAGATGTCACGCTTCGGGATTATTCCATAGGGAGCACATATTCTTGAAATGAGGGAATAGAATAAGTAAAAGTGGACGTGGTTCTTTCCCTTTGTGGAGTACTATATTCCTGAGTACTGATTAAACAGCCGTTCACCGAGTCATCCTCCGGGGAAAAAGTGCAGAAGTCTGGCTTCGTCCCGCCAGTGTCATCTTTATAGACGAAGTTAACTTTTTCAGTGAACATTTAATGATTTGTGGAACCCTTGAACATTATTTTGCCGAAAATGTATGTATTCAAAAATTGTTTGACAAGTGTCAGCAGTTGTTGGAATTTGAAATCATTCCTCAGGCAAGAGAACCACGCCTACTTTCTCTCAGTGATTAAAAAATCACCGAGAGAATATCCATCGTTCAAGAATAGGGATACTGAAGGGTGATGTAAATTGAAAAAATAAAACCTATTTTTTAGATATCTTGAAAAAACTTGAAGTCTCCTTTTTTTCTATTTTTTTGTTTCAGATAAAGCGAAATAGGATATTCTAAAAATAAGTCACTCAATAGGATTGGTTAAAAAGCAGTTTTAATCATCACCATAATTTATTAAATATATATATATATATATATAGGGCGGCCCATCCATGGTGTGGACGGAATATTACTCATAAACAAATACATTTTGGGAAAATCTGTTTATGACATGTTGTACATGACATTTGAGGACATTTCTAAAATATTGGCCATTATACAGGGTGTCCCAATATTGACATAAATATATATAGTTGTGATTTTTTAAATGGAATGCCTCAAATTTTATTGCATATTTGAATAAACCAATTCAAAAGAAGAAGACTGATATACTATCGGGTTTTGATAATTAGATACTGAGATGCAAGGTGTTTTGTCCAGAAAAACCGTCCACTTCGGCAACCCCTCAATCCGCCATTTTGAAATCTGCAGTGCTGAATTTTGTATCAAAAAAACTTACACACCTCAGCTTTTATCTTATTTGTTACTTTTTCTAATTTTCTTTTATGCTCATACAGGGTTGTCAAAAACGCGAATTGTACTTTTTTTCAAAAATTTCAAATGCATCACCCTGCATGTTTGTGCAAGTTTGGATTCAATTTTTATAAGCTTTTTTTTTGGTATTAGGTTTGATTCAGATAAAATCACTAGATTTTGAGTTACTAAGCTTTTAATAGAACAACACGCCAAAATTAAGGAAAAAAGTCACATCATCCATGGAAACAAAAGACAAACAGTGGGCTAGTTCCATATTGCCACTAAGAGTACAGATTTGACATAAAAACTTATAACAAACAGAACAGTATAAATCAACTTCAAGCATAATAGAGAAAATCAACTACATATAACAACAACATGAACAAACAACTATCATTACTCAAGACAATCTACAAAAACTGATCGAAAGTATCTCCACCATGCTGAATACACAGCCGTAGTTTTTGGATAAATGACCGTTGCACATCCCTCAGCATGTGTTCCCTTATGTTCAGAAAAGCATTCTTAATCCTTTCCTTCATGTTTTCCGGTGGTGGATATCTATAAACCTCTTGCTTAACGTAGCCCCATAGAAAGAAGTTCATCGGTGTCATATCTGGTGATCTAGGAGACCAAGATATAGGCCCATCACGACCGTTCCAACGATTGTTGCTCCACGTGTCCAAATAGTTACGCACACGATTATGATAATGCGCAGGTGCGCCGTCATGTTGGAAGTACATATATGCATCCGAGTTTGCAAGTTCCTCCAAAAGCAAAGGCAAATGCTCGATCAAAAAATTCAAGTATTCTGTACCTGTTAATCTGTTGTCGAAAAAGAAAGGCCCGATAACTTGTCTGCCACTATCTCCTCCCCAAACGTTCAAGCTCCCTCTATTTTGGAAATCTATTTGCCTAACCCAGTAAGGGTTTTCCGTCGCATAATAGCGCATGTTGTGCCTGTTGACAACACCTATGCTGTTAAAAATAACGTTATCCAGGAAAGTAGTGTCTTCACTCACTTTATTTAGCATTAATCTACTAAACTTTATTCGAGCTGCGAAATCCTGAGGACGAAGGCCTTGATGCAAGCATAGATAATATGGATGATATCTTTGGACAGAGGTTCTGCACATATCAGTTTCTGCTCCAATTTACCGTGCGCCTAAATGGGGATTTTCCTGCAACTTTAATAGAACCTCCAACTGATTCGTCTCATTGGTGACACTTGGATTATTTATACATTTTTTACTATATTCCACTGCTCCACTTGATTCAAAACGTTCTCGTAGTGTGGAAAATATTTCCGGCCTTGGATGTCGCATATTAGGGTACCGTTACTTATAAATGCGAGATGCTAGGAGACTATTTCTTTGGGCTTCGACCAGAACGAACACCATATTCACCATTTC